TTCGTTTAGCAACCCTCAAATTTGAACCGAGTGCTCAATAAAACATGAAGTGGAAATTAAATAATTCAATATTTCCTCACAAGTCCAGGTACAAGCCATTGTTGAGGCACATGCCCTTTCGCAGCCCCGATGACTATACTTATCGAAAGATTGCTTTATTTTCAATTCACAGAGCTCTGGTGCTATGTAGAATTCTTGGATTGTCACTTTTATGTCGTCACCGATAAGTTCGAATTTGATGACCGAGCTACAGGCAAGTCAGGCTTTGACAAGGTGTGGCGCGCGGGCCTCCTCATAAACTAATCCAAAAGGGTTTCCTTTTTGGCTTCTAAAATTAATTAAATTTGTCAACAATACGGCCCAGTACGGGCCGGTGTTTCCTCTGGGCTCGGTCCTAGGACCAATCCTTTATTCGCTTTTTTATCATGATGTGCCCTTGCCCCCACCAACTGTGAGTGTACCTCTAATGCTGATGACAGTGCACTTGTCGCCCAGTCGTGTACTGGTGATCTGGTTCATGATGAGTGCGGTGGATGAAGTACTAGAGTGCAGTGGCTGATTAAAATTAATCATTCGAAAACGAAGGCCCCCAGCAGAGGTTTCTGGTGACGCAATCGTGTACAATGGACAAATTCTTCCAAGTATCTCGGTTTCACCCTTTGATAAATGCATGACCTGGCAGAAATATACAGCAGCCTTGAAAACAAAATCCAACTTGCGTTTTTGCAACTATATCCTTTGTTATGTAGATCCACCAACTGAGTTTGATATAAACAAAATTCGACTATATAAAATGATTATTAGATCAGCATTACTTATGTGTGTGCGGGTGTTTTCTTGCTAAGACACACATGCAAAGTCTTTAAGTAATGCAAAAGCAGAACTTTGCGAACAATTTGCAACGCTCCATGGTATGTCTCAAGATTATGTCAGCTTCAGGCGCGGCGACGTTATAGTCAAGCGGAATCGCACAACAACCCTCTGTTGCGGGACTCATTGAACTACACAGTGGAGCAAAGTCCATAAACATTCAAGGTCACGGCTCGCACTGCAATCAACAATAAGCGCGAACTTTTTGTAAACTCAAAATTACACTCATTACAACATAACCTGAATCAAAATTTGTTTAGTTCACCCTCCAAAATTAATCCATGTACCAGTCAAAAAGCCTAGGTGTTTCCTCTTAACTAAGCACTTCTGTTTTTTTCTTTGCTCTTCCATTCTCTTCTTCTTCCCTTTCTCTTTTTCCTTGACATTGTCTGGTTTCTGGGCAACCGGAACTGACAAAATCGACTAACGTACATTAGACAGTGACTAATGGGCAAAGGTCCTACGGACCGCCCAGACAAACAAATGACGAATAGTTTTCTCCACGAATTTGATGAGGAATGTCAACAACTGTCAAATTGGCGGCCCGATCGACTTGTAGTATGAACTTGTAACATGACTACTGACTACCAAATCTTGGTTACAATCCTAATCTAAATTCTTTGATCGCGGGGAACCCTTTCACCAATATGCGCTAACGAGAGGGAAATAAAAATTATTTTAAATACGCTCTCACCATTTGGAATGAGTTATTTGAGTTTTATAGATATCAGTCCATGAGGTTAGAATGAGAGGATCAGTGTTATGTGCTTTTTTCAACTTTCTCACCTGATTTTTACAATTGGATCCTTCAGTTTGCCAGCTTGCTTCTTCCGAAGGCGTTGTAAGCCGTCATGTACATCTTTCTTGGGCTGATCACCAAAGTGAGTGCTTTCTTTTCTTGATTCATGGTGATATTCTCTTTGTCGTCGAAATCCTCTTGAATTGCAAGTGATTCTGTGTTAGACTGAGACTACAATTGGGGAAAAGATCCAGGTCGAAGTTGGATTTTGTAACTCCAACAAATTTTTGAACAACAGTGGATCAAGCTAAGTCTGTAAATGAAACCTTTGAAAATTGTGGATAAGCTTTTGAGAATATTTTTCTTAAACAAGTGAACAGCATTGTCTCGTTTTCTGTTCTTTGTGACTAGTATGGTTATTTTTAAATTATAAGTCACTCGTATGTAAGTGCTAGGAAAATCAAGCTGTATACCTTTTTCAAAGCCTTCATTGTCCTCAGGTCCGTAGGCTTTTGTACTATAGTGCCTTTTCACAGTTCCAAAGCCTTTATTAGAACAGTTGGATTTAGGTTCGGCCGCCTTCCTTTCTGAAAAAATAAATCGAATGCTATTGTTTCTAATATAGATTCAAATATCAACTGAATAGAGAACAACTATAACATGTCAAAGCTAGTCCATTAATTTCTTATACAAACGTTTTCCCGCTTTTCTCTTTCAACTTCTAAGCAGTCTTGGCACTTGTAATGATCAGGTAGCACCTCCCTCGCCTTCAGAGCCTTTTTAGGTTTCCGAAATTGTCGCAAACCTGCGTCAGTCCTTGATTATCTATACACAACGCCTTCTTTATGCATCGAGTTTCTTTGGCGAGGTCAATTTTCCCTGTAATGGAGAGAGTCAAAACTGATGATCCGTTAACCCATCTCGACCATATAAAAATACAGGGTGTCCCGGAAATAACGCGCTAGAGTGACGGTAGGTAGATTGGCTTCAGATTAATCAGAGAAAATCAACATGACCTTAGCTTTCTAATTTATTGCCACTTTAAGTGTTTTCAAAAAATTTCTTTACTTTTTTATCCTTTTTTGCCTGTTATACAGACTAACGTATGCTTTTTTCTGGGCTACCATTAATAGTATTCATTTTATGAAAACTAGCACGGGATGCTAAAAGTTCCTCGTGGTGACATAATGCTACCGACCGATCAGTGAATGTGAGACTGAGATAGTCAATGACATGTTTAGGTCGTTTCATTCCTTAATGATTTGGATACTAAAGGCTGTTGGCCGAACTAATTTTTTATTTGCAGTATTTCGCAAGTATTACGACTTCAACGACAAAACTTGGGCTTATTCAATTTTTAGTAGAAAGAGCCTACAAATGTTATATTGTTCTTAAAACTGTATTAAATAGGCTAGTTTTTAAGATCATTTGCCGATTCAGACTGCTACATTTTTTTATCACAATGATTAGTCAAACTTTAGTAAAGGTTTTCACATTGAAACAAAATGTAATAATAATTTTTAGCATACCATGTAGTGAAATGAATAGTCGGTGGTGTCAACCAACTATTAATGCTTGTTCAGGAAAAAAATCATAAGTTAAAAGTTCTTAACAGGCAAAAAAGGAGCAAACGGTAAGGATTTTTTGAAAAAAAGTGGCAATATCTCCAAAACTAGCCATGTCACTCTGGCGTGCTATTTCTGGGACAACATGTAGAACAGAAAATTTTACTTTATTCGCCTGTCGTTTATGAATTGCAATTAGTATTAAGATCTATCAAAAATAAAAAATCATGAGGCACTGATGAAATTCCTTTGGATGTTATAGCGAATTTTCCACTTGGTGCTATTGATACGCTCACAAACTTATAAATTTTTCTATTGCCACAGGTGTTTACCGAGAATTTTTAAGATCAAGAGTTATTCCTATTTATAAGGAGGTCCAAACGATATACCAGGAATACATAAACCCAGCTTAATTACTGTTATAGCACATAGTCCAATTTAGATTTATTAGAATTAGACTTTTTAAAAACCAAAAAAATTTAAATCACAACCAATTTTTATTTCAATAACAAGAAAATCTTGTGGATGCTATTTTCACATTACTCCAACAGCTGAACTCAAATTTTAAGTAATAGACAAACTTAAACAGCTCCTTTTTGCGACTTTTCCAAAGCTTTTGACTGTGTAAACCATGATATACCAATAAAAAACTTAAACAAATATAGTTCTACTGGTACTTCACTCAATTGGTTCAAAACATATTTGAATAATCGATCCAAATTCATAAAAGACATATGAATTGCATATAAACAGAGGGGTCCCTCAAGGATAAGTATTAAGTCCGGTCCAATTCTTAATATACTTCGAAGTTGAGTCATTTATTTTAACAGTGAGTAGATCTGATCAAAAGTAATATTTTTTTCCTTTACCATTTTTCTGGTTAAAATTAAAGTAACAAAGTTATAGCCCTTTGGAAATTTGAGTACCGCCCTGTCTCAATAATAATATCATGTGCTCGTGTTTGGCAACAACGGATATAATCCGCCTTATCGGTTCATCGCATCGGAAACAAAAAAGCGAAAGAATTTGGAACGATGTTTTTACAATTATTTTATTCAGTTGTATACATACAGTCAGTGTCAGTCGGTAACGCGTGTGAATAGTGGTGTCTGTTGCGTGGCTCAAACGAAATAAAAAATGGCACATGTTTATGCGGATCGGTTTCCCAATCGAGTGCAACCAACCCCTCGTGCCTTTGTTAATGTAGTACAACGGGCTCGTGAATCAGGTGACTTAAGACCTCACAGGGGACCTCACGATCAAATACAGGTCCGCACTGAAATACTTGTCGGGAGGATACTTTATAAAACAAGGTAACCATTTTTTTTTAATTTTTTTTTTATTTTTACACACATATTTTGGTTTATCTTCCTTCTACAATCATTATCTGAAAATTAATGACTCAACTTCAAAGTCACCCTGTATATAAACGGTTTATTGAACTTAAGCATAAATGGTAAATTCGTAGTTTTTGCTGACGACATTGTTAATAAGACAAAATGCTCCCTTGATTTTAGAAATTTAAATAACGAATTGATAAACACAACAGGCACCATCAAATTTCATCATGTAGACAAATTGCTTACTTAACTAGCAGAGATTTCCTTCATTATAGGATCAATTAGTTACAACATAGGAAAAAGCACAGCCTTGAGCAGTTACTTTGCTTTATTTTAAGGTAGTTGGTGTGTCTCTTCCCAAAATTGCTTAAAGAGGCGCTTATTCAACAAAATTGGTAAATCTTAAAATAATGTCGTATCGTTGTACATTTTAGAAACAGCAACTCCTACTTTTAAAAATAAACCTAAATTTGAAACATTAAATATAAGTTACAATATTAGACGAGATCAAGATCTCAAATTAGTAGTAAAGACTCAATAATTTATAATGGTCTAAAAATTTACATGTGTATCCTTGATGCTATCAAAGGAATTACCAATTTAGCCGCCGTGATGTTAAAAACTTTTTAATATGTAAACCATCTCATACTTTGTGTGAGTCCTACAATTCATCTACTTACGATCCACTTACCTGTATGTCATTATATGATAATTTAGTTTTAAGTTAGCTTTGTCATTTAGGATGATTGTATTCTTCAGACAATAAAGCATATTTATCGATCTTGTACCGATTTGCCACTCAATGCTGGCGCTCGCTGGGAAAAGGAAGAAGAGGGCATAAAGGAGGGGCAATCCAGCTGTACTTCTACAGTGCCAACTAGAGTAAGAACCTTTTTTTTATACTTTCAGGTTCACTATAGCTTTATTTGTGAGTTCTTGCGGGTTACTCATTTAAAGCCAAAGTCAAAAGCGTGACAATACTTAAAACGCACAGTATCATAAAAATGCATTGAGATGCCGCAAGCATCCATCGGTATCCTGCTGCTTCTCTCCATTGCGCACGGAAATGCCGGAAAAGATCGTGGCCTACCAACTCCTTTCGTTACGATATCGGAGAACATGCTGTAGTACTCGTATACCCCAGCGCACGGATAGACATCTATGCAAAAACCTGGCAAAACTTGAAAAAACCGAAATGAATGAAAGATATTACTCATGTTAAAGTTAATACTCTAAACAATAAGTTGGCCATGGAATCAGAACTTTGCTTATTATATCTTTACCATGGCATACTAATAAACTTGAAGTTGGAGAGCTTCTGTATTATCCATTGAGTTGCGCGTTGAAAATATTTTTTCTGAATATGGATCATGATAAAGAGAGCGCGAACTTGCATTTAACCTAACGGAAATCTCTCATTATTATGATTTTCATGTACAACGTGAATTGAACGGATCAATATTTTTAGCCTCTCTTATTTATATTCAGAGAGCATTTTAATAGAGTTGCGCCCATTGCCCCAATTGATATAAATGATGTCTGCAAGCTATATAAGTATATAGTGTCAGTTTCTGCTGATGAGAAATGCAACCTTATATGCTGCCATATTATTTATGACAGGTGGTCGGAAACGGTTATGCAACTGCTTCGAATTTGCCCTTTGAGTGGCTTCCAATTTCCTTCAAATACCTCCCTAGAAGCAAACTGATCTCTGATATGGACTCAACGGCCACAGAAACCTATATGACACACGGCTGGATTCGAATGATGGACGTATTTTGAATTTGTCGTCGAAATGATCTTGAATTGATCTTCATGTGCCCTTATAGTAACTAATTGATCTCTAAATCGGACTTACTGAACAAAAAAACCTAAATGATATGCGGATGGAATCAACTGCTCGGCTTCTTTTGAAAATGTCTTTGATATGACCTTGAAGAGTGACCTTCATAGATAAAACTAACCCAAGATTTGAAATCAGGTACCCCAAAAAACCTTTCGCACTGAAATTCAAATAAAGCACGTAGAAAACCTCGCATTTTATAGGACAAATTTTCCAAGTCGCTTTATACGTTCATAAGCAGGTTTTTTTGATGCCCATTAACATGAATCAAGAGATTGTTGGGTGGTAACTATGTGCTTTGCTTAAATCATTTTTTATACATTACGAAAGATTCTGTTTCCCCGGCAATGTTTTTTATTATCATTCCTGACAAAGAGACTTTTTAGCAAAGGTTCTCTGAGGCTGACCATCTTTGAGTTGGATGCGATTTAATTCCTTGAAAACCTTAAAAAGGGAATCTGCAATGCTTAAAATCTGGGCCAGCAGTTCTTATTTTTGAGGTTAAAATTAAAGTTTAATCGCTTCCATACAAGACACTGAAAACAATATTAGGTTTAATCCATTCCAAATTGTTATTTTATTTAATTGTTAATAACCCATTATGGGCCACGCGCGTATCTCTAGCTTATACAGGGCGAGTTTTTAATATAGAATCGGTCCATTTCTCTGTAATAATTAAATGGGTCTAATAAAAGATACAACCTCTCTAGAATGTGTGTGCGATTTGTAAGTGAATAGTAATACAAACATTTTTTTTTAAATACAATACCCTTTATATTTTAGTATATTCTGAAAGGCCGCTTCAAAGAAAGAAGTTAGATATAGGATAGTGTCCTATAAATAATTCTTCTGGATTAACGAGGTAATTTTTCTGAAAGAAAAGCATTCAACTTCCATAGTTTGTATGTCACTCTTGCATATAGAGTAGCAAACTTCTCGTCAAAATGAGCGTCTCGTTCCATAGTTTCTCGAAATTTAAGGGCGTTTTCAATTTTCATGAATCATCTAAACAGAGTGTTCATAAATACAAGATCAAGTTTTTTTAAAAGATTCAAACGTTTATGTTTTAGATTATCCTCTTCAGAAGCTTATATTTAAAATATATTACAGTAAAATTACAGTTATTTTCAATACATGATTCGTGGAAAGAGATAATTTTTAGTGGATCAGAAGATGGCTGGTGGAATAGTGCAATGTTGGTACTACGGGGTCATAGGGGTAAAGGTGGCCTAGTTGCCACGCTCCACCTCCCCACCACCACTACTACTACTAGCCACTAAGTAACCTTGCTTTAGCATATACAGATCTTATTACGGTTTTTGGTTGTTATAACTCAACAGTTTGACTAATCGTATCATGTGCGAAAATTAATTTTCCTAAGGATTATTGCACACCGCGCAAGTCGATCCATAATGCAGCTGTAACTCGCTCTTGTACGCGAACTTCAATTGTGTGATAGAGGACCGTTTCTTTCATTCACTATCCGGAAATACAACAATAAATTTAACAAATACTGTCGACATTTCAGTTGTGCCTTCAGACATTACTGTTTTGTACTGTAGACCAACAAACACAAATGAGGAAGACCTCTATGTATGTTCACGAGAACATTCTCAAGAAGCTGAGACAAAACAAAAAAACGTATGCCCTCTGTCAGCTTATATACACAAACTCTTGGCAACCTCTAAGATTATAATTTGTACCTTAGTTTTAAGGCATTGAAAATACCCTTTTTAGGATTTTTGAGCCTTAGAATGGCGTATAGCTAGGGCACGGTCAAATTTAGAAAGAAACAGTTGATTAAAAACAAATTTCTTGTGACTTGTTTGGGGGGGCATTCAACAAACATGGAAATAGTCTTTCCGCATAAATCTGGATGCTGGAGGGTATCCATGGTTTCTTGGGAGTCCTTTTATGCGCAGCCTCTAGAAAACCCCTTCTTGCTTTCGCTTCATCTTTTCGCCTGCCTTCTCTCAATATGTGCTAATAATAAGGATATTTGGACAAGCACACATACCTATATCAGATTCCCTGGGCTGCAGTAAAGCAATATCATCAATAGGGGCTTGTTTCTTTATCGGCTGCAGTCGTGCCAGTGCTTCCCTGGACAGCGGACATTCGTTCAGTTCCTCTTGAATCTCCTCAGTCAGACAATCAGAAAACGCACGATACGGTGCTTCCTGTTTCTTACAGCACACTTTCATTGGTTCCTAGAATACCTCAGTCATTAGGTAACTTAACCTAGAAGAGAAATCGAACGTAGCAGTTTCTAAAGGAATGTCCACATTCGTTTGCTTTCCCTTTCACTCCAAATCCAGTTGCGTCTTTTTCTTTAACTTCACAAGTCGACCTAATTTGGGTAACATCGATGAGAATACGTATTTTTCGTTTCATTTAGAAAGGTATAAAAACGCTTTTTCCCAGCAATGACCTAGCACGTCCCATTTACAAGTAAGTGCTCTTTTTTATAATGCTATCTTTGAAATCATTGTTACCTGCCTTAGGACCGGAACGTACAACAAGACCGCAGGGGGGTCACAGTACTATACGAACCTGTAAGAGTTTTATTGTTTTCTGTAGTTTGGTTGGTTTCTGTCTCCAGTCAAGTGTTTAAGTAGATTTTGATACAAAATGGCAAGTTCGAGTCGTCGATGTTGCAAAAATCCAGCCGATAAGTCTTGATACATAATATATGTGGACGATTCATTATAAAGTCGCAAACTAAATCTATATCTCAGAAAGTCAAACAAGCCTATTTTTATATTTTTAGTGCCAAATTGGGGATCAAGATAAAAGTTGGGCTTCTCAGGTTTGTTGTGTGAGTAGTCACGTAAATTTACTGAAGTGGATATATCGCAAGAAAAATTATATGCCGTTTGCTGGATTTCAAAAGCATAGAGACAAAACAGAGTATCCAAATTTGCCTTCTGTGCGAAGGCCAGTTCATCATTGCCAGAAACTACCGGTACCGATAGCGCCTTTAAGCCTGGACATCGTATCTCCCGGTGATTCCAATTCATTAGAATCTGATCCATAGCATCCTGAGAACAGCAGTTGTGACCCAAAATGCTTACCAACTGCTACCAGTGAACCTCACACTAACTCAGAATGAATCAAGTGACTTGGTACGTGACCTTGGATTGTCAAAACAAAAATCGGAACTTCTTGGTTCCAGACCTCAACAGTGGAACTTGTTAGAAAAGCAAGTGTTTCGTTATACCGAAAACGGAATGTAACATTATCAAGTTTATTTAAAATGGAAGGGTCTCTATGTGTCTGCTGTGATATTGATGGTTTAATGAATTACCTTAGTATGGAACATGATCCTAGCCCATTCAGTGACAATGAATGAAACCTATGACAACTTAGCAACGAATCGTGTTGAAGTATGAACAGTATCAGTGGGATATCTGTGGAGATTTAAAAGTCATAGGTATATTGTTAGGACTTCAAGGTGGTTTTACAAAGTATTGCTGTTTTTTGTGTCTATGGGACAGAAGGGCAACAAAGAACAGTACAGTAAAAAGGATTGGCCTCATAGAACTTCTTTTGAACCGGGTACTTCAAATATTAAATATTCCACCCCTTGTTAACCCAAAAAAGGAGCTGCTATCGCCTCTCCATATTAAGCTTGCACTAATAAAAGACTTTGTCAAAGCCGTGGATATAGAAGTACCTAAGTGAAATATTTCCTCAACTAACTGATGCAATATTAGAAGACGACATATCTATTGGACCTCAGATAAGGAAGCTCCTAGATGATCTTCGTTTTCAAATGAAAAGGGATTGGCAACTTAAACGTGTTTTGTACGTGTAGTGAAAGGATTTTGGCAACAAGAAAGATGAAGACTATAAAAGCCTCATAGATGAACTGTTTAAAACCTATAAATTAGGTTGTCGCATGTCTCTAAAAGTACATTTTTTGCACTCCCACTCCGTATAACAAAAAAATTATACGTGCTACAGTAATTAGCATATCATTTTCGGATTTAGGACTCAAAAATACTTCGGACAAATCTGTTTTCAGCAATGTTACTTTACAAACATTTGAATTTGTTGACCAGTTGTCCATATTTTGCGCCTTATTCTCTCAAGTTTGTTATAACACATTCGTATCAGTTGGACACGTTTACTGTACTGTGCGATATTTTGAAAATGAAAGGGAAAGGGAACACGCAGATTGTGGACGTTACCATCATTTATTATCGTATTACGCCTGAAGATAGCCAACCTAATATTTACTATTTTTGCGCGTCCAAAACATTATCTAAGATGAGATACCGTAGCGTCATCTATGAGAATTTTGTCAATCTTGCGAGACAACGAGCTCTTCCCGTACCACGTACAAGGAGTACAATCTCTAAAACCCCGGAATTATATTCCAAGAGTTGAATTTTATCAAACAGTGTAACAGAGACACCGCGAAGATCCGCGATTTTAGAGCTTATGTAGCTGGGCCATACTAAAAATATTGTAACTATATAATGCAGTAAAAATATTGTACAGGTTACTGCCAGAAGCGAGAGACTGACGACAATCAAGCATGAAATTTTTAAGTAGAATTTGGTAGGATTTCCGTTACTGACATTGTAACATACGAGTATTTTGGCAAAGCAGGTCACAATGCAAAACGCGTATTTGCTGTCTTTTGGGGCTGTTTTTTTCTAGAAACCGCGAAAGGTAAGTTTATTTGGTAATTCATATATCAAATAATAAATTAGGTCGATTTTTTGAAAATGTACTAAGTGACATAGAAAAAGAACACCCATAATAAACTCATTAAAATAATTTTTCATGTACTTAGGTTTAAGTGAGTGATTGTTAAGAATTTCGGTATAATCCATTCGTTTGAATAAAAGTAAAAAAATTATAAATTGTTGAGCCTCTGCACTTAGAAACACATTTGGGCATACTACTATTCAGATGATCGACTTCCTCTTGTTATCTCATCCGAGGCTACTTGTACCTCGTGCCGAGGAGTGGAGGATGATGTAACATATCACAACAATTGTAGCTAGAAAGCACAAATATTGCTTGTTAGTAAGAACAGGCGATATTACACAATCGATATCGTTGAAAAGTTTTCTATCCGATATTTGTGAGCATGTGTAAAGTATTCAGTATGCAGCCAGATTCCATTCATGTAGACAAATATCTCAAGACACGCTTGAACATTTGAAAAAATAGATTCGAACAAAATCTTTAATACTGCATGGAGGAAAATGGACATCATTTTGAGTACTTATTACCACAGTGACCTACCTCTTTATAGCAAAATAATTTCTACTTAACTTTAATGTGAGTGTATGTTGTAAGATGTTTTTTGTTTTTTTTAATTTTCGGAGACTTGTTATAATCTTAAAGTAAAGTTGTGTTACTATGGGAACAATATTGATTATTATTTTTATTATTATTATATTATATTACAATTTCTACAATTTTATTATAAACTCAAATAGATTCACAACGATTGAAGATATGTATAAACTTTATTATACAAAAGTTACTAAAAACTTCATAGAAAATCTAAAAATTGAAAAATGGGGGTTGCCATTTAAAAATCGCAATATCTAATTTAAATATTTAATTTAAATAAATCAAAACTGGCGTGTCCGCGCGTGTTTCCCAAAATATACCAAAAGAGACAAATGGGGGTGCGACCTTTTCGGTGGACCTGTATATGACATAAATTATGAATTTTGCTATACATATGTGTATTTAAGTCATATTTAATTGAGTTCTGCTTTTGATGAACAATATGTATAGTGTAGTCGAAATCTGTATGGGATGCCTGTTTTTGAACGAAGCAGCTGAATAATCTGTGCCAGTCTCAACGAAAAATTCGTCTCTTTATGCCTTTTTTATATCCTATCATTATTGAAGATTTAAAATTTACTACTACATATGTATATTTGTGACTTTTTTTATTAAAACAATTGTTCCAAAGAGTTTATAAAATTTAATTTGACATTTAAAGTTTGTTATTAACTGAATGGCTTCTTCATTTAATTCAGTCGATTAAGCCTAATTTATAGGTATTCTCGCCCAAAATCACGATTTAAAATTATTTGCCAAAAACCGTGAAAATGTGGCTCACCTATCTCTTCAAAACGCATACATTTATACAATATCCGCTGCCATAGCCTTTTTTGCTTTTTAGAGCATTTCGAGGAAACTTCCATACATTTTTTTATTTGCAACTGCGCGGTAACTGATGGAATTGTTGTCAAATAGTTGGTGTCGCACCTGTGTGCATAACATCTGACACCATTACGTTACTTTTTAAAATTGAACTTGAAACTTACATCGCATCTCTTGTCCGTTTTCTCTGGGCAATGAGGATAGTCGAATTTAGGACATTTTCCTTGACAGCGCGGTTTTTCATGTTGAATTCGGCAAATCCGTACAGAAGTTTTTTTGTCTTTTTCACTTTCGGATGCATATGTTCTTGTGAAAGAATTGGTGTTTGAGGAATACCTTCTTATACTTGTCGTGGGACAGGATAGGACGAGATGGCATCCTAAAAAAGAATAATGCATGAAAGTACATCATTGACTACAATTTGAAGTAGGAAAAGCTTAGAAAAACACTGCATACACAAGTTTTGTCCAAATATGAAATAAAAACAGCTCAAAACTTTTTTCAATTTAACACCTATTAAGCGAAGTGTATTAAAAACCAATTAAAACATTCCAAAAACTTTATGATAATGTGGTTTTCATGAAGAGGTGCAAGCGTTAAAAGGCAGTTTTTTCAGCCTATACGCAGATTCACCACAAAATTAATTTATTCTAATTGAAATGTGGCATAAAATAGCTACATATTTAATATGTTACCAGTGTTGTGAATGAGATGCCTATTTTCTGATATACTTCTTGGACATTGCGCTATACTTTTCCGCTCTTTGATTTCCTTCTGGAACAGTTTGCGGACGAATCTTCCTAAAAACATGAAAATAATATCTTTTGTCATCTGTTGGACAAAGCGATAGATTTGTAGTCTTATAACTAACAGGTGATTCTCATTGACTTATTTTTGTACCAATCTTGAGTTACTGACAAACACGAGATATAATTTGATTTATACTACTATACTCAAGTACCAAAATCTAAGAGAGTAGCGTAACCTTTTCGTTAACATAGCACTAAAACCTGGATTCAAAAATGCACCACTGAATCAGGAGCTTCTTCATGTCGATTTTACGACTAAATTGGTTCACGATTTACTCTCCGCTCCAGCAAAATCCAAAGCGTGTCAACTTCTTGCCCGTTGAGAGCGTAGCATAAATGTGGAAGATACATACTTTGACAAGGAAGTGTTCAAAGCGGTTACAAACAGGCCCATAGATATTATTTCCCGCCCTTCCTATAATATATACCTGGCCACACGATGCGTCAAACGCGGCAGCACAGCATATCGGCAGTAATTCCAATGTTTTGAGGGCAAGTGTGCGGGGAAGTCAATATCTCCAATAGATACGTAGGATAACCAATGTCAAAGAATTGAGATATAATCTCACCCAACCCCCTACAGCACCCCACCCCGTAATTATTTACACCTAAACATTTTGTCAAAAATAAACAGGAATCTGTGAAACGTCAAAAAACGAGGTTTGAGCGATTTTATTTTTTTTTTCGATTTTGGTGTTTTTTTCCCCCCATTTAACCTATTTCCAAAAACTGCTTCCTAGTTGTAGATGGGCCAAGGATTAGCGGACAGACAGGAATATTGACAGATTAAGTCTCCAATTTTTAGGCGTGGAAGTAAAAACATGTGTCTGTGAGCTCACACAAAGGAAGATTCTAACTGCATATGTATGTGTGAGTGACATAAATATAGGTATGAAAGTGATCCCTGTAGTTTTACTGTAATCCGCAAAAACAGTTAAATGACCTAAACTCGTACTTCTACTAGTGTACTATATTATTATTACCGTTGTCTAACCTTTGGCTTGTAGGGCCTTTGGCACTCGAGTCGTTTCCTAAAGCGCCGCATTCTGAAACAATAGATAAGTCATATCTCGTACATTAAAAAATGCTACTTTCTATAAAACGTAGTCTCCAACAATTTGAATAAGGATACCTACCACTCATAAGATCATCTGGCTGTTCATCTACATGGTTTTTGACATTAATTGTCATGGTACTGTAACATTTCTTATGCTTTTTTTCGTTCAAAGGTTCGAATTCTTTGGTAGTCTTTGGATGAAATCCACATTCTTTCCTTTTGCAAGTCCACTCAGCGTGTTCAGAAAATGGCTCGATCTCTTCATTCATTAGCTGAAAATAAGCATCAAAAGCAATAAAATGAATGATTGCCCTGACATTTTAGGTTTTTAGGTATCAAAAATAGATGAGATTCTTCATTTCATAAAATATCGTGCATCTTTGATCCCGTCTCAGATGTTCAGGTAAAAATTCGTCGCGTGGATATTCACCCGAAAGCAAGCAGCGGCTAGTTCACTTTATACAATACAAATTATTTCTATCATTCTGTATGCCTCATGCGCGTAAAATTACTGACTTTAGAAGTTAATAAATACACTGCCACCAAAAAATTGCGATATATCCTCTCCACCCACAACAGCCTCCTCCCATTTTTCCGCTACAAATTTTTTTCATAAATGATCCTCTGAAACGTCAAAAAAACGAAGTTTGACTGATTTTCATTTTTTTTTTTCATTATTCTCCAAAACTACAAAGCTTATTCATGCTTGGCATAGTAGTAAGTGTGTGTAAAATTTAGCTATAGACGGCCCAACTATTTGCGGGCAGACTGATTGACAGACGAACAGGCCGACGGAAATGATGACATGGTCTTTCATGATGTACATATATAATATAAAATCCAAAAAAATATTTTTGAAAATCAATAAATAATAAAACAATACTTCCTCGCCTTCTAAACATATTTTTCTCCCATGGCTTGGAGACCAACACATTTATCTCATCAGCATCAATATCAAGTAATGGTACCTGATTTTTATCTACTTTGCACGGACACCGGGGTAAAGCGAATAAGTAAATACCACAAATGGTTGAGAATTTAATTTTTTAAAAATACGGTATGCACTGTACCGAACAACTATGAACGCCTCCAAAATTCTGGAGATTCTTGATGAAACTGATAGTATATTTCATACAAGGATTTACATTTCAAACAAATTGTATATAATTGCAGGTGTACCTCAAGAACCGGTACTGGGTCCGACTCTATTCTTCAACTGAATTAATTAATTTAAATATAAATGGCAAATTCTTCGTTTTTGCTCACGATACAACAACGCTTTGACAAGAAAAGAGATTCAAATGAAATTGAATCAAAAACTGTCAAAAAATTACTTATTTAGTAAAAAAAAACTTGAAGAAACATGGGCGCCAGCGGGATTTATTTTTAGTTTTACTCAAGTTGTTGTTTACAGAACATACTACTCTCAATTGCGGATGCGCTTGTCAGAAAAATCTAATACAAAAAATGATTGCGTTTCTTATTTTTCGAAGCACACTTAAAACGATAGTCTAGGTGAAGTAAAGTATAGCACTGAAAATATTTTTTGAGTATCTTAAAAATTGACGAAGATATTTTTCCGTAATTAGTAATTTCAAAAATAATTTTAAAAAGCCCTGTAGAATTTGCTCTATTTCACATAGTAGCATCGTTATCAGACACCTCGTTAAGAAATATGTCAACTTTGGCTGCAACTGAGTGCAGGTTTAGCAATCATCCAACATTATACAATAAAACAAATTATACCTTGAAAACATATAAAACTGAAATTTGAGGGCGATCGACAAATAAAAATTAGCTTTGCAAAATTCAGCACTACGCCAAAAAATGGTGTAGACCTTGAATAAATCATTATGAATAATGTGTAAAAACGTATATATTCCTCTGAAACTGAAAGAGATACCACCAAAATACGTACAGAGGTCATGTCATTTTTCTAAAAAATTAGTTACAGGAGCAACCAATGGTTTGTTTACATAACGGTTGTACGCGAAATACTTGAAAGCAAAAAAGAAGTTAATAGTATTGATCCTGGTCTGCTGACATGTGCTCAGAATAAACAAAAGGGAGTGGTATTTTCGAAAAAAAAATTACTCGCTTCAAGCCATCAATATGTTATTACAATCAATATATAAAAAGTCCTCATCGGTCCTTGGTGCGCAAAATTTTCTGTGAGGTTACATGTCAAAACTATCATCAATAGCTTACACCAATACTATAGAACCGACAAAACTTGCCCAATTGCTTTTATGTAAGTTGCTATTTATGCGTTCCTTGATATAGAATCTAAGACACTAATACGGCTCATACGCGGCATGTCTGTAGCTGGTACAAAAATTGCAGAGAATACAACTATCTATTAAAGTTGGTCAAATACCCATATTCCTTGAGTTGCCGTTTTCGAGATTCAGTGATCCAACTCTCAGGTACTCTTCTGATCGTATTGGGGCATATATTATGTGTATTCCATCGACCTCCGAATATGAACATATATGTGCAAGAATCGATGTATGCTGTATTAAAATGCACACCACATAAAGGGTCAAAAAAGTGTCACTGACTTTTTTTTAAATTAAAAAATTATTCTATCACAATGCGCTTTTAAGCATCGTGTAGAAGAGGCTTGAAACTACATTTCTTTTAAAATTGCAATAGAATGTGACTTGCAGTTTCCTAAGTAGGTTTCGGATCGTAATTCTGACAGCAATATATGAAGATATATCGAGAAAATCAAAAATATGCGCCTATTCAACAGGGCCACACTGAAAACATTCCCGTACCTTGCGTAGTGTAAGTGCTATTGCTGGCAATGTTGTGGGCTACTCTATTGCAACTACATAATGCAGTAAGCGTACTGCTATTTAAAACCGTTTCTTCGGATTGAGCGACATTTTACCGAGCACGCCAGTTAAGCCGAAGAGCAAAAAGAATATTTTCACCTTCATATACGGACCTCTGAAAACGAGGGGTACGGAGGAGGAGGCTTTTGGCAACAACTTATTGGCCTCCTTCTCTGGCAAGAGGGTCTTCGCTCACCGCTTGGGCAGTTCTTCATAGGGGTTAGGCGTGGACCTTTAGGACACAGTCTTTCTTTCTTAGGGCAAAAATTCGACTTCGCACACTTGTCATCCTAAAAAAACATGGTCTGTATGGTACTGGATTGGCGTATTCCAACAATCTTGTTTTCTGCATGCTTACCTTACGAGTGGACGCCGTGGTTTTTATTCCATGCTGTCCAACTTTAATATCCACCTTTTCTGGCGTATGGGGCACTGACGAAGGCTTTGGTGCCATGGTGGTGCTAAGATTTCTCACAGTAGCACGTTGCGCTGGAATTTTACTGGCTTAGGTGAATGCAGCATTTACTGTGATCCTTCAGCATTTACCATGGTATGTGATATTTATGGGCCATATAGCAAGAGCATCAGTGATTGAAGCATAAAAATACTTAGAAATCCAGATACTGACGAAATACTGATTGTACGGACTACATCAGTACTGATCGTGCGGCATTCACCTCAAGGCCGGTATTTATAGTCACTACCTAAGTATTGACAGATACTCAAGGGATTAGTGTCCCTTAACCTACACTTAAGCGTAGCTTTACCAGTTAATTGCCTGAATGTACACAACCAATGTTGTAGCGACGTGCAATGGGTGTTGTATGTATCTTTATGTTTGACTGTTGAATCTATTTATTCCATTCCATCAATTTAAGTATGATTAGCAAACTTATTATTCTCCTGCTAACCTGTTTTAGTCGCACTCTCATTTTCAAAAGCCGAGATGCTGGTCATGATTTTCCTGATATCTATTTTATTGCTTTTTTGAGGTTCAAAATGTATCGTATCTTTTGATAATTCCTTCTCTAGAGTGTTTAGCTGATCAAGAAGAATAACAGTGTTTGGTACGACCGTCTTAGGTTTCGCTTTGTTCTTTACGACATTCCTCAGTGATGGAATCAGCGGTTGCTCCTAGAAATGAAGATAAGTGAGTCAGGATACTTGGTACAACATTTAAAAACCAAATGCGCTTTTCAAACAACAACTCCGGCTATGAGACAGTTCAAATATCAACCTAGCGCCATTTGACTGCGTATAGCAGGGATACTTTTTCAAAAAGCAGAAGGCATATGTGACATCATGCTATTTCACCCGTTTACCTTCTCTACTTCTTCGGCTTTATCCGAATTGGTCTTGAACAGCTTAGTGAACGTGCTCGACTTAAGTCGATCAGCGCTGTCACGGAAGTTATTCTTCCGAGGTTGGACACTGTAGCACCTCGTGGACGGTTTGAAATTCATTCTCCTAGGCACTGGTTTCTTACTTTTGCGCTTTTTCTTTATTTCTTCGCAGGGAGTTGGAGGGGTATAGTACTCCCAGCAACCGTAATCGGCCCGAGGATATGGAATGCATGGATCTACTACGTCACATGGTTCCGGTTCATCAATACACTCTAGCCTGAAACGTCATACAATCATAGCTTATACAGGCTGTAAATGATATGATGGTCATTATTTAAATGGGTGATAGAGGGGGTTAAAAGTTGCAAAAAGTTTCATATAACATGGAGGTCAAATCGGCATTATTTTAGAGAAAAGCGACTTTAAAGTAAAATAAAATCTGACAACGCCGCAATGCTAGACGCAAATTACGACGGAAATGTACTCGTAGAATGCAAACAATTAAAAAAGTGAACGTATATTGAACGTACTAAAAAATCCACTTATAAATATGGAACACAATTTTGATACATGCATTGTTTTTCTTTTTAAAACACGCACTGAACCTTTTTTGTATATAAAGAAGGTGTTCAAAATGTCGTCCTCCACTTTCCACGCAAGCTTCATTACGACGAACCCAGTTTCTTCTTACTCTAGGTCCGCGAAGTTGTCCATTTATTATTTCAGTCGCATTAAAAATTTTCTCGCGAAGTTGTACTTCAGTTGTTATTGGACCAGCCCCATAAACCAACCCTTTAAGTTCTCCCCAATACCAGAAATTCATCGGATTGAGGTCAGGAGATCTTCCTGACCATTTTCGAGGATCAGGAGCATTTCGACCGATCTAGCGATTTTGTTAATGGTCATTCAAATACTGAATGACGCTTCTAAAAATCTGTGGTGATGCCCCGTCGTGAAGAAACCACAAATTCTGTCTCCGTTGCAATGGCATGTTGTCTAAGATTTGTTCCAAAAGTTCTGGTAGGTTATTGGCTAGAAAGCTAAGGTATCCTTCTCCTGACAACTTTGGGGCTAACTCGAAAGAGCCAATTACCTGATCGTCAAGAATACCCGCCCAAATATTTATTTTAAAACTTGTTGGAAATGACCTTCACGAATGGTATGAGGATTTTCTTGGGCCCACGTGTGAGTATTATGGAAATTTAATATCCCGCCTCGCGTAAAAGTACGTTCGTTCGTCTCTAGATTGTTTTTAAAAAAATCCGGATTTTCAATGTTTTTGTGCAGAAACCACTGTCAGAATGTAAGTCTGCTAGGATAGTCTTCTGGTAATAAGGCCTGCACTCGTACATGGTAGGGATAAAGCAAATTTACCAGTAGGATTCTATGGACTATGATATGCGATAGTCCTACGCGGCGGCCTAATTCCCGAGTGCTGATATCTGCATTGATTTCCCCGATATTTAAAATTTGTTCCTCCTGCTCTACAGTAACCTGTCTTTCACGAGTGTGAATATTAGTGGTCTGAACACTTCCTGTATCTCGAAGTCTTTGGTACGCTTGCACAAATGTCCTTCTGTCTGGGTGTACTTGTTGGCGAAATCTGTCGCGATCAATTTGAGCTAGAAGATTTGACGACGTACGCGAACAAAAACAAAACAACACGCCCAACGATAACTAACCACTGTTACCGTCTGCGATCGATTGCCGGTTCGATAAGAGTGATGAAAGACCGACGTGCTGTTGTCATGTGTGTTTTAAATATTTAATTTAATGAAACTTACTTACTGACTACAAATTTTGGCATAACTTAGAAAAACTTAATGCCATTTATTTGTTAATTACCCAATTTAAAAACGTTTCAGATTCGAATATAAAAATTAGTAAGATTCTGGTGATTATGGTCGATAAAAGCACTTAAAGCTGTAAACTATAAAGCCACTCAGACAAAAATCTATTGACTTTTGGACCATGGGTCATATGAACTTTTTGACTTGCTTTGACCCCCCCTATTAACCATCTCAATAATGACTACCATAACGCGTATTTAGCTACAACTAGCAGCTAAGAGCTATCGATTTGTAAAGCATGGCATAGTTCAGGGTTGCCGCATATCTATTGCCACTAAAGTGTTTTACACATGTCAGCAAATAACAGATGATTATCTAGTAGCATTTAAGAATACCCAGTATCGATACAATTCTGAGACTCTTCATTCGACTTCTCTTTTAAGCGTGATGTAGAGAAAGATTAAGACTGCGTTTTTTTTTTTCAAAAACACAATCAAATTAGACAAGTTGTAGTGCTAAAATAAGTGATCGAAAGAAGTGGCCCTTATATTACGTTGGGCGGTTTGTGAATGTTTAGAATGTAGAACAAATTACCCTGAGCATTATACTGAGCAGGCACTAGATGGCTTAGCGATCGATCCAAAAACTCGAGTACGTAGGTTTTAATTCCAGATTAATTCTAGAAAAATCTACGAACACATAATGGCTCCGTAGCAACGTTTATTGTTCAAGCCTGACAAAACTGTAGTAGTCACGGAAGCACCCTTCAATGATAACAATTTCTCTCTTTTCACGCATCATTTATGTCATAGTATTCATAGTCAATTTTTAAGCATCCCAGTTTGATTTTTCTAAGTCTATATGCTAGTATTCTAAACAGGGTGATTCACAAGTCGTGACCAAAAATACATCATACACAGCACGGCATTCTAAGGGGGGTCTTCTATGTAACATTTTTTCCTCCAGGGCTTCATTAAAAAGTTAGAGGGTGTTAAAAGTTAAAAACTAAAAAATAGTGTTTTAATATCTTCAAAATTTGGTATGTGGATTTATCTAAGTATTGTCCACATTCAAAAGTCTGTACTCAAAATTAACGTGCATCAGTGGCGGAGATACAGGGTAAAGTAAAAGTAGTACCTCACTGTTTTTTTTTCTGAAACGCTTTATTCAAATTTCACCTTCAATGCTACAAATAATGTACACTGTTTTCGTAAAAAAAGGATCATTCATGAAGAGCCGAGATAAAATTAGTTTCAAAATAAAATAAGAGGCCTTGGTACCAACTTGACGTTTTTTGGGAGATAGTTTGTCAAAGTTATGTGTTATGCGGTTGTTAAATTGGGAAGTTATACATCCTTACCATTGGCAAAATTTGCAGTGTCTGCAACCCGGCGACAAAGTGCAACGGTGAAATTTTCGTGAACGGTTACTTCAAATGGATAATCAAAATGCAGATTTTATTGTCTTGGTTTTGTGGTCAGATGAATCGCTTTTTACGAGGAGAGGAATATTTAAATCTCATAATGGACATATTTGGTCGTTGGAAAATCCCCGTCTGTAAGAATCCACTCGTTTCAGCACAAATTTTCTACTAGAAATTTCTGATGCGGCATTTTCAATTGCCAACTGTTTATGCAACGTTTAAATACAAACTCATACTTAGCTTTTCTAGAACATTTCATAGAACATGTGTTAGATGGAGTTCCGTTAGCAACGAGAGCAAGAATGTGGTATCAGCTCAACGGTACCTCACCGCATGTTCGTCGTGACATAACCTCATGGTTAAATAATCATTTTAGACAACGATGAATTGGCAGAAACTGACCCGTACATAGGCCTGCGAGGTCTCCCGATTTGAAACCCCTAGACTTCTTTTTGTGGGGTGCTTTTAAACAACTAATGTATGCTGAACAAATTAATACCGTTGATCAGTTACAAGAAAGAATAGATAATGCGTTTCATCAAATTTAAGCCACAACAAATTTTGTGGAAATGCGTTTTCCATCATTAAAAAGATGCCGCACTTGTATTCGTCAGAATTATGGTCTGTTTGAACATTTATTGAAATAAAGCTTTAATTATCTGATTTTACGAAAACAATGCACTCTAGGAAAAAACACAAGAGTAATTATTCGTAGCAAATTGAAGGTAAAATTGGTAACAGAGTGCTACTAATCCCCTGTAACTCCGCCACTAATACACGTTAATGTTACATAGATCCTCCTTAAAATGCGGTCCTGTGTATGTTTCATTTTTGGTCACGACTTGTGAATCACCCTGTGTATCCCTATTCTATGTATACCTTTTGAAATGAACATCCTTGTATTCAGGTTCTATGCAGGGACAATCGCCAGGTACGATTTTACGCAGCGGTTTGTGCTTCGGCTGGTAGTTGTCATCCGCACGAGGACACGGGCAGACCTCCACGCAAGGGCAGATTCGAGGTGGTTCTGGCATTGTGAGATCCAGACGCTTCAAGCGTACATCTGTCATAGGTTCTAGTTCGATGCAAGGACAATCTTTCGGTACCAATGCTGGTAGTTTCTGCAAGAGAATGTTTCGCGTTGTGCATTTTTTTAATATAGAATCTCCACTATTGTGCCTCGGTTTTCTCCTTGGTAATGCGCTTTTTGGTGGTCAAACAAGTTTTTTTCAATATAGTCTAAGAACTTCCAAACTGTCTCCTCACTCGAGCCTTCATTTTCTCCTTAGCCATGCCGAGGTCAAAAAGGAGTGTATGCAATACAAATGAACAAATCATAGGCTAATTTACTCATATGAAGGCCTAAGCATCCGATGGGTATCATGGGGCTACAGACGGTGCAAAGGGGAAACGGGGGACGCAACAGGTACTCTGGCACGTGTGCATTCAACATGCACACATTCTGACCCCGCCTTAGAGATCCGCCGGGTGGTACTTCCGCGTTCGACAGTCAGAGACCGTTTACTACATACGGATAATCAAAACATAGATAGCCAAGAGAAAAATTCTCTTGGGACGGGATTCGAACCCGCGCAGATGCGCGGCGACTGATTAAGAGACCCATAACGTCTACCCCTACGCCTCCGCAGCTTCACCATATCTACATGTAATTAAATAGAAAAAATAGTACTACTTACAGTATTTGGCTTAGGAAAACGAAATACATTGATTTCAATTATCAAAAGCGCAAGTTGGATATACAGGGTGTCCTGAAAATAGTATGCAATATTCTACCACCCGTTTCTAGAGCTTAAAATAGGAAGAAAAGTTTATATAAACATAGATCGACAAACGTCCCCTAACGGCGCTACGGTCTTTTAAAGGGGCTCCCCTGAAGATGGTTTTTCCTTAATATTTCCGAAACGTGTTGAGGTAAAGACATAAAATTTGGTATCCTAGCCTAGTTTTTTATGCTGGATTTAAAAATATTAACAGTTTTAGACAATTTTGTTTGGAAGCGTATGTAACAGGGACGAACTCAGGTTATTTTAGCCCTAAAATTTTTGTGTGATTCTATTTCTGAAATTCAATTTTAGAATTTGAAAATTTAGGGTTTTCTACATAAAAAAGGTACTCTTATTGAATATCGATAAAGTGTGCCATTTTTTGAATAAAATCAAACTAAAAAATTTGTCACATGATAGGAAATGTCCTGCGAATTTAAATGAATTGTTGATTATACATAGTTAGCCATGACTGTAAACAAAAGTTGTTTTGATTTGTTATGACTCATTTTGACGTTAAGCTGGCATTGTTAGCAGTGTAAAATTACTAGATTAAAATCAAACTTTTTACTAAATCGATTTAAAATGCCAAGATTTACAGACAGAGAACTGACTGACATGCATTTTGTGTACGGGTTTTGCAATGGCAGTTCATTGGCAACCGTAAGAGAATATCAAAGAAGATTTGCCAATCGCACAGTACCTGGACGTCGAATGTTTACTGATATTCACCGGAATTTGTCAAACCATGGAAGTTTTCAGCGCATGCAGGGCTCAGGAAGGCCACTGGGAAATCATCGTATGGATATTGCTTTAAATACACTAAGTGACAGATAAATCCGAACACCCAGTATAAATGGTTTTATTTTAATAAAATTTTGTATAAGTACTTAATGAAGCATAATAAGTAAATGATAAAAATTTCAAAATGATTGCACTGCTTTAAAGCCCTTTGACCTTTAATAATGTGTGGATGCACCCTGATGTGCTACGCATTCTCCAACGCGCCTAGGCATGCTTCTGATCAGGTGGTCAATGTCCTCCTGTGGTATCTCATTCCAGGCAACCACCAACTCCTCTCGAAGTGCTTCTAGAGTCTGAGGAGGACGTTGCAAATTGAGCAATCTCCTACCCATCATATCCCACACGTGCTCAATTTCGGATAAGTCGGGTGATCTTGGTGGCCATGGTAACAATGTGACATCATTATGTTGAAAGAAGTCTATTGTGACTCTTGCAACATGTGGTCGGGCATTATCTTGTTGGAAAGTTGGATCTGCCAGGGTGTCAAGATAGGGTAAAAGATGGGGTTCTAGAACTTCGTGGATATAACGCTGCGCGTTCATGTTACCTCTGATGAAGATTGAAGGTGACCTGGAACCATAAGCCATAGCACTCCAAACCATAACTCCAACAGTGTGATGAACATGTCTCTCAACAAAAAACTGTGGATTCCTCCTTTCACCACGTCGCACTTCTAACCCTGGCACGACCATCGTGCATGCCTAAACAAAATCGAGACTCGTCAGTAAAGACAATACTGTTCCATTCCTGATCCCAGAGTGACCGTTGTCTGCACCACTCAAGGCGATTACGTCGGTATTCTCGAGTTAAAGGGAGGACCCAGTGTGGCCGGTATGAAAACAAGCCAAAACTTCTCATTCGTCGGTAAACACTTCGCATGCCAATAGGTCTTCCGTGTTCTGCAAACCATTCATTTGCAATGAACCTGGTAGTGGAGAAACGGTCCCTTAAGGCCAATAATCTTAGGCGGCGATCTTCACGGTCTGTTGTTCTACGGCGGCGTCCAGTGCCCCTTGTTCTTTGCGTACCGCCTTCTCGAAACCAGGCCTGACAACACCTAACCACAGTGTCTACACTTCTTTGCACTCTAACTGCAATTGCCCGAAAAGAAATTCCAGCTTCCCGAAGTCCCACTATACGGCCCGTATCAAACTCACTAAGTTGACGAAATCGTACAGGTCTCCGTACTCTAGGCATCGTAACCGATCGTAAAGGATGTCAAGAACCAAAATCCGCTAACGTTGATTCTTTACTGCGGCTGAAATATTCATTTTTAGAGCGTTAGTGAATTAAAAAAAAGCAGTATAAAAACCGGAATGTCCAACTGATAAGGCTGAAAATTTTTTCACTTGTTATTTACAGTAAGATAAATACATTCACCAACTTTATTAAAATAAAACCATTTAAACTGGGTGTTCGGATTTATATGTCACTTAGTATATGTTTGAAAATAATCCGCAAATAAGCATACGAAATGTTTCAGAAAATATGGATATACCTCGATCAATAGTAAGAAAAATTTATGAATACCTATTTGATTTTTATCCTAAAAATAATAATTTTAGATAGGAAGAATGACAAGAATGCAAGGATTACATCCTTAGCATTTTAAACGGGTGCAGCATTTAACGGAGGCAGATTTTTTACCACGAATCGAGTTTTGCCAGTGGATATTAGCAGAGGTGTACCTCAACTTTCTTCAGAATGAGCCCATGTATTTAATACCATTGGCATTGGATGTTCGCCAGCAGTTTCAAGAAAATATGTTTTTTCAACATGATGGCGCCCCTGCACATTTTGGACGCAATGTTCGAAATTGGTTGAATGTCAATTTTCCAGACAGGTGGTTAGGCAGAGGAGGTCCTATAGCATGGCCGCCACGTTCACCTGACCTAAATCCATTGGATTTCTATTTTTGTAGAATCCATCAGGCTGCAAATGAAATAAGAAGAAAAAGGTTTTCCACTTTTCGGGCTACGCAATCGTTAGTTCGTCGAGCGAGACTCTGTATCCAATAAAATGGGAATTTATTTAACACTTATTGTAAAGCTAGTTTTAAGTATATCCAACTGTATGTCTTCTTTTTTAAAGAAATTTTAATTTCTTTCGTAGAAAAAATGTATTTCTCTTATTTTTGCCTAAATGCTAGCTATGCTAGCTATGTTGCAATAGAAATATGTATGTATGTAATATTTATCAATTATTAAATTAGTTTTTCCTTTGCCATGGCTAATTATTCAACAATTCATTTAAATTCGCAGTACATTTCCTATCATGTGACAAATTTTTTAGTTTGATTTTATTCAAAAATAGCACAATTTATCGATATTCAATAAGAGTACCTTTTTTATGTAGAAAACCCTAAATTTTCAAATTCTAAAATTGAATTTCAAAAATAGAATCACACAAAAATTTTGGGGCTCAAATAACCTGAGTCCGTCCCTGTTACATACGCTTCCAAACAATACTGTCTAAAATTGTTAATATTTTTAAATCCAGAATAAAAAACTAGGCTAGAATACCAAATTTTATGTCTTTATCTCAACATGTTTCGGAAATATTAAGGAAAAACCATCTTCAGTGGAGCCCCTTTAAAAGACCGCAGCGCCCTCAGGGGACGTTTGTCGACCAGTGTTTATAGAAACTTTTCTTCCTATTTTAAGCTCTAGAAACCGCTGGTAGAATATAGCACACTTTTTTGGGGACGTTTGTATAAGTAACAATTTAAAAAAAAAACATTTTATTTTTAATATGAATCGTTGAAAACACTAACGGCCATGATGTGACGTCATACAAATTGTAAATAAAGAATGCCATCCGTATGTCACTCGTGGACTAACGCTCTCTTCTTTAGACATTTCTAAAAAAATCCCTAACCAACTTAAAAGGTTGTCGTTTTCTCGTTCTGTTGGAAAAAACAATTATAGGCGTTGGATTTGTAAAAGCAGAACGCACACATGTGTCGAAAATTGACACATAGATGGTTTGTAATTTTTTTGCGTTCAACCCAAATTTCTGCTATGCTGAGCTGATGATCATCAAGGCTTCTATGTAAGTACAGTGCAAGTTTAAAAGTTTGCGAGGCTATGATGCTGTCAGCTGCTGTTTACAAATGATATGACGTCAGGACATATTAATATATGGGCTAAACATGGCGGATAGCATTTTCGCTTACCTAAAAAAACTATATTTTTAAATTGTTTTACAGTGTTTCAGATCTGAAAAAATAAACTACTGATTATTTCTTATAATAGAACAAATATTAACTATTTAAGACCTACTCCAAAAAGTGTTGACTAGCCTATTTAAATAAAATGACGCGGTTGAAAATTCTTTGTAGCCCTTCAACAAAATATGGATTAGATATGAATTAAACAGACAGTGCTTTCCGCATTCATGATTATGCCAATCTGTTCAGCAATACTCCAAGTACTTTTAGAAGGTTAATATACTAGGATTGGTATGCGGATTATCTGCAAGGAAGATTAAGAAATTTGAAGCATGAGAGGAACATAAAGAAGGAATTCTGCGGTACGAGGGATGTCTTTTAAGTTTTGCATATAGAAACATAATAGGCCGCGCGGATCGAACGTCAGTACTGAATCTTAACCCCACTCTTTATTAAACTTAAATTCAAAGTTTCACAACAATACGTGCAGTGTTCTCACTACAGTGAATTTTTGAGTGTCACCATTTTCGCGCTATAATTTATTACAACTTTCAGAGACAATTATCGCAACAAGGATGCCTCGCTGAGTTACTGTCTGTTTTCGGCAACGATGCGCCACAAGAGTCGACAATTTCCCGTTGGTATGGAGAATTCAAACGTGGACGGGTGAGCCTTAGCGACGATTCCAGGGTGGGTGCACCAAAAACGGCAGTCACCCAGGAAAACGTCGATGCTGTGCCCAAACTCATCATTGAAGATAGACATGTGACATATCACGAGATTAAGGCTTCCTTGAAGATCTCAAAGACCTCAATTCAAAAAAATTTACGTGAAGAATTAGGTGTAAGAAAATTAGTTTCTCGTTGGATACCTGTTGACTGAGGAGCAGAAAGCAGCCAGGGTTAATTGGTGTCAATAAACGCTTGACCGTTTCAATTCCGGAAACACAAAAAATGTATACAGCACTGTTAGTGGTGATGAATCGTGGATTTACTGTTATGAACCAGAAAATAAACGACAGTCGGCTGTTTGGGTGTTCCAAGGTGAAGAAAAGCCAACAAAAGTCATCCGTTCTTGAAGTGTTTCGAAAAAGATGGTCGCGACATTTGTGTCAAAAGCGGGTCATATTGCAACAATTCCTCGTAATGAGCAAAGAACTATTACGGCGGATTGGTATACCACCATTTTTTTGCCAAAAGTCATCACCGAGCTTGGAAATATCAACCCCGAAAGAAGACATCCTCCAACAAGACAATGCAAGCTCGCACACAGCCCAAGAAACAAGGCAATATTTAACGGAAGAAAACGTGGAATTATTGGACCATCCTCCATATAGTCCCGATCTAATTCCTAACGATTTCTTTACTTTCCCGAAAATTAAAAACACACTGCGTGGTCAAAGGTTCCAGTCACCAGAAGAAGCAGTTGACGCATTCAAATATGCCGTTTTGGATCTGCCAGCAAACGAGTGGAATAAGTGCTGCGAAAATTGGTTCGACCGCAAGCAGATGTGTATTAATCTTCGTGGAGAATACTTCGAAAAACAATAAAGTCATTTAAAACTACCTACAATGTTGTTTTATTTCCATATGCAAAACCTAAAAGACATCCCTCGTAATACCAAAACTAAATTTGGCCTTACAGTCCTGGCAACCACGTATTCCCACTCTATTTGAAAGCCATTCCTGAAATTTTCAGTTCACTGTAGGAGTACTGATTCTTCATCCCCTAAGCGGAATGGCACACGCTCATTATTTACTGTGTCAATCATGAAACATAATATTTATTGACTATGTAGCCAGAACATGAGGAATTACTGGTGTACTCGTGTAATATTTCGTTAGAAGTCCATCGTCACTGATGAATGAACAGTAAATACTGATGGTACGGACCACAGTAAATACTGGTCGTATAACATTTGCCTAAGCCTAAACTAAGACTGACCAACAAAAGTTTAAGATGACGGAGATGCCTACCGACCGCTCTGACAGCAATGGTAAATTGCTCACCTTTAAACAAATCTCAATATGAGCCTTTGACAACCATACATGTAATTTTCAGATGGAATTTTACCTGTTCGACCACAAGCAGATGTGTATTAATCTTGGTGGAAAATACTTCGAAAAACAATAAAGTCATTTAAAACTACCTACCGTGTTGTTTTATTTCCATATGCAAAACTTAAAAGACATCCCTCGTATCAAGGGGGATAGCTTCCTTTCAGAGAACATCAAGACCTTTTTATATTAAAAGCGAGTCAAATAATCCGGAAAGATAATTCTCTGTCTTGAACTTTTTTCCTTCAGTCCTGCCCAGTAGTTTTGGTAAACAAGCGCATGTGTGGCTACAAGCAGCTGAGGAATTAAATTAAAAAGGACTTCCAATAATATGACACGTAGGATACGGTTGAACATTTTATCGTAGTTGTCCACCAAGATGGATACAGGTAGACTTGGAGCAAGCCGGCACATCATGTGTAGTGTAGTCAATTCACACTTGTGGCATTCTCTTAAGTAATGCTACAAGTACTTATAGAAGGAGCTTGAAGACGCAACAATCTGGTAAAGTTTAATGCTTCCAAAACACAGGACTGTACCTTGACGAACATGAAGCATCCTAGCGCTCATCCGGTTAAGGTAAGGTAAAACATTTGAAGGAAAAGATAAAGAAACAGAAGTAGAAATCTCCAATCAGAATTTAAGTGTACGTGGGAGTATCCAAAAAAAACTTACTCTCGGCCTGACGCAGAGGTTTTCATCGGCCCTTTCGCACACTTCCTCGGGACAAATGCGTTCAGGAAAGCAGCGTTCATGTTCCTCGGGTGGACACATTGGAGGCAGCCTCTTCAAAGGTACGTCGATCATTGGCGGAGGTTCGACACACGCGCATGGTTTCGGAACGTAAGGTTTCAATTGTTTTGGTTTATGTGGCATGTTGTCATCTGCTCTAGGTTGTGGACACGGGGGAGATGGACAGACCCTATCACAGTAGAACGTTAATCACTTATCATTTAGGGTAATGCAGTACAACGGTGCAGCGCTTTCATGCTGAAAGTCGTCGCAAAAAAGCTTTGACAGTATACAACATTTAATCAACAAACCATCAAATCTGATAGTAAAGTGGAAACTCGTGACAAGCTGACAAGGCTATCCAAGGGCTACTGCTCAATGATAACGGTGTGCAGTTTTGCTCCGCTATGCCGCGCTATTGTGGATTAAGGTCAAACTGCCTAACGCAGATGAGATTTGGTAGAAAGGTAATCAATTAATAACGATGCTTCATCACGCTCATCATCTTAGATTTTATTCTCAACCTAACTAGCGACATATACCTCTAGCTTTCTAGAGTAATTGCCACTGGATACTGATTGCGTAAAAGGTTACAATCTGATAGTTGCAAAATTTGCACTAAATGCACACGTTCTTCGGATAGCTCAAGCCAAAACTACTGCAACTCGAATTTCGCTATCATATTTTTTTGATTGAACCTTTGTAGCATATACTACGAGCGCCTTCCCACTTCAGTTGGCCCACTTCAAGATTTGTACCAAAATATGCCTTTATAAACTAAACATGACGAAACTATTTACTTCTAAAACAATTTATTTTCTCAAAAACATTTTAGATACAATCTAGTCGTAAAAAATACATATTTGAAATCACTTAGACCTATAACTAATAGAACAACTGAACAAATAAACAATGTTCGAATAAATGCGCGAAGTTAACAAAGCAACAATTGAAAGATTACCATTGGGTAGCATCACCTTTATTTTTTATTACGGCTGAAATTCTTTGGGGCATAGTGTTAACCAAGTTTTGGCAAAAATTTGGTGTAAAACAGTCCCATATTTCTTGAAGCTTTTGTCTCAGTTCGGTGATTGTACGGGCAGGATGTTGTCGTAGAACCTTTTTCATCTCGTGCGACAAAGTTTCAATAGGTGACAGATCTGGACTGCTAGAAACCCATTTCAAAAGTGTTACATTATCTTCTTCCATCCAGTGTATAGCCTTTTTTGAGGTATGGCACGCTGCACCATCTTGCTGAAACACAAAATCTTGGCCGGATGTCAAAGATTCTTCCATCACTGGTAAAAGCGATTCTTCTAAAATTGCCAAATATTTGTGTATATCCACATTTCCATCAATAAAATGAAGTTTTCCTACTCCTTTTCATGACATACTGCCCCAGACTATAAAGGATGCTGGAAGTTTCACTTTTCTCTTCAGACAGTCAACATGGAATGCTTCATTTTTTTGCGAATAACTCTACTGCGACTGTCACCAGCACAAACTTCGAATCGGGCCTCATCACTCCATTGTATTGCACACCATTGTTGAGGTGTCCATTGTCTATGTTCTTTAGCCCATCTAAGCCGATTTTTCTTTTGCAGTGGAGTTAATAGTGGCTTTTCTTTGACCTGTAAACAAGTTGTGCAACTTTAGGGTTTTTACTTCACTTTTTTTATAAGAAAACTTACCTTGCAAGTGCTAAATCCCAGTTTGTGGGCCTCTCTATGAGTTGTGGACCTCGAAATTCTCCTTCCAACAGCGTCACTCCACAGAGCACTTAATTGTAAATAATTGGCACGCCTGTTTTTCACGATTATTCTTCTTAATGCTCTTCGGTCGGCATTTATGATATTACTTTTTTTCACATATCGTGGCTTAATATTAACTGAACCAGTTACGTTATATCTTCTAACAATATTTCTCACACTGTACCGCGATAAGTCTATCAAAGTTGCAATTTCTAAGTTTGATTTCCCAGAATTAAAAAATGTAATTATCAGTAACCGAATTTTCTCACTAATAACCTTTCCTCTACCCATTTTGAAAACCTTAACTACCCAAAACTATTTTAAACGCATTCTGACAGCTGTGATTAATAAAAGCAATTGTCATGGCTTTTATTTTTCACAGCCACCACATTATAGACTTATTTTGCATTGAAATGAAAATAGGTTGATATGCTGTAATTGCAACATGTGTTTTTAATGCTGCAAATTTGATTAGGGAGTGATAAAGTTGGTGTTTTCTACTATATATTCCTTGTTAATATTTTAAACCTATAACACCCTGCTACATATTTATTATTTGTGTTTGATAAGAAAAAAAGATTTCAATAGTTGGACCAACTGAAGTGGGAAGGGGCTCGTATATAAAGTAAACTTTTGCAACAAAATCTGATGATGGAATAATCTATTGTTCACTTAATCAAGTTTTGATGTCTATTGAAGCGAACAGAAAGTGACAAATCACTAATCTATTTTTCACAATACTCCAACATGTCAAAGCACAACAACAAAGTCATGAAGTACAAGTTTCACACCAATTTTGTTTGTCAAGACGTTACTTTTCCTAAAACATGTGAAACAAATTCTTGCTTATTTTGGTTATTTTTCTATCGTCTTCAATGAAGCCATACATATGGTCGGTCTTTGAGCAATGATTGAGTTTTTAACCAGGCTTTTGGAGAATTTCAGGTAATCCAACAATGAACAATGTTAGTGTTCACGCTTGTTAAACAATTCATCGCCGCAAAGGTAGGCTTTTCAGTTCTTCACAAATAGCTAAATAACAGTAACAATTTCCAACAGATTTCTGATTGTTTATACCAAGGATTTACAAGAAATATGCGAAATTAGTTAAGTTGATCTAGAATCAGCTAAATGGCTAACCTTTGTTGGTGTTCTCATGGCGGATCTGTGAAAGCACAGCGTTGCCAGAATGTTCCCAGAACAAGCACAAAAATCCCGTATAATTGCTACTCTTAAAAAAATCCCTCCAATCACAGTCAGTTAGTTTGGTAACAAAGGGCGGGGGATGCTTTCTATCAGCGATACGTGTGTTTGTCCCCAGAACCTTATATCCCCAAAAAATTCCTTAAGAAAAAATCTCCCAAATTTGGCGAAAAATCCCACAACATGGCAACCCTGTGAAAGCACCACTGGTTCTCCAGGCGTCAAGTTTCGGGGTCGTTTTTACAGCATGAACGCCATGTAACAAATAATTATATAATATCCATATCAATAAGTGACACACAGCTCTGATGGACTAGAGATCTGGAGTATTTTGAATGTCACTAGAGATAATTAGCAGTTATTTGTTGTCACGTTTTGACAGATTTAAAATAGATTATCACTATGGAGACCACGCTTAGCTTGTCTGTCAAATCATTCAAATATCTGGGTATATATGTAGATAGTAAGCTACTAATTCAAGATCATCATTTCAAAAATCGGTTTGTTTACAGCAAATGATAGTATATTTCCAAAATTACAAAATGGAGCTACCAGAATTATTTTGAATAAAAACAAATATGTTAACATTAAGTCTATGTTAGAAGAACTACAGTGACTGAAAAATTGTATATGTTAGAGAACTTCACAAAATTAGATAGTCATTATCATAACTACGAAACTATACCCTATTCATAGTCCATTTATGCGCAGACAAAACACAATATGCCCAAAAGCGAGATTGTACAGGTCCGTATTTTCCTCAACGTATTTTCCTCAACGGTTTTTGAATAATCTAACAAAATGAATGATTATTTTTATAGAAAAATTTGCACATTCTTTTCACAATTCTTTATTTGCTGAAAGAACTTGAATCATCGTCCTAATAGTTAATATTAATTATGACAGGTTCAATTTGAATATCGATCATATACATCTTTGTTTTGATAAAACCAAATTTTTCACGTCAGAAAATGTTAGTTTTTTGTATTTCCCCACATCATTTCAAAGGGCCTTAAAATGGGCTTATTTTGTTTTTTAACCATTTCGTCAATAACATTAAGGTTATATTTATATTTGTGCTGCCTGACTAGATGGATAAGTTCTGCTTCGACCATATTTTCATAATGTCTGTTTTATATACAGGCTGACTTTGAAGTTGAGTCATTAATTTTCAGATAATGATTGTAGAAGGAAGATAAACCAAAATATGTGTGTAAAAATAAAAAAAACATTTTACCTTGTTTTATAAAGTATCCTCCCGACAAGTATTTCAGTGCGGACCTGTATTTGATCGTGAGGTCCCCTTTGAGGTCTTAAGTCACCTGATTCACGAGCCCGTTGTACTACATTAACAAAGGCACGAGGGGTTGGTTGCACTCGATTGGGAAACCGATCCGCATAAACATGTGCCATTTTTTATTTCGTTTGAGCCACGCAACAGACACTATTCACACGCGTTACCGACTGACCAGAGATAAACCCTTCGACTGACACTGACTGTATGTATAACTGAACTGAATGAAATAATTGTAAAAACATCGTTCCAAATTCTTTCGCTTTTTTGTTACTGATGCGATGAACCGATAAGGCGGATTATATCCGTTGTAGCCAAACACGAGCACATGATATTATTATTGAGACAGGGCGGTACTCAAACTTCCAAAGGGCTATAACTTTGTTACTTTAATTTTACCAGAAAAATGGTAAAGGAAAAAAACATTTCTTTTGATCAGATCTACTCACTGTTAAAATAAATGACTCAACTTCGAAGTCACCCTGTATATTTTCATTGAAACTAATGTCTTTTGATAGGAGCCATTGTTGAATTTCTGCCTTTCTTGTGGAAATTGTGGGAATTTTTTCTAGTTTTCTATTGTGGTATGTAGCATTATCAAGTACAATGACGGCATCGTCGTCAAGCTTTGGGAGCGTTTTTTCAGACCATCCTTCAAATGAACTCTCCAGGTTTCATCCAAGTTATAAATCTTCCTGCCATGGCCACGGTATTTCTTTAATGAGTTTAAATAATTTCTTCTCCATGAAATAATCTCTTGGTTGTCCATTAACGTACCATTTCTGTCCAGTTTTCTTTACTCAAAGTGAAGTTCTTTGAGTAAACTGTAGAATGGACTACGAATAGGGTATAGAGGCGGTTAAGTGGGTAGTATTTGAAAATCATAAACTGAATAATAATAATATTAAACAGTGTTCGAGTTTAAACATGTTTAAGGTTGAATTAAAAAATCGATTTATGAATATCTAAAATATTTACATGCTACATAGTGATGCGATTTTAATAGACAAGAATTTGAAGTTACAGAAAACTGATTCTAAAAATATATAAACGAATAATTATACAAAACTGAAATTGTAGCATCAATGCTGAATAGATCTTCAACAAACAAACAAACAGACATGTGTTCAGGTTCAGGGGTCAGTGATATTTCATCATTGATCCTAATCTGGGAGAGGTATGTGCTGTTTATCAAGCAGAAAAAGGTCGATAGGTTCAGCAGAGCGGGTCCCATCTCCGAAGCAGTCTCGCAATCTCAAAGTAGGCATGCGACGAATGCAAGCCACTGATACGTTGTAGACAGTATGAAATTTGCAAAAATTGTCAATCTAGGTATTACTGATTTTATCAATTTACTGGATCCGTTTTTTTGGGTTGGCAAAGCCTTCGAATAGATCATTTGCTTGGGCTATTAACCTTTGATCCTCCCAGAGGAGCAGCCAAAGATTACTATTTTTTTTTATTATCGTAGGGTAAGATGGAAAAGTTATAGCCAATTCACCTTTCCGGTTCCTCTGCAGATAGATCAAGCCTTTTTATTGGAGGCGCAACATGCGGTTGATACGGCTCAACGCAGACGCACGGACCATCTGGAATAAACGGTAGTCTCTTCGGGAGTATCTTCAAGCATTCGTCGGCCCTTTTGCATGGAGGAGGCGGGCAGACGTGCTTTGGACGGGGCATACACTCAGGTACAGGCAGTCGCACCTGGTGGAAGAGCACTACTGTATAATTATGAAAAATGATTTTGCAATTGCATTGTAATATGTATACACTACTCAAAAAAAAATAAAAGAGAGCAAGAGAAAAGTCGGTGATCTTTGACAGGCTGTATTTCCGTCAAAAACGCTCGTATCTAGACTCTAAAAACATAATTTTGAAGCTTTAAAATTCTCAGGTTTTTTTAGTCGAAAAAGTTTAGGAGCAGCAGTTCTCATGCAATCTTAACAGATGGCGCAAGAAAAAAGTTTTGCAAAACGTTTGCCTTCTTTTTAGTCCACGGGCTGAAAACACATTTTTTCTGTTAGGCCATCATATGGTTCAAAACGCCCATTTATTCAGCTTCAGTATCAACAAGAAAAAAGTCTAAATTCTTCAGTGATCTTTGGAGGCTGTTTTTTCGTGAAAAATGCTCGTATCTAAACTCTAATAAAAGCGTTTTGAAGCTTTATGGTTCTAGTTTGCAGGTTTTTTTTAAGTCGAAAAGTTTGAGGAGCAACTAGTCTCATGCAATTTTAATAGATAGCGCAAGAAAAAGTTACAAAACTTTTGCCTTCTTTTAAGTCCACGCTTGATTTTTTCTGTTAGACAATCATATGGATCAGAAAGCCCGTTTATTCAGCTTCAATATACTCTTTTTAGTGGAATAAGCCTCCTACAAGATTTGATTGCAATCTTTGAGGATTTTTGTTTTGTTTTCTTAGTGTTGATTGTAAAAAAGTAAAAAGTTACTTTTTGCCTTTTTTGGAAAATCGCCCACATTTTTGTACAGTTAATGAGGAGGTTAATGTCTTTGGTTGGAAATGAAAAAATCACACCTTCAATTTAAAAAAAGCGATTGGAAAAATTTAATTCTTTCATTTTTCAAAAGACAAAAATACCGACCAGGGACGGCTCAAGAAGATATTTTTTGTTGGGTCTCAAAGGCAGATTTAAGAATTCATCGGTTCGGAGAAACAGTATAATGGATCGATCTGCCGTCATGCAGGGTTATTAGGGGTACATTGAGGTATAAAAAACCTAAAACGTTAGCCTTCTCGCTAGAAGTCCCAAAACTGCGGTCGATTTTCCAGAACAGAAAGTGACTTTTTTTATTCTTAAAATTAACACTAAGGAAACAAGAAAGAATACCTCAAAGATTGCAACAAAACCTTATATACTTATCCCAGTTTTCTGAAATACCCTTACATTCTCTGTGCAACCACTGGTTATCCGGATATCAGTAAGCGATGACAAAATAAAATTTCAAAACCGTGAGCTAAGAGCATAGAATCAAATGCACATGCACACACGGGCACCCGCAGGAATTTTTCTCATGGGTGCGATCATCGGCAAGATGTAACTTTTTGCAAAAGTGTCCCCCAAAACCAGCTTTTCGAAAAGCAAGCTCTAGCAAATTTTTCGAAGGGAGGGGGTAGACGCTAAAAATCTTGAGAACTGAACACAAAATAGTCGCAAAAACGCAAATTTTGTGATCCAACCGGCTTGTCAGAAGGAGCCACGGCGCCCTTGAAAATAACGAATCAATAACGCTGCCTTCAGAAACGCTGAATCGAGTAATTAACTTTTGCTTTTCACAGTAGGCTCTAACGCAATGCATATCATCAATGGATGCCATCTGTGTCAGAAAGATTTTTCTACAAATTCATTCTCGAATCATAGTGAATAAAAAAGTCACAGACTAGATAAATTGCAGTATCGCACTGAACTTCTGTGCTGGTTGTAGATCACGTTTGATTCAAATCCAGAAACAGGGTAAGTACTTGTACAGTATTTAAAATAAAAATATGTATTTTATACTAAAATCTTAAATTCAATCCGACGCTGTAACTTTTGTCGGTACCTACACGTTCACGTTCACCCTTCCACTAAAACATACACAAAGATTCGCCCAAGAACAAGCATGATCATCGAAAGAAATAATGGTTTAGCATGCAAGCCCTGAGAAGTAAATCAAACTAACAGAAAGCAAACATACTACTATTATGCATTGTTTAGTAATATATAGCACAAAAAATAAACCTTCGCAAATTCATCAAAAAGAAAGACTAAATAGGACAGGACAGGAAAGAAAATTCTTTCTGACGTTGATGACAGCTTTTGAACACAACTGATATAACCTATGTGAAGTGCAAATGTTTAATCCTTCCTTTGACCGTTCCTCAAGGAAGAGATATTGTTTAGTTGTTTTCAAGCAGAGCTCTATCTTCAAACGCCACTCAAGCCTCAACGAATGTCTATACATGTGACTCTTAGAGGATCCATAACTCACCTTTGAGGGCAAAAAACATTTTCTCCCATCAGGTGCCGCTTTTAATGATTCTTCCAGTTGTTTTTCCGTTTTTTCGGTAGGACAATCGAGCATCTTTGATGGGCGAAGCTTTTCCTGTACCGCCAAAACCGTTGCACTTTTCATCATTAAAGGTCCTTCGGAAGTACTTATAGCTCTCTTCTGCATGTTCTCCATCTTAAACAAATATTTTGTAAGCTCGGGACGAATAAACAATCTGTGATTTCACTATTAGGGTTGCATTTGATCTTGTAATATCCTCAATTTTTAACGATTGCCGTTTGTCTCACGGAGTATAAAAGGTCGCTCGTTACTTTCAGTTGCACCTAGCTGCTGTGTGAAGTATTGCGTGGCATAGGTGCTATCAGAAAACACCTTTGAGATCTTTTAAAACCTTAAGATTGACTAAAGGAAGTCACGTATGTGACACAGGTTATGCTGAGCTGTGCTAGTTGTCAGCAGAGGCGAATAAAAGCTCACCTGTGGCTTACACTTGTAGTCTAATCATATTAGCAACTTTCCCCGAAATAATTGTAAAGTCTGGTTTTATTGATGCAAGTTGTTCAAGGGGGTATTTAAAACATGGAGGCATAACATAGGTAGACCAATTTTTTTGGGAAAACTTTTTATTTGACAGCAAAGAATGAGAAAACGTGTTTTTTGGGATTCAATCGAAAGTGTTGTCAGGAACCAAATAACTATTCAAATACATACGATTTTTAGGTATTTATGAGTCTACACGTAAAAAGATCCGCAAAATAGTAAAAAAGTCATTTCGGAAAACCTAGCTAAATTGCGACGATAGTTTCACTCAGCTACTTGAAATTCTTCAAATCCCAAGGCCTCATATTTCTAAATAACCGAAACAAAATTGGTGTCGGTTGGTCAAGTGGTTTTTGAGAATTTCTAATTGTTTATCCCAAAACACCTGTCTTCCGGCCATCACTATACTTGACACTGACAAATGTCAAACGAACGTTGGAGGCATATTAAATCTGTTATAAACAATTAGAATACTCTGGAAAACTATACAACATACAATGTTGAAACTTTAAATAATGTATAAGGGAGCATTTTGCCTAATTTTTCAGTCAGTTCGCTACAGTTGGTTGATATTGGTCTACTGTTTTGGAGTTTTTTCGAGTTTATTTTCCAACATTTTGAACTCGCAGTCGTTTTAATCGTAGGAGATTTCGAAAACAGACGTATACTATGCTAACACTTTTAGAGAAAAGTCTTCGTAAAGAAACTGGATTATGTGACCTACTTATTTGACAGTCATGCATAATGCAGCGATTTACTAAGTGACATATAAATCCAAACACCCAGTTTAAATGGTTTTATTTTAATAAAAGTTGGTAAATGTATTTATCTTACTGTAAATAACAAGTGAAAAAAACCGTTTCTCCACTACCAGGTCCATTGCAAATGAATGGTTTGCAGAACACGGAAGACCTATTGGCATGCGAAGTGTTTACCGACGAATGAGAAGTTTTGGCTTGTTTTCATACCGGCCACACTGGGTCCTCCCTTTAACTCGAGAACACTGACGTAATCGCCTTGAGTGGTGCAGACAACGGTCACTCTGGGATCAGGAATGGAACAGTATTGTCTTTAGTTACGAGTCTCGATTTTGTTTAGGCATGCCCGATGGTCGTGCCAGGGTTAGAAGGCGACGTGGTGAAAGGAGGAATCCACAGTTTTTTGTTGAAAGACATGTTCATCACACTGTTGGAGTTATGGTTTGGGGTGCTATAGCTTATGGTTCCAGGTCACCTTTAATCTTCATCAGAGGGTAACATGAACGCGCAGCGTTATATCCACGAAGTTCTAGAACCCCATCTTTACCCTATCTTGACACCCCAACTTTCCAACAAGATAATGCCCGACCACATGTTGCAAGAGTCACAATAGACTTCTTTCAACATAATGATGTCACATTGTTACCATGGCCACCAAGATCTCCCGACTAATCCCCAATTGAGCACGTGTGGGATATGATGGGTAGGAGATTGCCCAATTTGCAACGTCCTCCTCAGACTCTAGAAGCACTTCCAGAGGAGTTGGTGGTTGCCTGGAATGAGATACCACAGGAGGACATTGACCACCTGATCAGAAGCATGCCTAGGCGCGTTGGAGGATGCGTAGCACATCAGGGTGCATCCACACATTATTAAAGGTCAAAGGGCGTTAAAGCAGTGCAATCATTTTGAAATTTTTATCATTTACTTATTATGCTTCATTAAGTACTTATACAAAATTTTATTAAAATAAAAGCATTTAAACTGGGTGTTCGGATTTATATGTCACTTAGTATATAACATGCTACATACTAACTAGTTTAAGACAGTTTGAAAAATAATTATCTTCAGTTTGCTTGCTGACTTTATAAACGGTTCAGCGCATTTCTTGAATCTTGAAATAAATTGTTTTGTTTGCAACAAAAGGAGATGAACACATCCGCTTTGTTTTAAAATGTGTATAATACCGTGTGTTTTCCGAATATCGTAGCGAATCAGTTCAATTACTCACAAATACGAAATGATTGAATTTGTTTAGAAGAAAAAAAACGAAACCCTTCGTTTTTCGCATAAAAATAACTATCTTTCTCAATAGTTTGTGATTTATGTCGGCAAGGTAAACTCATATATTTTGATATAAAATGCCCTTTGAACGAACCCTGTATATTGCTCAATAAACTAGTAGTAATGGCCAGAAGACAGGTGTAGTGTAAACCAACTGGATTACGTGACCTACTTATTTGACAAGTCATGCAGTCATCAATAATGCAGGCATTTAGCACATGCTACATACTCTCTAGTCAAAGACAGTTTGAAACGTAATTGTATCTTCAGTTTGCGTGTTAACTTTATGAACAGTTCAGCGCATTTCAGTATGGAATATTCTTTTATAAACTTTAAGGCTCGTCAGTAACCGTGTAAAAATTTCAGCTGCACATATACTAAGTGAAATATAAATCCGAACACCCAGTTTAAATGGTTTTATTTTAATAAAAGTTGGTGAATGTGTTTATCTTACTGTAAATAACAAGTGAAACAAATTTCAGCCTTATCAGTTGGACAGTCCGGTTTTTATACTGCTTTTTTTTAATTCACTAACGGTCTAAAAATAAATATTTCAGCCGCAGTAAAGAATCAACGTTGGCGGATTTTGGTTCTTGACATCCTTTACGATCGGTTACGATGCCTAGAGTACGGAGACCTGTACGATTTCGTCAACTTAGTGAGTTTGATAGGGGCCGTATAGTGGGACTTCGGGAAGCTGGACTTTCTTTTCGGGCAATTGCAGTTAGAGTGCAAAGAAGTGTAGACACTGTGGTTAGGTGTTGTCAGGCATGGCTTCGAGAATGCCGTACGCAAAGAGCAAGGGGCACTGGACGCCGCCGTAGAACAACAGACCGTGAAGATCGCCGCCTAAGTTTATTGGCCTTAAGGGACCGTTTCTCCACTACCAGGTCAATTGCAAATGAATGGTTTGCAGAACACGGAAGACCTATTGGCATGCGAAGTGTTTACCGACGAATGAGAAGTTTTGGCTTGTTTTCATACCGGCCACACTGGGTCCTCCCTTTAACTCGAGAACACCGACGTAATCGCCTTGAGTGGTGCAGACAACGGTCACTCTGGGATCAGGAATGGAACAGTATTGTCTTTAGTGACGAGTCTCGATTTTGTTTAGGCATGCACGATGGTCGTGCCAGGGTTAGAAGGCGACGTGGTGAAAGGAGGAATCCACAGTTTTTTGTTGAAAGACATGTTCATCACACTGTTGGAGTTATGGTTTGGGGTGCTATAGCTTATGGTTCCCGGTCACCTTTAATCTTCATCAGAGGGAACATGAACGCGCAGCGTTATATCCACGAGGTTCTAGAACCCCATCTTTTACCCTACCTTGACACCCTGGCAGATCCAACTTTCCAACAAGATAATGCCCGACACATGTTGCAAGAGTCACAACATAATGATGTCACATTGTTACCATGGCCATCAAGATCTCCCGACTTATCCCCAATTGAGCACGTGTGGGATATGATGGGTAGGAGATTGCTCAATTTGCAACGTCCTCCTCAGACTCTAGAAGCACTTCGAGAGGAGTTGGTGGTTGCCTGGAATGAGATACCACAGGAGGACATTGACCACCTGATCAGAAGCATGCCTAGGCGCGTTGGAGAATGCGTAGCACATCAGGGTGCATCCACACATTATTAAAGGTCAAAGGGCTTTAAAGCAGTGCAATCATTTTGAAATTTTTATCATTTACTTATTATGCTTCATTAAGTACTTATACAAAATTTTATTAAAATAAAACCATTTAAACTGGGTGTTCGGATTTATATGTCACTTAGTATATGTACCTGTATTCACAAGAGTACGAAGGAATCTTGAAAAAAAATTGTTTTCTTCGTAACAAAAGATGGTAGACACATCCGCTTTGTTTTAAAATGTGTATAATAAAGTATGTTTTTCGAATATCGTAGCGAATCTGTTCACTCACAAATACGAAATGCTTGAATTTGTTTAGAAGAAAAAACGTAACCCTTCGATTTTCGCGTAAAAATAACAATTATCTTTCCGAATGGTTTGTGATTCATGTTGGCAAGGTAAACTCATGTATTTTGCTATAAAATGCCCTTTGAACGAACCCTATATATTGATCAGTAAACTAGAAGTGATGTTTTGGGACAAACAATTAGAAATTCTAAAAAACTACTTGACCAATCGACTCCAATTTTGTTGTGGTTAATAATAAGTATATAGCCTACGGATTTTAGGAATTTCAAGTATCTGCTTGACACTAAACTAAAGTGCCAAAACCTGTGTTTCGACTAGGTTTTTGTCCATAACTTTTTTGCTATTAGTCGGACCCTTTTATGTTCGGTCTCATTTTGTAGGCCTCGTAAAAACCTAAAAATCTTATTCCGAGATTTTCTTGGTTCCTGGCAACACAAATGCTCATTCTTTGTTGTCGAATAAAAAGTTTTCCCACTAAAATTGGCGTACCCATTTTATGCGTCCATGATTTAAATACCCCCTTGAACAACTTGCATCAATGGAACCAGACTTTATAATAATTTTGCAAACCAGAGGTATTTTCATCTAATATGCAGACTATTTTACGACGTTAATTACATAGTTTTTGTGGTTGCATACTGTTTAGATGATTCTCACTTACCCCTTTTTTGTGCGACTGCATTTGATGTCTCTCCATAACCTTTTCCTTAGTCAATATCTCTGCTGGAGGCGTAACATAGGCGTCGGTAGTGACGTTATACTTCAGTTTCTCTGAAAAACAAGGAAAGGGTGTCGTCAAACGATTTTCGTCGAGTATTCTAGTTTCGTTGTTCTTCATTCTTAACATAAACACAGTTATATACATCGGGTGTTTCCAATTAGACTCTCACCATTCGGATCTCGGTAAGAGATATGAAGTCGGTTAAGCGGGGCAATGATGAGTATTTCGGTAACTAATAAAATGGCGCATGGAACGTTTCGCAACTCCGAGTATAAACGAATTTTCCCAAAATCGTTTCTTTACTAGCTTTTTTTTAGATGGAATTAAAATAAAAAGTATATTAGGATTTTCACTTTTTCTCCTCTACAAAGTGGCATAATTAGGTTTTCATATGTCGTTTTGTCTCTTTTCCTTAATCATCAATTTTTTCTTAAAGGCGCCATATTGAATTTTTGTACAGTTAAATAGCGTCTTTAATGCTGATTCCAAAAATGTATTCAGGCTGTCCCAGAAGTATGGACCCACCTAAATATCTAAGGCCCATATCGTCAGTCGTCCCTACAATTGTAGGACGCCTTTATGGCCTCCTTGATTGTCATAGTTTTCTACTTCTCCGTGTCAGCGCTCTATTTTGAGGTTATGTCGCAAACATCTATTTGCATCAAATTGTGCTTGCTTTTGAGTTATATCATGTTTTATCAGCCTGAAATTTCCTACAATTTAAAAAGAAAACATATCTTCACAATGGGAGAGCGCTGACGCTGACACGGGACAAGTGTAATCTAGAAATTTTTGAAAGAGAGAAAGGAGTATGACAATCAAGGAGGCCATAAACGCGCCCTACAATTGTAGGGACGACTGACGATACGGGCCTAAGAAATTAAGGGTGCTATAAAAAACTGTATGTGCTAAAGTTGTAGTCGATTCCATGTTTTAATTTTGGCGAAAATATGAGATAGTTTGCATAATTTGCTCAAAATATTACCTAAAAATGGTGGCGGATTAATGGATACGTCCTCCAAACTTGGATTGTACTTGGTCATATTATTCTTTTTTGCGGCGAGCAAGTTATTGATGATTGGATCGAAAATATGTTCTTTCTCTGGAGGTGAGCTAGTTATTGCGGGTTCTGCTGTGACTTGTTCTAGATTACTGATGCAAGATTCTGTTTCTTGGTTCAATTTGTTGGCTGGTTTTGATCTCTGAGAGTATGACCTTTGCCTTTGCTTCATGCTGACAGCTGTTGATCCTGATTCGGAAATCGTGTCCATTAGCTTGTTACCGTATTCATGTCTGAAACAGTTGCTAAAATCATAAAAGTTGTTTGAACTGATGAGCTGTACATGTTGAAGCTGGACGAGATCGCTCCTTTAGGTGATTCGATTCCATGGTTTCGATTCCGGTTTCGGAAATGATTACGTCGACTCGTTTACAATTCCTTTTAATTTCGATTCCGGTTTAATCCCCACTTCCACATGGAAGATGCAGTTCACCAAAAGAAGATTTTGTTGAATTCCAAAATGATAGAAACTTTGAATCTGAATATTCAGAAAGAACAACAGGAATGAGTCCTAAAGTCCTAAACCTAATGGTTTAATTGTAATTGCGATTGAAAGTTCATTATCCAATTTTTTTTTTCGAAATTTCACAAAATTGCAAACATCGCTGAACTATAAAATTTCGGACCACACACATAGAGGTTCATTCAATATGTTTTGAGGCCCTCTATGACCTGACTTTCGCTGATCCACTACTAAGTATATATGAAGTATTATTACTTCAAAATGCATTCTCATTGGTCGAATTTGTGTCATAGGCGCAAATTTTGATTCCTGCGGATTAATATTAAAATCATGCCTTTGAGGCTTTTTTATACTATTTTGTAGATAGTGTACTGGGACCCTAATTTTGAAATTGAGGGAATAGAATAGTTCTGTTACCATTTCTGCCAGTTTTTAATGTATATTTTAACATTTATGAATGCGTCTATTTCGGCCGAAATGTGTTTCTATGTTCTTTATGTCATTAAACGTTTTATTACAAAGTTGACTTCGTCGTTAGAGACGAGACTGGTGGACTACACCTTACCGGGGAACAACAAACTATTCTATTAACGTTCAGGAATACAGTTCAGCAAATAATGAGATAACCACGCCCACTTTGGATCGATCATTCTATTCCGTGGTTTCAAGAATAGGGATCTAAAAGTAAAAAATAACATAATAAGTGATATTTATTTACATACTCATCGGGCAGGCTATTAGTAGAAAACGCCCTTCTGTGATTTTCGCTGATGGTATCTCGTGCATCCTCCCTAGACTTGACGGTACCCTCTAATGCTTCATTCATCCGAAATATCGGCTTTGTGTAGCTTTGTGGCCGACATCTGAAGGTATTCGGACTATAGGTTTGACTGCTTCCAAACGGTTTCAGCATGCTGGGTTGAAGATGGTCTAGCATTTCTAGACAATATTCAGTTTAGATTTAGTTAATGCTGGCGAAGAAGAGTATAATGCGAAGTAGTCTCTTCAGGAAACTGTTTTAGAAAAGATGAACCGCTAGGTTTCATCTTAGCCATTGTGAGGAACAAGCCAATATGTGTTGAGTGTGAAGTACTGATAATAAGCTTCCGACATCAGGTAGGTACTAATCTCTCTCACGGATTATAAAAAAAAAAGACGATCGTTTATCTCTAGAGTAAAATCAGGTCTAAAGGAGGACTTTCAGATAAACTTATTCATAAAACATATTGAAAGCCTTACAAAACAATATTTGATAATAATCAACTTCCTATTCTTCAAAGCACAATTATTATGCTCCGTACAGATATTTCGTTTCCAAAGCCGACAGAAAAGAAAGTGACTAGAATTTTGTCAAATATTGCTTTTAATAAACAATCGACCGCCAATCAGTAAGAATTAATTACAAATTTTTCTTGCTTGTTTTTTTCCTTTGCACATGTGGTTACGACTCACCATGGCACACGGAGGAACTACTCGTAAAACGCAGTCGGCAATATATTATTTTTGATAAGCAATCGGCCGCCCGCCTTCTTCCAATACAGTGCAGAACGCAAAAAAAGTTGAGTATCTTGTTTTTTACGCGTTTTTTTTTTTTTCTTAAACAATAAATGTGGCGACGATTTCCCATCTGGAACGGGCGAACTGAAACGTAGTGGGCATTGGCAACGTGAAAACAGGGCTAAGTCAGCCAACCGGAAATGCCTTTGGCAATAACCTTCTCTATCATCCCCCCCTCAAATGCTTCTAACAGATGAGCGACGGGACCGTCTTTTTGGCTGACCCAGGAGTCGATCCCTGGGAACGGAAATCCCTTTCATTTCCTTGATTGGGGGGATTGGACAACCTTTCTTCTAACAGATCCTCTGGGGTTTTGTGTTATAGGTATATAACGATTTCCCGTATATTTTTTAAGCTTGAGCTAGAAGGGACAAAAATTGAATCTTTGAACACAAACAAAAAACTTCAAGAACATATCAATACACTAAAGTCAAAAACGAAAAATTAACCTAACCATATTTTCTTTTACAACGAATCAGCCATACAGGCAGAAGTCTAAATGCCAAGACATCGCGGCTGCTATGAGGATCCCAAAGAAATTATGCTACTCTGATTTTTGAACTGCCTAAGGTTAGTAGAACTGGGAAACATCTGTTGTTGTAGGTTGTTCCACAATCTCGACAACTTCAGGGCAAATAAGTTGGGCTGTAGTTGTAAGGATCGGTGTTAGATTCCTTTTTTGGGATGGATTGGACAGGAGAAAAATTCCAGTTTTCCGGGAAGGTGCCGGACTCGTAAGATTAAGAGACGCGAAAGAACTGCTGCGCACCTCTTCAATATAACGGCAGTGATCAAGTCCGGACCACCAGCTTTGTTGATGTCGAGCGACTAGAGCACCTGTCTTATGCTCTTATGCCTTTGAATCGACAGCACTCAGAGACTGAATCGGTTGCAATCATTCCATCCTGTCACGTAAGTGGCGAAAGGCTACTTTATGAGAAGTTCCTTTCAATCTGCTTGTCCTGCGTCCAGAAAGACCGACTGCCACTGCTCTGCAACATTACTCAGTTTTATATCATGCTGGTTTTTGGCATTGTGGATATTTGTTTCTGGACTCGTCGTCGACTTGTCTGTTCTCTTCAGTGAGGTTTTCTAAGAAGGTTCTGCGTGCCTTGATCTGTTGCCAAGCAGTGCCGCACGATTTCTTGAACCCCGGTTTATGCACTTTCAATGTATGAGGCATGTATTCCTCCATCCTAACGTGGATAATTTCGGTTATCGGTGGACAGATCACGGTGACACATCCACGTCAGCAAAACAAAAATCTCTCTAGGGAAAAGTCGAGAAGCAGTCTCTGAGCCCCTCCCAGTCGACACGTCCGGAATGCCAAATTTTGTAGCCTTGGCTAGTTTCTGCTGCCCCAGCGGGTTCTGACCGAAACCTAACCTCCACACATCATGGTCTGAGTTACCCAGAACAACAGTGCTGTAAGGTCCAGAATGCGTGGCCAGAAAGAGATCCAGCAGCCTACTAACATGTGACCATCTAGGTCAATCCTTGGGTGATAGCGAACGCTTCAACTGCTCCACCTGCTGCATAGGTCTTGTTTTAGCCCAACCAAAGCTCATTATGGGCATTGAAATCACCGAGAAGAACTACCTCTGATGCGGGGTGATTGATGTTCAGGTCATCCCAGTTATGGTCCCAGTGAGAGCGATAAAGGCACCAAATAAATTTGGGGACGTTTTGGAGTTGAGACAAACCAACAGAATGTTCTTCCGGTCTGATGGAAAAGAAACGTCTATGGAGCAGGAAGCACTGCTGCGGACAAAAGCCACAACTCCTCCGTTATTTCTCAGATTGGAGTAATTTGGGAAGTTAATAAAGTCTCTTATGACGTAAATAAATATTGTATTACTCATATCACTCCAACCACATTGACATCAAACGTTTTAATAGCGTTAAAAAAACAACATGCATACAAAAAGGTCATAACTACCGATAGTTCTTTGTAATTCTGGGATTTAAATTTTGGTGAATGTGCACCCTACCACATCCACCATAAATTGAATGAGTTTTTTATCAAAGACCAAAATAAAATGTGCAAATAATTGAGTTTAGTAACTCTTAAAAGAAATTGTGGTTTGCTCATGTGAAATTTTGCAAGAGTCAGTGCTCACAACTGAAAAGATTCATGTCCGGAAAGGTCAAATACATACAATAAAATTACTTTTTGTGGATGGTAAACCCGGTTCTCTTGTATATCGACTTCCTAGGTCCTAATGCCGTCGGAATCTAAGAGAATTTGGCAGTTGATTTAGTGCTGCAAATTAGGATTCAAATCTATGAAATTGGTCACGTACATCAGACAGTGGCACACTGCAGCAATGGTTGCATTACTAGCACTCAGAGGCTAACTCAAAGTGCTATGTCGAGAATGCTCGACAATGTGTGCGTCTAACGAAAGTACACCGCTATTGCAACTTCTATTCCTTCTGGGTTCACAAGAGGCGCTGCACAAAGTTGCTTGAAACACGCATAATGTTTTTCGTCAGGGGAGTGATAGTAAGCGATATTATCATTGACATGTGAAAAAATAACGGGTAATCGCAGTAACCTATTAACCTGCGCTCAACGGCACTTTGTTCTGATGAACGTGACCACTGTTCGTAGTCTGATAAATCAGCCACACTAGAAAAAAGTCTTTCTTCAACATACAAACAAGATATCTTAAAAAAGACTGACTGGTTAGAAAATAATTCAAGAAACACAAAAACGCTGGACTTTGTATTGAAAGACGGATGCGCAACTACTCTGTTTTTAGGATTAGATAGGCACTGTGTCTACCAAACCAACTGGACTTCAATCTAATTTTGACTTATGAATGTCACTATGACACTTCAGTTAACGTTCGGCAGAGTTTAGGCGAGAAACCTATAAAATGTCAATGAAATTGGTACAAATGTTAACTACAAGAAATCCTACTGTCATACTAAATCGATATAATGTTGCTTTTTAAGTTACGTATATTCCGATAAAAGTACACAGAGAGAGAGCTATATTGATACAAGTTGTTTGTTCGCATAGAAGGTGCGACTTTCGCATATCGTTAATAGTATTGGACTGTTTCTGGTAAATAATATAAATCCACATAGGTTGATTGACTGCGTTGGCTAGAATTTATTTGTAAAATACCATATTTGTACTCTTACTCAAGGTTTTTAAGAATGAAAATAGTCTATTTATATTCCGCATTTTTACTAGTATTAGGCCAAAGAATTACTTAACGCATTCTTACCTAATACTGTATTTCGGCGTCGAAAAGATAATCCAAGATGAAATGAAATACCCTGGGGTCATAATAATAATAATAATAATAATAATTTATCGGTGATATTACACAGAAATGTGTTTGCACAAGTCAGATAAAGTGTACAAAACATAAAAAAGTAAGTAAAAGTAGCAAACAAAACGTAAATGAGACAAACATAAAGAATGAATGAATGAAACTTAAAATTAGAGGCATCCCGGCCACCATAAGGAGCCAGTGCATAGGCCGCTTAAGCGGACCCTTATGCACCTCTACAATCCTTAAATCACAAGCCTCGCCCTTTTAGCGAAGTTGTGAATCGCCTTGAGTCCAAGCTCCTTGACGTCCTGAGGGTTCAAAGTAATGGACCCGAGTATAGTCTGCCTATAGTAGCTCAGAGCTTCACAGCGACACAAAACGTGCGCCGAGGTCTCTTCCTCTACTCCGCAGCATTCGCACAAGGGATCCTCAGCCACCCCCATCACGTGCAGGTGACGCCTTAACGTGTTATGGCCAGACAACTGTCCCACCAGCAACCTTAGGTTGGCTCTACCCAGAGATAGGCAGAAGCGTCCATCCTTAGCACTGGGCCCTTCAATGAGCTCTCGTGCCTGGCGGAGATGTCTAGAGATACTTCTCCATTTCTGAGAGTGTTGTCTTGCAACCCACGTCTCCATTTTCCTCCTAGCTTTATGCGCGGTCACTCCTATAGATGGCTCAGGACCAACGAGCTTGCTGGCTGATCCTGTTTTCGCCAGAGTGTCTGCCGTCTCATTGCCCCTTATCCCGGCGTGCCCCGGTACCCATATTAACGATACCGGATGCCTCGCTGCGAGGCAATCCAGAGCCTCCCTGCGAGGCAATCCAGAACCTCCCTGCATTGCAATACAAGACTCGAAGTAATCTTACAGGCACTTAGTGCTTTCATTGCAGCCTAGCTGTCGGATAAGGTTGTTATTCTTCTCCTAGGCCCACCCTCCTCCAGAATGTGAGATACACAAGCCAGAATCGCAAAGATTTCCGCCTGGAAAATGGTGGTGTATCCACCGAGAGGCAGAGATAGCCTAGTTCTAGGCCCAGAGACCCCAGCACCTGAGCCTTCTTCGGTGACCGAGCCGTCCGTGTACCAGACCTGCCCGCTCACTTCGGAGAGTCCCCGGCTACCGGCGTCCACTCCTCCCTCGTTGGATACTCCACAATAAACTTGCGGTTGAAGCGATATTTAGGGGTAATACGATCACCCCTGCTTAGGAGAACGGGGTCCTCCCTTTCTAATTCGACTAAGATGGCAGTATGCCCCTTGACAGGATTCAAGAAAGCCCAGCTGCCCTGACTCCACAGTCGATGAGCGACTACTCTCGCTTCACCGCGGATCACCAGATCCAACGGTGAGAGATCCAACAGAGCTTCCATTACACTCAATGGCGTTGTTCGCACTGCGCTTGTAATGCTAATATAGGCCAAACGCTGAATTTTATTGAGTTTGGCCTTAGTTGTCTCATTTCTAATGCAAGGCCACCAGACCAGGGAGCCGTACAAGAGAGATGGACGTACTATCGTCGTGTAGAGTCAGTATACCACTTTGGGTTTAAGCCCCCACCTTACACCGACAACACGTCTACAAGCCCACATCGAATTGCGAGCCTTGCTAACCTTGTATTCCACATGCTCTCTCCAGTTCAGTTTGCAATCCAGGATAATTCCCAGATATTTCACTGACTGGGAAAAAACTAATCTAGTCCCAAAGAAGGTCGGCATGACCAGCCCGTCAAGCCTTCTTCTCCTAGTGAATAGGATCAGCTCGGTCTTTTCGGCATTAACAGAAAGATCGACTTCCCTACACCACGATTCCACGGAGCGCAGAACGCCCTGCATAATTTCCGAGACTGTTCTGCAGAAACGCCCCCTAACTGCTATGCTTGCGTCATCAGCATAGGCTTGCGCATAGACACCCATACTGCTGAGCCTAACGAGGAGTTCGTTCACCATGATACACCACAGTAGGGGTGACAGAACTCCGCCCTGAGGGCAGCCTCTAGCTACGTTCACGCTGCAGCTTACGTTATTCAGCATAGCTGTTGTTACCCGACCCTCCAGAGTAGAGAGGACCCAATCTATTAGGATTGATCCAACCCCGTGTCTAACCAAGGCCTGTCTGATAGAGTCGGTTGTGGTGGAATTAAATGCACCTTCAATGTCCAAGAAGGCCACGAGTGCCACTTCTCGCTGATCTAGAGCCTTCTCCAGCCTACCGACCAGATTGTGTAAGGCCAGATCAGTCGATTTTCCAGCTTGGTATGCAAACTGATTTGCATGAATGACACACCTTTCCAGCGGGCCATCCCTTAAGTATCTATCAACTATCCTTTCCAGTATCTTAAGCACAAAAGATGAAAGAGTAATCGGTCGAAAATCCTTCGGGCCAGTATATCTATCTCTGCCCGGTTTAGGAATGAATACCACTTTAGCCTGCCGCCAGCTTCTAGGTGTGAAGCCCATGGCCACACATGCTCGAAACACATTCAACAGGTAAGGAACAACCGAAATCCGTCCCTGCTGTAACATGGCCGGAAATACGCCGTCCAGACCTGGACTTTTGTATGGAGCAAACGAATCTACTGCCCATACCGTCCTTTCGAATGTGACAATCTCCCTAGCCGTGCGCCAGTCCTCCCTTGAGGGCCTGCGCAACTGCACGCACTCTGTGATTGGTCGCGCTACTGTGGAACCGGGAAAGTGCGTATCCATCAGAAGCCTCAGAGTACCTTCCTCAGAAGTAGTATTCCCCCCCGAGGGATCATGCAGAGATCCCAGTCTTGCTTTAATGTCTTTGCATAGGACCCTGTGTATTCTTGCAGTAGCAAGAATGTCATTTATGGACTGACAGAAGTGCCTCCAGGATTCTCTGGAGGCCTTTCTAATCTCCCTTTTGTACTCCTGCAATGCCTTTTTGTATTCTTCCCATAGAGGAGAACTTCTCCTGTGCTTAACTCTGCTAAGAAGTTTGTGCACCGCTCGTTTTCGATCCTCTAATTCTTTGGTCCAGAAGGTTGCCTTGCCCTTACCTTGGACTTTGCGTAACGGGCATTTTTCCTCATATGCAGCCGTCAAGTCCCTGCTCAGAGACTCGACAGCTGCTTCTATGCCATAGCCCCTGCAAAGCCTGTATGGGACCGCTCCAAGCTTACTGTCAATGTGTGCCCTAAAGGACCCCCATCTAGTATGCCTGGGATTCCGAGCATATTTATCCGGAAACATAAAACACAAAGTGGCAATAAAAGCTAAATAAAGAGTTAATAAAATTAAAGTTAAAATTTAGATTAATAATCAATGATAATTTGTCACAGCTATGTTTCTACTCTCCGCAATAGTTAGAAATCTTAATAATAAGCATTATTAATTACTAATAAATATTATTATTAAGATTAATTGCTATTATTATTATTATAACAATATTTATTGACATCAATTATAAATTGTGAATAAATTGATAGCCACAAAAAGAAAGTAGCCTTGGTGTGGATATCATTCTAGCACTTATATATTTGTATAAGAACTAGAAAAAATCTATATAATATGAATGTAATTATTTCTGAATCATGCGGAAAACAGATTTATATGTTAGAGTTTTCATAAATCACATCTTGCTTTGCTTATAGCAGTATTCAAAAGCCACTCGTATAAATCTACTTTTAATACATAATATATAATTTACTCGGTTTTTTCTAATATATGTTGCTAAGTTATGATATAATTTTGGATATGAGTATATAAATGATTTCAACATTATTTCCTTTTACGCTGCTATAATCAATAATAAATATTTTTTTATTTTTATTTCTAGAATTATAATCACAAATTTTATTTCTAGAATCATCTTCACAACTTTTATAAATGGTCGATTGCTCGTTTTTATGGAATTCTAATATAACGTTATAACAAAATCATTTTTTTAAAAAAAGTTTTAATTCTATAAACAGCGACTTGGAAGGACATAATAAAGGTCTGTTATACATTTTTATTATTTGTAAACAATGTAGATGGTTGTTATTCGCGGGTCTTCTGATAATAGTTACACCGGTTTAGTAGCATTCAACGATGTTCCATATAAAATTTTTAATGGTTGGTATTGTTGACTTCAGTGACATCTATGATGCCCTAAACATTTCAAAGTAGATTTATAATTATTGCGGAGAGGAGAAACATAGCTGTGAGAAATTCCCATAGATAGTAATAATAATAATAATAATAATAATAATAAAATGTCTTTGTTAGGCACATTAAAAAAACTACAATATAATGTGACCTCTACCTAGGCGAAGTCTAGCTCTTGGCTACTCTACTTAACTTACCCAAATAAACATCACTTAATCAAACGAAAATTTGACAAGCTGCTAATGACGCCTCAAAACAAACGAACTTGATATGAAAAATTGAATAAAATATAAGATTTGATGGTAATTGAAACCTAAGTTTTCCACAATTACTACTAGGACAAATAAAACTGTTTCACATGCTTACGAAATCTGTTTACTGGCCAATCCTTTATGTTGTCATCTAAATCGTTATAAATCAGGATAGCATTGTAAGTGTATGAACTACGAAATAAAGTTGTTTTATACATAGGGATCTCTAGTCTTTTTTTGTGTCTGAAATCAATGTCTGAATGACTTCGTCTGAAAACAAATTTCTCATAAAGGACACAAGGTGGAGCGAGAAGATATGATCTTATGTGTAAACACTGCCTTATGGAACTTACATGCATTTTCTATACACATCCAACCAAGCTGAAATCTCTTTAAGGAAACATGATCATACTTCTTGAGATTAAATACAAATCGACAACAAGTATTTTGGGGTTTTTGGAGTGTTGTTTTTGTAATAGACAAGGATATAGAACACAGTGCTGCAGTAAAATAAGCTAGGAAATATAATAGCCTCTTTTAACTTTTTTTAACTTTAAAATTCAAAATAGAGCGATTGACATAAAAATACTTCAAAGTTGCATTACATTTTTTTTTTAAGATAGACGAAACATTCTGCTTAAACCGTAAAGTATAATCAATAATCAACCTTAAATTTTTTGTAGTATTTACTACAGTTAGACGCTCCTCATCGATTTTACATCCAGAGAATTCAATAAAGTGTTACGTTTGACAGCAGGATGATGCCATGGTATCCAATTTCATCTCGGATAACCTTCTGGATGCCGGAATATAGTATTACGTTGACTACCTTCAGGTATCATACGTTAATCAATGGTTGAGGTTGAGTTACTGTTGGGTTGGTTTTGGTGAAAACAGTGCCTTAGGTTCGATTCAGTAAAAAATAACTTTTAATTTTCAATAATTTTGCATATTTATCGAAATGCTAACCTTGCTCAAAGCTCTGATCCTCTATTTGTTTGAAAGCATCAAAATCGATACAACTCTTGCTTCTCTTTGGCTTAGCCGCCTCCAGCTCATATGTCATCTCGCTCATTACTTCAGTTAGCTTACGTTGCTTGGAACCATTCTCCGAGAGGTCCTCTTTGTCAGCCAACTTCCTTTCATACTTGTACTCTTTCGCTGAATTAAATACATGCACATTATCTTAACATAAGAGACACACAGGGTTACTGCTTAATGTAACACCTGAAACTTATCCTGTGGCTTACATGTTAATAATCTCCCATGCTTGTCTCGCTAAAAAGACCACATTGTTTGTATTGACGGAATCTCCTTTACTGTAAGCCTTTCAATAACAAAGGTGATATTTTATTTATCTGTCTCCCAGGTGGTAGTAGTAGTAGAAAGATTTATTTAGCACATTTGGCTACATAAACAGAACAATTGTAAACAACTTAGAACTAGTAAATTCAAGCCATATGGTGTATGATGTAAATGCTGGGCAACCTATAATTGTAGATTTAACAAGTGATTTCTCAATTTTACTTTAAATTTTGTCAAAGTTTTCTGGTCTTTTATCTCCGAGTATAATTTATTATATTCAATCAACCCTTGATGGAATACAGATTTGTAGCATATGTTATACTTTTTGGTCATTAAATGGAAGTCATCTTTATTTCTGGTATTATGTAAATGATGGTCGACATTTGATGATGTTAAATTAGTTAGACTTGATGGAAATATATTATTTTTTACTTTATAAATGAATATCATTACAAGATATTTGATAAAAATTTTTACATTGAGCCATTTTAATTTGCTAAGCATTTGCCTAATTGGAGTATATTTATCTTTATTTAGTATTATTCTCATGCACTTATTTTGTAAAATTTGCAGTCTTTCAAAAATGGAATTATTTGCTAAATATAGAAAAGTCGAACAGTACAAGAAATTTGGAAGAATGATGGTATTATAGATAATTTTTCTGCTATATGAACTCAGACATCCAGAAACTCTCGATAAATATCCCACTTTACTACTAATCTTATTTATAACTTTTTCATAATGAATATCAAAAATTAATCGAGAGTCAACAAAAACTCCCAGGTATTTAAAATTTTCTACGAATTCAATATCTTCACCATCAATATTCAGTTGAACATTTGTACATTGTTTTTTTCCGATTAACAAGGCTTTCGTTTTACTTGCATTTAATTTTAGTCTGTTAGATGCTAACCATTTTGAGACAAGCTTCAAGTCTTCATTTATATAAGAGATACCAGACTGAATATTTTTAGTACTTATATAAATCATAGTGTCATCGGCGAAAATTTGAATTTTGCATTTTTTGACTATGGCAGGTAAATCATTTATGTATAAAATAAAAAGAAGTGGTCCCAGGATACTGCCCTGTGGAACACCCAACGTATTTTCAATTTTTGATGAAATAGTGTCATTAACTTTTGTAACTTGCATCCTTTTAGACAAATAATTTCTAAACCAATCTAAAAAATCTAGAAAGATTTATTTAGCACATTTGGCTACATAAACAGAATAATTGTAAACAACTTAGAACTAGTAAATTCAAGCCATATGATGTATGATGTAAATGCTGGGCAACCTATAATTGTAGATTTAACAAGTGATTTCTCAATTTTACTTTAAATTTTGTCATAGTTTTCTGGTCTTTTATCTCTGAGTATAATTTATTATATTCAATCAACCCTTGATGGAATACAGATTTGTAGCATATGTTATACTTTTGGTCATTAAATGGAAGTCATCTTTATTTCTGGTATTATGTAAATGATGGTCGACATTTGATGATGTTAAATTAGTTAGACTTGATGGAAATATATTATTTTTACTTTATATATATTACAAGATATTTGATAAAAAATTTACATTGAGCCATTTTAATTTGCTAAGCATTTGCCTAATTGGAGTATATTTATCTTTATTCAGTATTATTCTCATGCACTTATTTTGTAAAATTTGCAGTCTTTCAAAAATGGAATTATTTGCTGAATATAGAATAGTCGAACAGTACAAGAAATTTGGAAGAATGATGGTATTATAGAGAATTTTTCTGCTATATGAACTCAGACATCCAGAAACTCTCGATAAATATCCCACTTTACTACTAATCTTATTTATAACTTTCTCATAATGAATATCAAAAATGAATCGAGAGGCAACAAAAACCCCCAGGTATTTAAAATTTTCTACGAATTCAATATCTATACCATCAATATTCAGTTGAACATGTGTACATTGTTTTTTTCCGATTATCAAGGCTTTCGTTTTACTTGTATTTAATTTTAGTCTGTTAGATGCTAACCATTTTGAGACAAGTTTCAAGTCTTCATTTATATAAGAGATACCAGTCTGAATATTTTCAGTACTTATATAAATCATAGGGCAGGTAAATCATTTATGTATAAAATAAAAATAAGTGGTCCCAGGATACTGCCCTGTGGAACACCCAACGTATTTTCAATTTTTGATGAAATAGTGTCATTAACTTTTGTAATTTGCATTCATTTAGACAAATAATTTCTAAACCAATCTAAAACACTTCCTGATATACCATATGCTTTCAATTTACCAAACAAAATATCTCTATCAATCGTTTCAAATGCCCTCTACAAATCCAAAAATACTGCTATGCCAACTTCTGAGTCTACGGCTCTTCTCCAATTCTCAGTTGCCAACTGGGAAGCCGTTTCTGTGGAATATTTTTTTCGAAAGCCTGCTTGCGCCTCCACTAAAATTTCTTCTATAAACTGCATTAATTGGTCATGCACTATGGACTCTAATAATTTTTCAATGTCTGGTAATACATTTACTGGTCTCATATCGCTGCATCTTTCAGAATTGTTTATTTTGGGAACTGATGTTATTGTAGAGCATTTCAAATTTTCAGGAAAAGAACTGCTTCTCAGTGAACAATTGATCCAATTTAATACAGGATATCCCAAAATTTCGAAACAGTTTTTCAGCACGTTTTTAGTAGTGATTTCGGCACAGTTGTTATTTGATTTTAAACTGTTTACCTTTTTCTTAGATAATTCAATGATACGCTATGAAATTTTGTAAGTGTATGCAACATTTCCTCCTGGAAACTGATTTTCATATACGAGTAGTCAGGTGACAGCTCTTTTGTTTTTTTTTTTCTATTATCAAATTCCTATACAGTTACTACAATAATCTGGAAGTCTCGCAACATGCTGAGATTCAAGGGGACAGAGGCGAGGTGACTTATGCGGTACATTAAAAATCGACAGCCTCATGCTCGCTTGTCATTTTGTAGTGCTGGACGTCTTTTTTTGGGAACGGGAATGCATATTCCAGGCGGTCCTTGGCTATGCTGGTTTTCAGTGGTGCTATATTGAAATTCGGAATGATAACTTCGTGCAATCTCAGCAAGTTACGGGACGTTCAGACTATGGTAGTTACACATTGTATAGGAATTTGAGGAAGAGAAAAAACAAACAGACTGTCACCTGGAAGACAGATAAATAAGGGATTGAAGCGTTTACAGTAAAGAAGATTCAATCAATACATGTGGTTTGGTCGGCCAGACAATCATGGTCTATTGGGGTTACTAGGAATTCTGTGTATTTCTTCCAGAACTTTATAGACGGCCTAAAATGAATTTGACCATATACAGAGTGGCCCATCCACGTGTGGACAGAATATTACTAATAAACAAATACATTTTGGGTAAATCTATTTATGGGATGTTATACATGACATTTGAGGGCACATTTCTGAAATATTGGTCATTATACAGGGTGTCCCAATTTCGACCTACATATCAAAGTTGTGATTTTTCAAATGGAATGCCTCAAATTTTATTTCACACTTGGATAAACCAATTCAAAAGAAAAAAGTTATTATAACATACTATGGGGTTTTGGTAATTAGCTACTGAGATATAAGGTGTTTTGTCTAGAAAAACCCCCCACTTCGGCAACCCCTCAGTCCGCCATTTTGAAATTTGGAACGCTGAATCTTGTATCAAAGAAAACTTACACACCTCAGCTTTTATCTTATTTGTTACTTTTTCGAATTTTGATTTTTGCTCATACAGGGTGGTCAAAAACGCAAATTGTAGTTTTTCTCAAAAAATTTATTATATATATTAATATATTTGTGCAAGTTTGGATTCAATTTTTTATAAGCTTTTTTGATACTAAACACAATGGAATGGCTAAATTCCCTAAAATATCGCATCATCTTTGGAAACAAATAAATTGTTGATTGGTTACAAACTGTCAAAATTAGCTTTGTGAGCATAATAAAAACGTGTTTGAAAATGAATTTTTCTAAAGAAGAAATGGTGAATATGGTGTTCGTTTTTGGCGACGCCCAAAGAAATAGTTTCCTAGCAACTCGCATTTATAAGCAACGGTAATATGCGACATCCAAGGCCGGAAACATTTTCTATACTACGAGAACGTTTTGAAGCAAGTGGGGCAGTGGAATATAGTAAAAAATGTATAAGTAATCCACGTGTTCACCCATGAGGCGAATCAGTTGGAGGTTCTATTAAAGTTGCAGGAAAATCCCCATTTAAGTGCACGGCAAATTGGAGCAGAAACTGATATATGTGCTTCCAACATGACGGCGCACCTGCGCATTATCAAAATCGTAAGCGGGACACGTGGAGTAACAATCGTTGGATCGGTCGTGATGGGCTTGTATCTTGGCCTCCTAGATCACCTGATATGACACCGATGGACTTCTTTCTATGGGGCTACGTTAAGCAAGAGGTTTATAGATATCCACCATCTACACCGGAAAATATGAAGGAAAGAATTAAGGATGCTTTTTTGAACATAAAGAAACACATGCTGAGGGATGTGAAACAGTCATTTATCCAAAGACTACGGCTGTGTATTCAACATGGTGCACATATTTTCGAGCAGTTTTTGTAGATTAGGTCTTGAGTAGTGATAGCTGTTTATGTTGTTGTTACAGCTGTTCTTCTTTATTACGCTTGAAGCTGATTTATACTGTTCTTATTGTTATTAGTTTTTACGTCAAATCTGTACTCTTAGTGGCAATATGGAACTAGCCCACTGTTTGTCTTCTGTTTCCATGGATAATGTGATTTTTTCCTTAATTTTGGTTGTTCTATTAAAAGTTTAATAACTCAAAATCTAGTGATTTTATCTGAATCAAATCTTATACCAAAAAAGAGCTTTTAAAAATCGAATCTAAACTTGCACAAATATTTAGGGTAATGCATTTGAAAATTTTGACAAAAAGTACAAATTGCGTTTTGACCAGCAAAAATAAATATTCGAAAAAGTGACAAATTATATAAAAGCTGAGGTGTGTAACTTTTTTTATAAAAAATTCGGCACTCCAAAACGTAGTTTTGATAGTTGGGCCAGCTTCACAGAGCTATGTTCAAATCTATCGAAATATCCGAAGCTTGATAACTGCTTGTATCACGCGTTTTCGATATGTAGCTCTTTAGTAACTCCACGATCGCAAAAAAATCCGTAATGGTCAATGACTCGAACACGGCGAGTTTATCTTTTATACCTGTAGTTTTGCAAAGTCGTTGTTGAGGCACAGCGAAAGTACTAACATCACTTTCCCGATGGCCAAATTGTCTACATCTTTGTAGTTACTAAGCAGCTACTTATCGTAAACATAACACGGGAGACGACCAGGCTTCATGGAATGGATTATACTGGAGCTATTCATTTGAATCAATTTATCATTAAATATAAAGTTTTGTTGATGAATTTTTATCTGACCTAAATGCGCTCTTTGGATACAACTCTTAAAATACTGGCAATTTTCAAAGCTAGACACAGTTTTATTCTAGGGAACTGAAAGCAGAAACCACTTCATTTTTCGGAATTAGTGTTATTCCGGATTGCTTACATAGTTTTTTATTTCTTAGACACAAATGCTCAATTTAGGGTAATGTTAAAAAATCACAAAAATTGAAAAGTCTCGATAACTATTGATTTCGCCTGTACATATAAAAAGTGGAATTTGGACCTGGACCCCAAATCTTGGAAACCAAGGAATAGATCACTGAAAGAAAGTGGGCGTGGTTCTCTTATCTTCAGCGGTACTATAATCAGGAACACTGATAGAGCAGACGTTCTCCAATTCATTTTCGGAAGAAAAAGTGGATAAACCTCGCCTTCGTCAATCAGTCTCATAATTAAGGAGTTAACTTTGTGGTGGAAAAGTTTAATGATATGAAGGATCCAGGAGCATAGGTATTATTTTGTCCAAAATAAATACAATCACAAACTTGTTTGACAAGTGCCATCAGCAGCTTCCCCAGAAAAAAGTACCACGCCTACCTGCTCTCAGTGGCGAATGACCAGTGGCCCTAGAAATTAACGTCTTAAAATTAGAAAATAAATAGTACCAAGACTATGAAAAAAATGTCGCTTGTATTGGCGTCACTATCTTTATATGGCGCTGCCACAGATAGTTCTAAAAAGGACTCAAAAGAGTATTAGCTCTAGGGTACTAATAAAATCTACAGTCGCCGATCGCTGACATGCATCGAGCAATGCTGTCATCCTGTTTCTAACAACAGATTTTTTGCTCTTACTTTGAAGGTCTTCATTTTCATTGAATCGTCCATAATGGTAGTGTTCGTATCTCTTGGTTGGAGGTGGTACTGAATGAGATCTTGTTAGCCTAGTTCCTTCATTCTGTCGGAGTCGTCTGGATCGGTTGAATACTGATGTATCCACTTGAGGCGAAAGAGCTCGTGTCAAAGCTTTCGCGGTGGCAGGTCGACATGATTCCTGAAAACACCAATCAACCATACTAACACTCATGGATAATTTTCAAGATTATTCTAACTGTTTATAACATTTGATGTGTTGTCAATGTTCGTTTCAGATTTGTCAGTGTAAAGTATAGTGGTATGAAGATCAAATAGACCAAGGCCCGCGGTTTATGAATGCTTAGTCAAATCGTTAGTCAGCTGACTAATAGTTAAAGACAGCTATGAGCTAAAGTCGTAGTCAGAATTGTCAGTAGAACACGACAAAGATGTTTTGCGGTTGAGAATAATTTATTGTCAGTGAGCTGTTTATAATTTTATGGTTTCATAGTTTTACTTTTTCGTCGTGTTTGAAGCATATGTTATTGAATTTTGTTGTGCATTTTATTGTGGACAATGGTGATTTTCGAACATTCAAGCGAAGATTGTGACAGGAAAAATTGGTCATGCAGGATTGGACAGCAAGCAGAAAATTATGACTTGCTTGCTGATCAAGAGCTTGAGTCCAGATTCTCCTTGAAGTACTATGATTTTGACATGTGTACATGTACTTACCTTAGTCAAATTTAACGTATGTGGTTAATGAGAACTACAATCTTTTGAATAGCTGATACAAGCTATTTTTTCAGGGAGGGGCCAACGCTTATGAATTCTATACGTCTTACAGAATAGCATGCTATCTAGGTGAATTTTGGGGAATAACTATATTCCCGAAATAGGAATCAAAAATGCATATATTTCAAAATAATCTAAAAGAACATGGCAGGGTGGACAGGAAGTAGATGTTGTTAATATTATTTCCATTGAATAAATATCAACTTTAGATTAAATGCTTCTTCGAGACGTAGCAAAAATTTTATTAACAGCAATTTGTGCTTTCCAATAAACTATCTGATAAAAAAACAGGGTTACGTTACCTACTCATTTTATACGGTGATGCAGTCATCATTCTCAGCACACACTTCATACTAACTTTTAGGTTCATCTTTGGTCGTGTGAAAATTTCATCTCTAAATATTTAGACACAAGAGTATGAATAAATCTTGAAAAAAATATTTTTTGTGTTACCAAAGGTTTTAGAAACATCCGCTTTGTTTGTAATAAGTTACGTATGTTTTCTGTATACCGTAACGCATCTATTCGATTCCTCACACATACAAAATGATTGAATTTATTTATAAAAGGGAAAATCGTGTAGTATGCTATAAATGCCCTTTGAACGAATTTTGTATGTTGCTCCATAAACTAGTAATGATGGCTGGAAGGCAGGTGTTTTGGGATAAACAATAATAAATTCTCAAAAACTTGTTGACTCATCGACTCCAATTTTGTTGTTTTTATTAAGAAGTACGAAGTACAAATTGCATTTTGACTAAGTTATTTGCCATAATAATGGGGTCTTTTTATGGATTTTCTCATGCTTTGAATAAAAAGTTTTACAATTGCTGTACCGATTTTATGCGTCGATGTTTTGATTACCCCTTAAACAACCTGCGTCGATGATACCAAACTTTAAAATTATTTCAGGAAAATTCGCCAATATGATTCGCCATATGTGAGTCTGACCGACAAACCCATACAGCCCAACTGCAAAAAGTTTGGATTCTAAGATCAAAACTGTTATACATATATTGTACTCATACAACAATATTTGAGAACAGCGTATGGACAATCGTTTAAAAAACCCTTTAGTTTTGGAATTATATTTTTGAAAAGTATTGAGTAAAGCGCAAATTGTCAGTTTGACATTTTGCGAATTCAGTATTTCTGGCAAAGATACAATTCGGTTTCAAAATAATATTATGGAATGAAAATTTGTACTCACTGGTAGAGAAGTAAGTCCAGGTAATCTTGAAAGAACGTTTCGTAACATGATACAGAAATTTTGAAGAATGTTTAACTCTTCGTTGTGATGTTGCTTACATTGTCAAATTCTTTTAAATTGTCCGTTTCGTTTTCAATTGTTCACTACAATTTTTGCAAACTGGATGGGCCATGTCTCCTATACAGAGTGTAGTCTAAGTATACAATAATAAGAAATGACGACAATTCCTTGAAGAATATCTATGTTTTTTCTTTTACCTTTTCAAGAAAATGTTAACCCAGATGTGCCTGAACTAAAAATCACGATGATGAAATGTTCATCAAAATATTATTTTTTTTTTTACTTTGGACGACAAATTTTATCACTTTGCATTCATAGAAAGAAAAATTAAACACTATGAATACACTTTTTATTGAAAATTATAGATGTTCGTTTTGCATAATTTTTAAGAATACCTCATTGTAGGAATTTAATATTTTCAATTTAAACCATTGATCAACGTACGTGGACTAAAATTTGCCGTGTGAAGGCCTCTACTACATGGGAATTAGATGATTCAAATAAAAGAATGAATAATGGAATCAATATCCGAGTGATTAGTGATGATATAGTGAGAAGACTCAATTTGAGTTTTTGTTTCTTTAGGAAGCTATCATCTTATTCGATGGATTTCATTATTACACGCATACCTGATGTAAATACTCACTAAAACTTTTGAATAGACATTGTATACTACACAGGAAGTACCTTTTTATCAATTATTTGGCAGATAATGATAAGCAGCTTCAAAACCGTAAAACGTAAACAACAGGATTTTACGAGAGACTCAGGTATGTATAGTATATAGTTTCAATAGAAATATGACTGATTTCTAGTACGATCCAACTAGCATCAAGATGTAAGTGAAGATGATTGTAATAATCCTTGCCGGGGTAGATAGGGACCATTTAGAAATTATAATGGGACATTTTCAGATAAATTAAGCTTGTTCTCTCTAACGACATGCTTCCACAATAATTTTGCTTGTTAGTCAATTTGAGTAAATGGCATCTTTCGTAATTGGAAACTCTATGAAGAAATCTCTTAGCGAGTTTTTATCCTCTATTTAATAATAAATATAATAATAAATATAATAATAAAGGCGTAAAGTGGGAATTCACACTTTTTAAATTTTTCTAGAGAGTTTAAAATATTTCACATGATGGCTCGATGCCTAAAAGGAGGAGTATGTTTTGTATTCATTTTTATCTTCAAAATAATTATTATTAACAGAGTTTCAGAAATTATATCCTCAAGATGGGGTAGGAGGGGGTTTACTATTTCTATGAGCAACCTTACGGAATTATGAGCAGATATGTATAATTGCGAAAAGATACTCGCTCATTAGTCCCGAAATCTCGCAAACTATTAACCTATGAACGTTAAATTTATCATAGAGGAAGTTTATGCACACTTATTGTGTTTCTCTTATCAAGCCCTTTCGTTTGATACCCATAGTATAGCGGTGACTATGGAAATTAAATTTTGCTGCTAAATTTTATCTTTAGAATGAAGTCACGTTGCTTGTTATGTTTCTCTCATCAAGCCATTTAATTTGATACCTATATCATAGACATGACTATGGAAATTATAAACGCCGTCCTGGGGCCATATCGGATTTCGAATTACATCACTTTGCTTATTGTGTGGCTCTTATCAATCTGGCGATCTTGGAGGCCATTCAATGGAAACTCTTCTACCAATCCATCGATCTGGAAACGTCTGATCTAAATATTGTCGAACACGTAATGCGTAATGTTGGAACATCAACCTATTCGCAATGTATCGCCGATCATTCTGATTTTCAATTATGGCTGTTAATTCAGGATCTATGGCGCCTTCCAGTAATTCCAAATACATTTCACCGGTCAAATTTCCAGGTAAGAAAAAAGGACCAACTAAATGATCGCCAAAAATACCAGCCCAAGCATTTAATTTTTGTGGCTGCTGTCTATGAATCTCATGATAAATTCTGGGATTAGAATCGGACCAATATCGGCAGTTATGACGATTTACTACGCCATTTAAGAAAAAGGAACATTCGTCGGAAAAGCAAGTGTTGAATAGAAAATGTTCATCGTTTATAGTATAATTCGTTCACTCATGGATCTACATAAACTTGCCCTAAAACCCCACTTCTATTGCTTCGTTCCTTAGGGGATTTTCTACGTTGCGTTTTTTATTGGCGACTGACCCAGTTTCCCGAAATCTAGCTACAAGTTCTAGAACATATTTTCGATGCTCGTTACTGTTCTCATGTCGCTCATTATATATTTCTGCTGTTCTATTAGCGCACTGATTATTTCCGAAAAATAATTCGATAATTTCAACTCTTTCTGCTATGGAATATACCATGGTTAATTTATGTAATAAAGCGTTACAAGTTATTTTAGCTACAAATTTTGGTCAAATCAATCGCAAACTATGTACTAAATTCCTATTTAAAATAAGTACGAGATATTTCCTTATCTTTCTTCAAGAAATAACCTTTTGACACAAGAAAACGCTCCAATAGCTATTTTCAACAACAAAATGATAAACAAACCATGGGCGTAGTGAAGAAAAGTATTTACTTATTAAGTAAATTGTGTTAGTCAAATTTCATCTGAAAGTAGTACAAAACTAATCTGATGTACCTATTAAAGTCTACTTTAAGCTTTAAATCAATAAATCTTCAAAACTACTGAACTGAAGCACATTAATTTTATATCATTATAAAGGGAATTGAAAGACCTTTAAAATAAGGTATCACTTGACTCCACTTTCCATTTAAGATTTTAGGGTTGGTGTCATCCCCGCCCAGGGGGCTGCATGTGTTAACGTGATTTTTTGCCAAACTTGTGTCCCCCTCGAAAACAAAATCGACGGGTCTGAGCGTTTTTCCAAAAAAAAAAAAACTGAGCTGCCAGTAAATGCGTCTATTTCGTTTTCGATGCGCCACCCTGTATGCACTGATTCCTGCATTTGCGTGAACACTGGCGTAAGAGGTACCACCATTGGTGTTCATGACATTAACATCGACCCATCCTGAAGCCCAGTTGTTTAGATCTTGAGACGGAATAAAAATATCTGGAAATTTGACCGGTGAAATGTATTTGGAATTACTGGAAGACGCCATAGATCCTGAATTAACAGCCATAATTGAGAATCAGAATGATCGGCGATACATTGCGAATAGGTTGATGTTCCAACATTACGCATTACGTGTTCGACAATATTTAGATCAGACGTTTCCAGATCAATGGATTGGTAGAAGAGTTTCCATTGAATGGCCTCCAAGATCGCCAGATTTATCACCTTTGGATTTCTTTATATGGGGTCATTTAAAAAGCAAAATCTATGCTACTCAGCCAACATCATTAGAAGACCTGCGACAAAGAATTGTGAATGAGTGCCTTCAAATTACTCCTCAAATATTGCAAAATGTGCGGCAACGTTTTGACCAAAATCTTTATTATTGCATGGAGAGCATTGGTCGCCATTTTCAACATTTACTTGCCTAACGGGTCAGTTCATTCTTCATTTTTAAATGACTTTGCTGCCAAATGTATTGATCTCCACTAATGATGATGTATTAGTTTTATTTAAGCTTTAAATCAATAAATCTTCAAAACTACCGAACTGAAGTACATTAATTTTATATCATTATAAAAGGGAATTGAAAGACCTTTAAAATAAGGTATCACACGACACCCCTTTCCATTTAAGATTTTGGGGGTGGTGTCACCCACGCTTAGGGGGCTGCACGTGCTAATTTTTTGAGAAACTTGTGTCCCCCTCGAAAACAAAGTCGACGGGTCTGAGCGTTTTTCAAAAAAAAACTGAGCTGCCAGTAAATGCGTCTGTTTCGTTTTCGATGCGCCACCCTGTATATTGTACAATGAATATATACGAAGTGGAGCCTTCTGTTGGTGCAACCTTTGTAGTATTGAACATATCCTAGCTTGTTTAAAGTGATGTAATGAGAACGCGCGTTTTTTTTGCAGCGCCACAATTTAACGTCCGTGTGTGCCAGCAGTAACAGGATGTCTCCAAACATTCAAAGTTCCACAATTTTCGTATTGTAGAATTTCTATTTGGTTTTCCATGGCTACAAACTCGGTACACTGTGGCAATTATTAATTTCTAGTGTTACTGTTCTTACGTTCAAATCCTTGCTTAACTTAAAAAGTCTTTTAAGTCATTTTATACCAGGGGATGCGGGTATTTAATAAAAAATATACAGTATTCAATTTTTTATTGACTTGTGATATACGTATAAAAGTACAAAATAAATATTAATATTCTTGTGGAAAGGTACATAGAATGTATATGGCAAATCACTTATAAACTAACTGAATATATTAATCTAATTCTACATAAAAACTTGCAAGAATACATCTATATTTTACAATATTATCTTGAGATTATATGGTTGTACTTGTAATGTTTTGGGATCAAAAAATTAACAATAAAAGTAGATAAGGAAAAACAGATTGAAGCTTGACCCAACTGGTAAAATCGACTAATAAAACCTGCTATTTTCTTTTCGGAGTATTTCCAATTTTTAATTGTATACCTCCCGAAAGTAATTCATACAACATATACAAATCAGTAGAAGAAAAACATCAGAAAATATGTTTAATCCAAGATGCATTAGAAACAGTAGATGCTGTATATTCAACAATTCAGCAATCAAAATTGGAGATGGGTCATCTAGTATAATGCTTATGCTTAGAGCATACTGGTTGGTTATACTTTAAATTTCAGGTACCTTTGGTCTATGAAAACACTGAATCAAAATATAATATTCAATGATCATTCCTGCAAAAATATCAACATCAATCTGCTTTTGACAAATATTTTGTTGCTTAGAGGCAGTTGAACTATGGCTTCCATTTGCGATTATTGTACTTGTCATATATTAAGTAAAATATATATTTACGAGAAGACAGATTGAAATAAAAATATTGCTGAAAAAAAATATAAAAAAATTACAAAGATGCTCCTATGTAAACAAATCCTAAGATCTTACTTGGAGAACAAATATCTTAATAAAATTTCAAAGAGTTCCACTCGGTAAAATCGAATCTGAATTAAAAGGAACCGTGCACGAATTGAAAGAATTGATTCCCAGACCCGAATCGAAACCATGGAGTCGAATCAATAAAAGGAACAAGGTGTCCCAGCTCCATTTCCCCGTATATGAAAGACAACACCAATTAGAATTGATTTCAACCTATCTTCTATAATACTGGCATTTAAAGGCACACTATAATCTTAAAACTATGGAAAGTACACTAGGAAATTTGGCGTTCCAAAATACTTGACAGCAAACGACTTGCCCATCCCTGTAGGAGAGCTCATAGCGATCTCACCGTCATCTAACGGATACCCGACAATAAAGTTTGCCTTAACAGCGTCCATCAGAGCTTTGCCGATACCCTGTCGTCTATGGCTGGATGAAACCCAGATTCTAGAGATGCCGCATTTGATTGGGCATACTGTTTTCGAACAAAAATCGCCTTCGTCCGGCCCTGTGGTGAGCATGCGGTAGCCTTGGGATGCGGGTACTGCGACAATACAGCCGACTATCAGCCGATTTTTTACGTAGAGGAAAGTCTGAAAAGGAATTGTAATATAAACACTCACGCACCTTACATCAAAAAGTAATAAGACAGTGCAAAGTGTCAACTACCACACCAGAATCGACCACTGCGGAAAGCGCATAGCTGCTATTAGTTGGAACCATCAGGGATCTCAGCTCGAGTTTAACAGCCCAGTCATGAAAGCAGCATGTCTAGTTTATCAAAAGTAACCTAACGTTTAAGGCACATATCTATCAGAACAGGGCAACTTTATTGATTTTGTCAATTAAAACTCGTATGAGAATATTCTAAGCAAAATTGCATCCATTTTCAAGATTATAGGTTTGTTTGTATAGTGGTCAGTGACTTGTCGGTAACTGTGTCTGGGATACGGCGGTGTAAACTCCGTCTATAGTCTATATAGCGTGGCAGAATGAATGGGATTGATGTGGTGGGATCTTGCACATGATCACTGACAGGTTGGCGACTGCTGTACGAACAGGGCTTATGCAGCTCTCATTTATGTCCCACCGAAGAAATCAGCCCATAGAATTTGATTTTTGTTACGGACATCCACAGAATGTTACCATACATTTCACACTGAACTAAATTTATTTTCTTTTCATCTCTGTTACCACGATCAATTATATACAATGTTTCACGCTGGTTAGTAACCATCATTTACATAATACCCGAAATAAAGATAACTTCCATTTAATGTCCAAAAAGTATAATATATCTTATAAGTCTGCATTCAATCAAGGGTTGATTGAATATAATTAAACGCAGAGGTAGAAGACCGGAATACTTTGACAAAATTAAAAAATTGAGGAACCACTTGTTAAATCTTCGATTACAGCTTGTCCAGCATGTGCATCATTTGGCTTGAATTTGCTAATTTTAAGTTGTTGATAATTCTTCTGTGTTCTTTTTTCTACTACTACTATCAATATGGCATAGATTTAATCTCAGAAACAAACAACAGAAAACAAACCAATGGATACACTCTACTGAAAAACTCAGTATGTCGGGTGCAAAGAGATGACAATTGCTGCCTACAAATAGTTCATCAAAGCTTGATACATCGGAAAGCAAACAGATGTTGTTTAACTTGCGATTATTTATGCAATTTTTGCATTGTACGCCGCTGCTGACAGCCGTGATAATGCTTCGTATTCCGACGAGCCTACGAGACCCGCCAGTCTTCGGCCTCACATCCTGTGTCCTCCTTTGTTCCTAGGTTATCGAGACTGTGGAACAATCTGCCCGAGGGCGTTTTTTCCAGTTCTACTTCTTAGGCGATCAAAAAAATCGTATTAACAAGGTGTCTTTAACCTTATAGCAGTCGCGATGCCCCGCTATTTAGACTTCTCCCTACGCAGCTGCTTTGGTATAAAAAGAAGCTTTTCGAAATGTTAACGAAATATTTATAGGAAGCAGTTGTTTTCTCTTTACGCATTTTATGTCAAAATATCAACGTCAGGGAATACAAATTATTTTCCTAGCATCTAACGGAAGAAGTCACATTCTAAGCAAGAAACTTTGTGGAGACAAAATATTGATCTTCCATTGAAATAAATATTTTCAAATGAAATTACATGTTGATAAGGCGCAATTTGGATAAGTATGAAATCTGTAATGTTACGTAGCCAAATGAAAAATATGGGCAACAGCTACAAGCAGAATATTATTTGTAAAAATAAAATACTGCAACAACTTACCTGGACATTATCAACGCTAAATGGAGAATCATAATATCCTAGCTCTCTGTCAACTACACCCATCAGATCTTGTATCCTTTTCAACCAAAGTTTAGAATCATGCGGCAATATCTGAATAATCCTGTCACTGTTAATTGTTACTACCATTCGTTCATTTTTCCAACCCTAAAAGATGGTTAATGTAACATCTAAAACTTACAAAATCACATGTGCTAAGAGAATTCTCATTACTGTAATTATTTCAATTTCATTATTAGATTCTAGTGTGTTACTACAATAGTCTAAAAGTCCCGTAACATGCTGAGATTGCATGAAGTCATAATTCTGAATTTTAAGCACCACGCATTACCAGCATAGCCCAGGACATGGTTATCTAAGGATATACTGTTGTTTTGGCAAAGTTGATACTCTCTGCTTACAAAACCTGATCTTTGTATCTTTAGACTAAATCTGTGAGCGTAAATCAAATTATTTCGCTACGTTAAACTTACGTGGAATCGGAAAATATGGATGGCCTGGTGGTAGTTCGTATGAATCATTTCATCACTGGGATCACCCAAGTGGTACATAAACTGACATTCCAGACATTGAGTCACTCCAAACCGCTTCTGGCCAGCGTCCAGCAACATCTGGTCTGCTGCTATCTTTTTGAACTTCTTTTTGACTGTGTTGTTCATAGCTTTGAGGTTTTTGGTATTGTCAGTTGAGGTTGCTTTTTGTTGGTGGAAAACAGGATAAAGCTTTTCATCCTCAGTGGTGTTCTTATTTTCAATATTGTTGCCAATTTCTTCGAGTACTGGAGCGAGGTTCTTGATGCGCTTTGGACTGTAAATGTTGACAATTCAAGACTACAACACTACAACAGTCGTCTCAAAATTAAGTTTAATCCGTATGGAAAAAGGGAAAGTAAAAATACGCAGAATACAAAACATATACTGTTTTTTTTTTCTAAAATTTGTATGAAAATTCTTATAGAAGTCAGATGTCGCCGGAAACAGGGACAGGCCAAGTCATAGCCGTTGGAAAAAAATTAAAAAAAATAAATCGTGTACTTTTCAAATTATAGGCTTAAAAAATCTGAAAAATCTACACCTCGTGTTCCTTTCCTTACGAAGACGTCGTATTACAAGCAGACGAAGAAGACCCGAGTGCTTCAGTACGTCAAATAGGAGCAAGCACGGGAGTGAACAAACATACAGCTCCACTGGTACCACGTACATTTTTCTGATAACTATTACGACTTGGTCTGTACCCTGTTCCCACCAAAGCCACCCGACTGCAACTCGACTTCAACCCAATTTTGACATCAGCTACGTTACTTTTAGGTTATCTCTGAAATTGTCAACCTGACTACATGGATTTATCTTCTAACTTACCTGTTCAGATCCAATCCCGATGTAACATTGCACATCTGAGATATCGGTGACAGAATGATACTGGCGGGGCAAATTGGATCCCTACTGACAGGTTGCTCATGTAGTTGTATCCCATTATCCAATGATATTGTGGTGGAATTATGCACAGGCAAAATTACTTGTTGGCCATCTTCAGCCTCACTTTCATCATCAAGAACTGACAGGATGTCATCTATGTTTGTCGAAGGCATGCTCGGCTCTTCTTGGCTGAAATCGCTTTCATCGAATTCGACGTTCTCAGTTTTAACCTTAAAAAATAATGAATAGTAAGTTTAATCAAGAGTGAAACATGGAAACTCATTTTTCAGAAGTCACTTAAAAACTATATGTATAGTCTGCGACCTAGCTACGTTGTATTTAAAAAAGCCATAGCGACAAGTGGTACATCTTGTCAAATTTATAGTTTTTTTCATGAGTTCCAAATTTTCCAAATTACCGAATTTTTCAAAATTCTCAACAATTTATTTAAAAATTTTCAAATTAATTTGTCTTTTGAATTGTTAAATTAGAATGTTTTCCAAGATTATTCGATTGTCACAGGACCTTGACTCTCGTGCAAATTTTCAACTTAATCAGACTTCTTGAAATTGATGAAAATTAAGTTGAAACTGAGGTCAAGCTAATAAAAGAGTGAAATATGTTCGGCGACCTAGTGATGGTAAAGGATTATACTTCACCCCAAAGATTATATTCTATCATTTCCGATCACAGCTAATGTAAAAAACGTCGGCCAACATCGTTTTCCTACATAGACCTGTACATTTATCTAAATTAATTTCTCATTTCCTTGTGGGGCTTCTAAACAATCAATATTTTCGCTGCATTATTTAGCTGAACTAGAGTACAAAGTAACATACGGCAGAGACTACACAAGCTAGGCAATGTCTGTCATTTTCATTAAAATCCGCAAGCACAAATATTTCTGTCCAACATCCGCTAGGTGGCGCTGTCATGGCTCATCCAGCGAAGTGAAAAAATGCAATCAGACACAATGATTCTGATGTCGATTTTTAATACACACCTCATTAGAGTTCATGTTTTGGTCTTCATGGCCTTTATGCTGGATGCCGTTTTGCTCCAAAAGAACCATTTCACCATTTTCAACCCTGACCTTGATGTTTTTATTCATGGTAACTACACCTTTCGGGCGAGACCTGAACCTGAAAAATTTTTTGTTGGTGGTATTCTGCTCTGGAGATGAACAGTGTGGCCTCTTCTTTGACAGTTCAGGTTTATCCACTTTAATAGCTGGAGTGATCAAAGGAACCGCTGGTTTTATCAATGGTTTGTTGGACCTAAAATAAAAATAAACAAATAAAAAGATGGTTTGAAAATATAATAGTTGACTATACCTAGGAGCTTTTATTTGCAAAGTTGTATCTTTAGTCGGTTCAGCCATGGAATCATGATTCTCCTTGTTCTCCACAATCATTTTTTCCTTGCCCTTATTTTCCTTCAACTCTTTAAGATCCTTAATGTACTCTGTGATAGCCTGGTTTCCGGCTGGCGTCACGGCAACCTGTAATTTGTATCTTTAAAAACAATCCCGCATCCTTAAGGCTGCAACTGTCAGATTACAAGCCTTTGTGTCAGATCGCACATCGGAATCGATGATTAAATAGCACTGACCCTGTACACATGTCCCTTGCTGGCAAACAGCTCAATGCGATCATATTTTCCCTGACACATCTTGTTACAAAAATATACTCCATATAGTATCCTACAAATCTGTAACCCACAAACCCTGCTTTCGAATTACGAGTTGCCGTAGATTAGGCAAATATCAATATACAACAAAACAGTTGTTGCGTCATTCCTTCTTCACAGCGTGTTCGATATCTGATAATCGCAATAAGTCATGTACACGTGACGTCACGTACATGGGATGTAGGTGAAACCATTGAATAACGTATTCTAACTGAAGATTAGCGAATATGCTAATATAGTTGGCTACAGCGCCATCTATGAGTAACTAACCGTCTCCAAGTAGTTTTCGAATTGGTGCGGACACGAGAAACAAGTGTGGACATCACCTTTACCTGGATCGAATTTTGCAATCTAAACTGTCAGACTGTGATTTATTTGGTCGGTTTTTGGGTAGTTTGGCCGCCGTAAAATATTTTCATTCGTTTCGCCAACACGAGTGGTTGGCATCTTCAACAGGTGTTCACAGAGTCCTGTGAGCTACAGTAGCTCACAGGACTGGATGATGGCCGAATTTTGTACGTAATACACTACGAGAAAAGTACGCGATGCATTAAGATAAATGATGTACAAGATAGCGCATAACGAACCTTGTTGTCCAAGTCCCACACTGTTTAGGATTCGGTAGATAATCCTTACGGAATTTGATACAAATCGATACATCACGGAAAAAAAAATCAAAATGCACGTATTTTATTTTCAAAGTCCATGGTCTGGTGTTTTACCTCAGCGTGCATATACGAGTAGTTGCTACTTCAATTTAAGGCTTGGAAAAAGTGAGCACCATGAATAGCAATCTTATTACAAATGTTTGACAACAAAGTACATCAAAACTTCGCAGTGCTGGAAAATGATGTACTGAAGGGTGGAGTCTTTATGTGAAAGTTTATAAACAAATCCAGTTTTCGCTACTGGTGTTCAAAATCAAATTTTTTATGAGAGCTGTGTAAAACTATTCAAACCTCAAATTTCAACAATATGAAACTACAGACTACACACATCAAGAGAGTAGCCAGCGACTCCGATAAGGTAGCTTTTGAGGGCCACATCTTTTGGCGGAGTTTTTACAGCTGATGAAAATATGTACCTACTTAAAAGACTACATCGAAATCGCAGCCATAAAGCCCGAAACCTCACCAAAAGCTATGAAAAACGTGAGAAGCATAATTTATGAGATGTTTTCATTCTAACCTAATTTTTCACTGCTATAGCGTTTTTTCATAACAAATTTGTTTTGATTCCCGAATAAGTAACCTGTATTAATAGATACGACCATAAAACGCAAAACGGATGAATTTCTGAGCATTGCAGACCATAGTTCCGACTCAGTTACACTATTTCAAATAATCGCTTGAGTATGCGTGATGTTTCTTGAAATTTATGTTTAAAATCCATTACAAAATACCATCCAATAAGAAAAAATAACCAACCTTCGACAAAGCCCTCTTGACAACCTTTCCAAGCGTAGGCTTCCTAATTTTGTGAGTAACTCCAGCATTGATCTCGCCATATGTCCGCTTATGTTTCCTCTTTGGAGCTCTGCTTCTTGTCACTTGGACAGATAACTTCTTTGGCAAAAATACTTGATTCAAATTTCTTTTCTTTATCGTTTCCATTATATCTTCAGTATTCGAATAAAACCTTTTAGCAGGCAGAGAAATATCCGTATCCGTATCTGGAAATAGTGCAGTGCGAACCTTCGACTCCATCTTAAGTAACTTACCACCAGATTCTGGGGTGCTGGAAGGGGGCAACTTCCTCTTACCCTGTCCGCACTCCGAATCTAGAAGAGATTTACGGAGTAACTTTGGAAGTTTCGTACCAGTACTACAAGTATCGTGAGGAGTTTTCAACTTGTACGAGGGAGAAGCTGCTCTAACTACTTGAGTACTACAAGCGGGACTGTTACTCAGACAAAGTGGGAGCAAAGTCTCAGGGTGCAAGAGTTTAGATTGAGCAGGAGTGCAGAAGTTTTCCTTATTAGCGACTACTTCCAGGATATCGTAGTGTTCGACGGTGTCTATTATCTTGCTAACTGGTGTTTCGGAGTCAGAATCGGAGTCCGAGTAGCAGGTCTTCAGAGGGTTGATCGGTCCAAGGTCGGAGTCTTCGCCAGAGTCCACTGTGTCCGAGGGGAAGAGGGACCTCCTACGTTCTGATATAAACGGCGAACGGGTATCGTCCAGAGTGGAATTCATTGTACTGAAAACTGGGAAGGATTGTTTAGCCCCTTTAATATTCCAAATGGTATATTGAAGATACAGTATCAGTACATGCGTGGACTTGTTACTACACAACAATCTCAGCATCATACAAATATCAACAGCAAACTGCAGTAAATGCTTAGTCAGTCCATTTATCTAGTTTATTTTATATATTCGACAAAGCTTCTTTCAATATATAATAAGATTCTTCTATATAGAATTGAAAAGATTATTTTATATTTCCATGTCATGTATATTTGTGCCCCATTAGATCAACAGTAATGGTCGGTCATTTTATGTGCCCAAAACAATGTATTTTCTTACACCGTATTTAGCTGCAAAGTTTGTTAAAAAATCAAATCCTGAAAATCCTTATGATCTGTAGACTTTAAGCAATTTTTCCAAATTCGAAATGTTAGAAATCTTATAGCATGTAATTTTTTTTTAACTGTGACGGTTAATGAAATAGTTACCCAGCAAAAAAGTTTGTATCTCCAGAAAGATTGAAAACCTTTGTATATACCCACAACAACATACAAGGCCTGTAAATTAAGTAATGAGACTGGCAACGCAGCGTTCGATCTGGCAACACTGCGGACGTTGGGCCTAGAGGGGAGACAGGGCAACATGTAATCCACCTTCAATACAAGTTTGAACTCACACGAGTCACTTGGTTCTCCGTAGCGATTTTTTATGAAACAGTTTTCCTATTGTATTCTAAAAATGAGTGACATCAATTTCGAGCAACTGTGTGCTATCAGGTTTTGCTTCAGACTTGGGCCCAGTGCAACGGAAACTCTTGCTAAGCTTCAGCAGGCCTACAGAGATAGTATTTTGTCAAGAGACCAGGCTTTACGTGGTTTGAGGCATTTTCAGAAGGGAGAGAGTCAATTAACGATGAACTACGAGGCGGAAGGCCTATATCTTCAAGAACCGATAAAGATATCTACAGAATCCGGGATCTTGTCCGTCCTCGGTTGACATCAGAATGATCGAGGAGTTAAATTTGACTCAGAGCACCATTTATCAGATCAGGAACACCTGGGTGTTGCATAACAATAATGCTCGTTGTCACACATCAATGTCAATAAACGAGTTTTTGGACAGTAAAAACATTTCTGTGGCTCCTCAAACTCTTTATTCGCATGTCTTGATTGCTTGTGACTTTTTTCTCTCCCGAAGTTCACCTTCACCTCGATGGAACTCATTTTTGAACAGTCGAAAACATTAAAATGACTGTAACCAACCAGCTGAAGGCTATTCCAGTATAGGTGTTCCAGCACTGCTACAAAGAGTGGAAGAACTATCTCTCCAGGGGTGTGTGGCTACAGAAGGAAATTATTAGGAGGGTGATAATATAAAATTGTAATTATATTTGAATAAAAAATATTTAGAAAATCAGTCTCATCACTTAATTTACACACCTCGTATTTCGGTTGTAAACTTTGTCTATAAATTTTTTTCAGAAATTCTAGATATTCTGGTCTAGAATTTCAATGGACTGAATATGTACTGAGAATCAAACATATCTAGAAATAAACAATGTCCACCCAAGGCATGGCCGCAAAATGATCTATCTCACTGACGGATATGCCCATAAAGGTATAATGAGTAAAAATGTGTTCGTGAACAGCCTGTTGCTCTCTGATCCTACTCTCAGCGACGCCCGCCATATCAGTAACATAAATCCCTGCATATTTACAAGAAGTCCAGAATTTTCGTCAAGCTATAGCGTTTAGCAATATAGTCATATTGGTCACATAAATTTTACGAAGTAAATCTGATTTCTCGATCATCAGTTCATCATGCATCCACTGATCCACATTATAAGTTCACAATTAGTCATTGCTTATCACCATTAATCAATCATTTCTTCTGTTCCATGCAAAAATTATGATTGTGATTATTTATTGGAGTAATAAGTAAACGTCCAATATCACACATTAGACCAAGCTGACTAGCCAAAAATCGTCACTGTTTCAGAAAGAAATGCAATAAGCGGTTTTACAGCGGATTTATATTTTAAGAGTAGGTTCCTCATCAAGAGATACAAAAAAATTGCTGGCTAACTTTTTTATGAAAAGCCATATTTGAAAAAAAAAATGTTTCGCGTATATCCAAATAGTTATGAGTTATTGGTGTAAGTGGTCCAAAAAATTTTGTAGTGAATGATAACACCTTGAAAATGAGATCTTACACGACCTATTTTCCATAATTGTCAATTCAAAAATTCAAAAGTCTTGGAAAATGCATAACGGTAAATCTGGAATAGTAGTCAAAAGGTGAAGCATTTGTGGTGCTTAACATCCATAAAACACTTCATTCACAAATACTCAACACTATGGGCAATTTTCTAATTCTTACCACTATTTTTCAGAAAAATTGTCTTTTTTGACGAGCTATCCAGCGACTCTGGATTAACCAAATGGCCTCATATTGGACTCACTCTCTTACTAGAGGCTTAGTTTAATATTGTACTGAGAGATACCAGATTGTCTTATACAAACAATGTAGAGCATCACCAATGGTAAATCTATGTTTGCCTTATAATCAATAAACCCGTTTTTTTACCATCGTAATTAGGAAGCCCACTTCTGAAAAGCAAATAAAAAACGCTCACTTTGACGAAAAAACTTTTTTGTGGCTTTGAGGGCTGAAATAACAGTAAAAAAAGTAGAACCATCCACGTGCACTACCTCTCAGAAATCAAGCTCCTTAACAACTGCAGCTAAAACTGTATTTTTCATCTGGTTTTCAGTGGTGAGCATCCTAATTACAACTTAAAAAAAATAGATGTTCTCTTGGCAACGTTTTTTACATGATTAGAATAAAAAATCTTGTCTATCTCTTAATAAGATATTAAACTAAGTCGGTAAGCCCAACGTAAGGCCATTTGATTGATCCAAAGGCAGTGGACAGCTCATCAAAAAATTTTCTGAAGAAATAGTAATTATTCAAAATTCCAGAAACAGTTGGGCATTTTTGGATGATTTTTTTCTCGATGTTAAGCACCACAATGAATTCAAATTTTAGCTATTATTTCCGATTTACCTTATGCATTTCCCAGTAAAAAATAAATTTATCGACGATTTCTTTTTTTTTTTTTTCTAAAAACAAATTAACCATTTCCGCAAATTTTTAATGCCTTATTTTGAAGGAATTCTCATTCCCAACAACTGTTTTTAGACCACTTACACCAATAGTTCATAACTATTTGAATATACACGAAAAAGTGGTTTGTCCAATTTTTTTGTTTAATAAAAGTTAGCTAGCCAAATTTTTGATATCTCTCGGCGAGGGGCCTTTCCGTTTACCCTCTAGAATATCATTATGTTGTAAAACAACTTAAAGCGGTTTGTTTCTCTCAAATTCTAGATATCCTATCATCTACAAATATAATTGGACTTGTGCTTTTTATTAAGAAGTCAGTGAACTCTGAAAATAACCAAAATATTCATTTTTTGTATGATACAGCATCATCTCAAGCCTCATTAGATAAGTCATGCAAACTAGAATAACCACTTTTGTCATGTTAAACACAACATTGTAAATATTCCTTCCTTAATTATTCAAATGTGTATTGAAGTGACGTCTGTACTTAACAAAGGTTGTTGAATGGTAATGTGTATCTAGCTCAGATCCATTCATAAAAGAACAAATAATGGAAGATACGAGGGGCATCCAAAAAGTGATAGTATTTTATTGGCTTTTGATGTATGGAGGCCATTGGCAAAAACAGGGCTTTAGATATTTGTCAAGTGCCTATAACAAAATTTCAGTTAATGAAACGTGTTTCTTCATCCAAAACAATGGCTCAACAATGCAACATCCAGAAAAATGGTGTCAAGTAAGTTGACTCTGCACTTCCCACTCAATGATCTCATCAGTTCATAAAGGATTATGTTTTGCAGAAGTTAGCCCCTCTCACAAACTGTTGACTATGAAGATGTATAACAGAAAAAAAATTAGGCTGATCAAGTAAGTCAAACAGATCTACATAATTAGTACATACTACCCACCCATTTGAGAACACTGCAATCTAGAAACTTCTCCCCTACTCTACTGACAGTATTGGTCATCTAGCAATGTTGTTATGGCTGACTTCCTGTACCATCAGCCGTAGCAGCAATGCATTGTTCACACCTCGACACACGATATGTATATACTGGTACAGATATTAGAAATATTTACTATTTAAGTTTTAAGGGCAAATGTACGAGGACATACGGTGATGTGTGAAATATGTTTAACAGATGCATAGAATTACCGTAGTTGAAAGCATATAAATAAACTATAAAAGATAGAGATATACTCTCCCTTGTCCCCTACAGTCCCCAAATCCAAATTTTGAACCTACAACAATTTTTTTCTGAAAATGAACGTCCTCCAAAAAAGGTTGGGAGTTTTATTTTTCTTTTTTTACCCCTAGCTCCACCATCCCATGATCAATTTTCAAAAGCTACAAAACTTTTTTGACCTTGGTATAGGCATAGAAACCTTGTATGAAAAGTCCATCAATAGCCAAGTGGTACTTTCTACATCATGCATCGTACAAGGACTAGCAGGACATGATTTTTTGTGATGTAGCTGACATAACATTCAAACAACATTTCGCATTTCAGCATTTTTTCCTATTACAATACTTCCTTACCATTGGGATGGAAATTAAAGCAAATTAATTCAAATGTTTCTTTTACCCACTAGTGTAGGAAAAAACCAATGAATAATAAAATACACAGAACATGATTTTGTATACCCTATCATATTTAGATGTGGAACAAAAGTTGATAGGCTGAATGAATACTCCACTCCCGGTTCCTACTATGTGGATTTATTTATTTATTGTATGTCCCACTCATGGCAGAGTGACATTTGGGGTCCTATTTGTTCTGCCAAAAATTTAGGAGAATTGAAAGCATCATCTGGATTCTTGATCCATGTTTCAATGCCTCCCACAGGTGGACGCTGCAGGATAACTGCGCAGGAGTTATTCAAAAAATAATTTCTTTTAAAATAATGTTCTAAGTGCAAGATTAGGAAAGCGTAGGTGAAGTTAAATCATGGAAATGTTTGGTTTTTATTCAATGCAATATGCAAGTAGATTGTCCAACATTTCCTTTGATTTGTTTGATTTATATGTTGGAATCTCACATTAAAATGTCTGCCAAAAATAATCAAATGAATTATGATTCTGATGGAAAACTATTTGCAAGGGAGCTAATATGTATCCAACAACAAACCTTTGAAAGCAAAATCTGAATAATTGAAAGCAATAACATAACATACAGCAAGAAGCAGAAAACCTATAATTGCATTGCAGAATATGTACAAGTAACTCCGGTAATAATGTAAGATATGCCGTATTTTAGCCGACTATATGCAAAACGTGCAGCTGAAAAGCGTTGCAAAGATCCTTACCACTTACCCCTTGCCCTTGATAGTCAGCACTACAGCACAAGCAAATATTTACATTACATAGATAAAATTGAACTGCTTATGAACCCCCAGTTTGTTGTTTGGGTCAAAAGATAAATTACTGATAGCAGCGAATAGCTAGAAGAACGATAACACTTATTGCCACATGTAATTAGCTCTTAATAAATCTTAATTTAGGTCTGAACCGCAACATCTGACACAAATTATCATTCCTACACCGGTTTTGCAGTTGGTTTTATTTCTTTTGTGGCGCCAAACAGGAAATAAAAAAGACAACGGTCCAAAACCAACGATTGTCTTCTGTCAGTGGATACTGCATCGGCAAAAGATGACATAGAACATCGAACATCTAACAAGTGCTTGCTGATGTAGACAAATGCGCTCCTGGCGGCAATAACATAAAACTGACCTTGCATCTGAATGCAGTATTTCCTAAACTATTCGAATTCGGTAGGTCCGCTCAAGGGTTTCGGACCTACGATGAGGTGTTGTTGCAGCTAGAAACAAACAAATTAAATATAGAATATTGCTTCTTGTAGACATCACTGTGGTTCATTTTCTTACCACTAGACTACTATGCACGTTGCATTTCGCCGATGTTTTGCTTCCTATCTTACCTTGTCTATGGTAAGTCTTCTGTCACAGTCATATGTTTTTGCTTGACACCGAAGTACACATAACCTTCAAGTTTGTTTACATTAAACAAATGAAGAAATGCTCAGGGCCGTTAGATGAATTGAAAATGTCGAATTTGCTTACCTTTCACGATGATTCGTTATGGAATATTTCTATTATCCATACTACTATTCTTCAACGGTTTCTTTCCCATTTCAAAGACTTCTCAAAGCTTCAAAAACGATCCGCCAAAAGATATGCTACCAGTGAATGACACATACGCCCCCGTGGTATCCAAATTAGTCCTTGTTGTGATAGATGCTCTACGTTTAGACTTCGTTAACTCCCAATTAATGCCCTTGACATCAAGACTAAGCAGAGGAAATGGTTGTTCCAATAATGTATCTGTGCAAACTCCAACAGTTACAATGCCCAGGATCAAAGCACTAATTGCAGGAAATGTACCACAGTTTATCGACATTGTTTTGAATCTTGCTAGTACAGAACAGTTAAAGGATAGTTTAATTCATTCCGCTTATAACAGCAACAAGAAAATAGTATTTTATGGAGATGATACATGGCTGAAGTTGTTTCCATCCTATTTTTGGAGATACGAAGGAACAAACTCTTTTTATGTAAGAGATTTTGAGGAAGTAGACCATAATGTAACCAGAAATGTCCTCAAGGAAATAGAAGTAAAAGACTGGGATATCATGATCCTACATTATTTAGGTATATCTTTTATGGAATTTGAGTAGAGTAATTTAGTTTTCATGGGCCTTTAATTTCAAATACTCCCTGTGGAATTATCTACTACCAGCTTTAAACTTTGTTATGTATGATCACTGGTGAACAAATTCCACTTGGAGATATTGTGGCCTCTCTAATACCTGTTGTAATTGTGCATCTGCAGGTGGGATAATGTTAACCAATGCCCAAAGATAAAGATTCCCAATGAAAGTAAGCATAAGAGAGGCGCCAAAAAAAAAGGAAGGGCTGAAGAGCCTAGCGCCATCTATGAGACAGCAAAACTCCTTTCAAAGTAGATTTTTAAATTTATTTTTGAGTTCCACTACCGTCTCATAAATGGCACTAGAATCTTGCAGTGCTCTTTCTGGATACCACAATATGGTATATGATTGGCTATCTATATCAAAGTGAAATATCGTCGGCTTAACATGCAAATGTCGTAAGTCCCAGGAGGCAAATTTTACAGGAAGGTGGAAAAACTGTTTTCATTGATGCATGACGCTTATTAATCGGAACAACCTATCATAGTATTTAATGAATAATGTTCAAATTATTATTTTTGAAGAATTTTGGCAATAATTCGTATTGGGTGGTTTAATATGGACTTACTACATTTGCTTAGGTATTTGCTAAAGTTTCGTGGAGTTACTACATTTCTTCTAGATCATACAATACGTGATTATAGTATTAACTTGTTTTGTAAACTTAACTGAAAAACGCATATTCGTAGTTTTTTTACTAGTGTACATTAAAAATATATTAATAGTTCATTTTATAGTAAAAAGAGACTAACGATTTTGTATCAATTTTTATTTTACTCACTAAAAAGTAGCAAAATGGATAAACGTAAAACACAAATACAACATAACGTGCAATCCTAAATAAATTGAATAATCATAAATATAATAATACTGATTATGGAGCTTAAAATGTACATATATTTAGCTTTTGAGTTACAACATTGTTAACAGGATGAAACTAACTAAAATAATTATTGGTAGATAATTAGTTTGGCACTTTAAATAATAATACTTGGAAGGGAGATATATAAAAGAAAACTTATTCCTTAAATGGCAAATTATCATAAAACTGATGGTAATCTTTGATTAAACTTGTTTTTAAGATTTGGAGATGATCATATTTGCTTTTTTTGATAGGGATTTCATTTGGTATAACTGTGGTAGACTATCAAAATCTGTAGATGTAGTTTTATTTGTGTTTCTAAACTCTAGGGGGACATAATTTGTGTTATGTCTCAGTTTATATAAAATGGATCCATCAGGCTTATATGTTATGGCACGTAAATCGGTCACTACAGGATCACCAACTTTTTTGCCAGGCCTTAAGGAATTAAGAAATTTGATTCTTTCAAAATTTTTGAAAAAATCATAGCTTAAATATTTCACTACATATGGACGAGGGTTTTTCTTGCATGGAGGCAGACTCTCACATAATCTGCAGGAACATGAATGGAAGTATTTCTTAACTTTCTTTCAATGGAAGAATGCATTGAGTCTGCCTCCATTTGGGTATGACCCTTTTCTAAATATTTTTGTTCAATATTAATCCCGTAAAACATACTCATATTAGTGCATTGGAAATGGTAACATTTCTATTTTGGGACGTACATCCATCACTCCACAAAATCAGTGATTTCTCTTTTTCGAGATTTTTTAACACAACTTGTTTAATAAAATAACATAATATGGAAGCATAATCATTAGCGGTTACACCACCTGCTGACTCATGCCAGATAAAACAGTAACCGTCTTTAGTTTTCATATTGTAGATGGTGAAGTTATGAACCATTAACTTGGTTTTAAAATATAGTGAGGACACATTTGATTTGGGGCTCAAAAGAACTGCCTGCATATCCATGCAATATACTTCATTTTCTGAAATTTTATCCGCCTCCTTAGCTTCTCTAGCTTCCTTCTTCTTCTGATGGTGTATGAGAAAATCTGACTCCGAAATGTTACCTGTTCTGTGAGCTACACATTTATCGAATTCGTCCTTTTTTGGTTTAAATAGGCTTAAATTCAGTTCGTCGAAAACATGAGTAAATGTTGCTATGGAAAGATGATCAGTATTTTTTTCTTTACACCATATTTCCTTATAACACCTGTATAAATCATACTTCGACGTCCAAGTAGGCTCTAAGTATATTTTGTTTGAACTGCTTCTACAGTAATGGGATTCAAGTTTAGGAATGTTTTCAAAAAAATCTTGTAAAAACTTTTTCATCCCAGTGTATTTCGATATTCTTCCTCGCTCGCCTTCCTGTTCACTAGTCCTGCTCACATCATTTGATGAATTTTCAGCAATCGTTACATTCCGCTCATTACTTCCAGTATACTTCCATATATTTACCATCCTTTCGCCCATTGCAATTGTATTGAGGAACATTTGCTTGCAGACCCTAATTGAATCATCATTTTTCTTCAAATAATATAAAGATGAAAACTGCCGTCTAGAAGCGCTCTCGTCTTTCCTATTTCTGTGTCTTCTGGTTTGCTGATTTTGACAGACATATAAACAAACGTTTTTCTCTGCTCCCAGTTCATCTTATCCCAAAATTTAGAGAATATTTTTTTCGGTCATCATCTGTTAGTTTCTGACATTCTAACAGACTGTTACTTTTCTTGTTAGACAGTTTGCATTGACAGCGGGGCCCCATCATTCTTTTCGGTTTTGGAGTTGTCTTCCAGACGCCATCAATTTTTTTTCTTCCTAAATATTGTTCTCCTCTTTCCCTATCAGATTTGTTTATGTTTTGCTTCCACGTATTTTCATTAACCAAATGCCTTCTTCTTCTTTTTCTAGCAGGTTCTATAGGTTCGTCGCCACCGGATGAGTCTGCAGTAGGAACGTAATTTGGATCGTTCTCACACGGAATTTTATTTGTTTCAGACAAGAATTCGTGTTCTAATATGGAAATATTGCTAGTTACGGGATAACCTACGAGTAGTTCCCTCTCAAATTCTAATGGACCGGTGGGCTGTCCAGGAGACTTCCCATGTTGACAATTGGTAGAAGGGTCATTATAGATTACATCACTCGTGACCGAACAAGTCGGAACTTCACTGGTGTCAAACAAATTTTTAGTCACTTCTGGAATATCCAGAACCAAAAGATTTTCATTGGAAGATGGCGTGTGGCATTCGTTTGTGGATACAAAAGACATTATTTTCATCGTCCTTGAATGATAGTTTGCCATTTTCCTGTAACAGAAACAAAATGCCACTATGAGTAGATACTTAACTGAAATTAACAAATATCTAATCTTGTCTTAGCAAAGACTAGGTTTAAAAATCAAAAACTAAAAAAATTTTGTAAGAATATGTAAATGACATTATAAGTAAACAAATAATACAGTTTATATCTTGAAAATTATCCTTCTCTTTGTAACCAGAGCCATCAATTATTTTTCATAATTTCAAGGATATATTGTAAGTCCATTTACAGGAATATGAAATAAGTATATAAAATGTAGTAAGTCCATACAACTTTTAATAACCAAATTTACCTGGAAACAAAAATGGTTACCATACGTGCTATTTGATCAATTTAGCCTTTCAACTTAATACAATGTATAGCTGATCATTTATAAACCAATAAATTAAAAATACTTACGATATTTCACTTGTAAAATGCACCTGTTATACCCACGTGTGATACACACAACAACCACATGGCCGCTAACGGACTTACAACATTTGATTAACGGTTTAGGCACTAGGTGGACTTCCGACATTTCTATTTACGTTCATTGCAGAAAACTGTAATGTGCCAGAGGCATAATATCATGCTTAACCTATAGCTTATACCATTTAACGAAAGATGGAACCAAAGAGTGAATTTTGTCCAAATGTGGACTTACGACATTTGCATGTTAAGCCGACGATATGTTAATCAATGGCATGATGCTCTTTCCTAGGTTTGGACCACATTGGACATGTCTATGGACCTTTTTCTCCACTAATTCCAAAGAAACTAAAGGAAATGGATCAAATTATACATAAGATGTATACAAGATTGATCATGCAATATGACAATCCTCTAGTGATTATCACTGGAGACCATGGTATGAAAGACAGTGGAGGCCATGGTGGATCAACCTATGCTGAAACAAATGTTCCCTTAATAGCCCTAGGAAGAAAATGTAACAGTGCTTCATTTACTCAGACTGACATTTCTGTCAATTTAGCTGTACTGTTAGGTCTCAACATTCCTTCTGCTGCTATTGGAATGATACAGAACAGCCTTCTGCAATTTCCTTTAGATAAGCTGTTGTATACAATTTATTATAACCTGTTGCTGCTGAGGCATAGGAGTAACATTTGTGAAGATTCCTTTAGAGAAGCACTGTCACTTCATAAAAACTATTTAACAAACGGAAACGACCAAGACGGATTCAAGGCTGCAATTTTGTATAAAAATTGCTCTATGTTGATCATTGATGAACTTACAAATGCAGTAACTCAAAACTATACTTTATTGTTCATGTCTTTGATTCTAATGTTTTGTTCTGTAGCTTATTTGTTCAAATTGGTCAGGCCAATAGTATGGACACATTGTCATAAAGGTGTTGACTACACATTACTTCTGACTTTGGTGCAACCTTTGACTTTTGTTTCATCCAGTTACATTGAAGAAGAGCATGAATTTTGGTTCTTTTCAGTCAGTCTGTTATTTTTGATTACTCTTTCAATATCCTTAAGGGCAAGAAAAATGAGCAATGTCTTTAACAGTATTATAATGCTGGCAATAATAAGATGTTTACGAACTATAAATGCAACTGGTGATAAATGGGCTAGCTATCCCGATTTTTCTGATTGGTTGCTAAAACCAGAAAACTTTGTTTATCATCAATTATTTTTCTTAATTGGCCTGCTGTTACTTGGTTTAATGCAGTGTTGCATTTGTCATAAGGTTGTCAGCCCCATAAAAATAGCATTGGATACAACCATATTAACTTCAGTATTTTTCTATAAAATAACAGAGTCCAATATTACACTTGCTAGGGTTATCTGGTGCTTAATTCTTTGTCATCTGCTTTTATTTCATCGTTCTTCTAAGATTGTGACATGGACCCACATCTGTACCTTATTGCTAAAACCATATAATGTCATATTGCTTCCTTGTTGTATCCTCTTGGCTAGTTTTTTCCATGGTTCATCTAATAAATTACTAGTTCTTCTGTCTCACGTTTGGTTAGGGAATTTGTTGTTTTTTGCACAAGGGCATAGCAACAGTATTGCTAGTGTTGATATATCGGTTGGATATGTTGGTTTATCAGAGTACAAACCTCTATTTGTCACTTTGCAAGTTTTATTCCATACTTATGCCTTCCCAGTATTATGTCATTTGTTAATGTTTAGCAATATATCTGACCATAAAAAGAACATTCTTCCAATTTGGGATATATTGTTCTTTAATCGCTTATATATTATGTTTATAGTGTGCTTAAACACACTGTTTTTCAGAAATCATCTGTTTATCTGGTCAGTATTTGCACCAAAATTATTTATTGAATGTATTCATAGTGGATTCTTGTTTGTGGAATATGTTGCATATGTTTTGTATGGAAATGTTATTGAAAGAAAGATAAAATACATGTGATATTTTAACTTAAGCTGTTTTTTGTTTCATTCCTACCCTCCAAGATATATTTTTAAATACATAAATGTTAATATCTCCAACATGCATACTATAATCAAAACATTTTCCTTATATTTTTTGCAACTTCAAAGAAAAAATCATGTATTTTAGCATTCAGTGATTTTATACAGTGGTTAATCATATTTAAGAGACAAATTTTTAATATTCAGTTACTTTAAACAAACACATTTTTTTGTTTTATAATTTGCTATAAATATGCTTTGAAGCAATTAGAGAAACAGTTCAAAATGGTAGAATGAAAGAATATACAAATTATCTTAATCCTCAGGCTTGTCAGGAGGTGGCCCACAGGGTTGAAGCATCTTCTCCATAAGATTAAATTTGACCCTAGCTTTTGCTTCATTCTCACAAATGGCTATGTGGCTGAGCAAGTCTGGATGGCCCAGATAGCTGGAATAACTGTCCCGGTGCTGGTTCACTAGCCATTCATACTTGGTGGTGTCTGCATGCCCAGTACCAATGTATTTTGACTGCAAGTGTTCAAGCTGACTGTGGATATTGTAGCGGTCACCCATTTTCTTCTAAAACGTATAAAGTATCAAATACTGTTCAACATTCAAGTATCTTACTCACCTATTGAAATATTTGCAATTTTATTTATGTTTATGACAATGTGTAAACCTGTAAACAAAACATATACATTAGCACAATACACTAGCTTCTGCTACAATACAATAGTTTTAGTGACCTCTGTTAGGCGAAACTCTAACTGTATTGTTAGTAGATTACAGATTTCTGTGTTGAATTTTCAAAATTCCTATTGACAGGTACTTTTCATACGTCTTGACAGGTTAAAAAGTCACGGTCTCAGCTGAAAAAGGCGAGGACACTCAAAATTTTCGCGAAGAACGGGAATAGGGGAAGACGGATGTGACGTCGTCCGAATGTCAAAAAAGCACGTGGTGCGGGTACCCGCCTAACGTCTGTGAGGTACTAGCGGGTGACAGGTCTTATGTCAATGGCATTTAAAAACAGGCATCTCAATTGAAAATTTGTCTTCGCAGTGCTGAAAATTGAGTTAAATTATTATATCATAAATGGAGGAACACGTACACCTGATTTTAAATGACGAGGGAGAAGGTCATCAAAGATATATGATCCGCACTTTTCGTATCAAATGATTGATTTCATTGATATACAGGGTGACTTTGAAGTTGAGTCATTAATTTTCAGATAATGATTGTAGAAGGAAGATAAACCAAAATATGTGTGTAAAAATAAAAAAAAACTAAAAAAAAATGTTACCTTGTTTTATAAAGTATCCTCCCGACAAGTATTTCAGTGCGGACCTGTGCGCCCAAAAGCATGTCACAAAAACTGTTCGAAATGATTTCCGTTTTGCTCGACGCACAGCTGGGCGCGTCTTAGCCATGTCTCTTTACAAGCACGCAATAAAATCACTGGTTGATTTCTGATCACTGTACTCATTTCCTCAATTCGAGCACGTAATTCTTCGCGTGTATTAACCGGTGTTTTATACACTAGAGTTTTTAGCCAACCCCACAAACAAAAGTCTAAGGATTTAAGTCCGGAGACCTTGGCGGCCAAGGTACAAAACCGCCACGGCCGATCCAACGATTATTAAATTGTCTATTTAAAAATTCACGCACATTTCTTGCATAATGGGGTGGTGCCCCATCTTGTAAAAACCACATGTTTTGTCTAATATTTAAAGGCACATCTTCCAGTAAACCAGGCAAATTGTGCTGCAAGAAATCAAAATAATTTTCACCAGTTAAGCGATTTGGTAATTCAAAAGGCCCCACTAAAATTCCATTAACAATTCCCGCCCACAGGTTGATTGGTTCAAATCGCTGTTGAAAATTGGTTTCCCTTATTTCATGGGGATTTTCAATAGCCCAAACGTGAGAATTACGTGAATTAATAATTCCGTTTCTAGTAAACAGGGCTTCATCACTCACTAAAATTTGATTTAAAAAATTGTCATCATTTTGATGTTTATTTAAAAGCCAATTGCAAAAGTCAACCCTTTGTTCATGATCTTCCGGTTGTAAGGCCTGCACTTTTTGTATGTGAAACGGATAGAACTGATTTTCACGTAGAGTTTTCCAAGTTTTATACTGACTAATCGCCAATTGAGTTGAAATTTGTCGGGTGCTTACTGTTGGATCATCACTTACTAATTCTAAAATTTGTTCTTCTAGTTCTATTTGATCGTGTGGTCTTGGAGCACCGGCATGATCTCCTCTGTGAGGTCTTAAGTCACCTGATTCACGAGCTCTTTGCACTACATTAACAAAGGCACGAGGGGTTGGTTGCACTCGATTGGGAAACCGATCCGCATAGATCCGTGATGCCGCGGCAGCATTTTGTAAAGACTCCCCGTAAATAAGAACCATGTCCACAAGTTCAGCATTTTCGTAAACATGTGCCATTTTTGATTTGAGCCTCGCAACAGACACGATTATTCACTTACGCGTTACCGACTACCGACTGATACTGACTGTATACAACTGAAGAAAATAATTGTAAAAAGATCGTTCCAAATTCTTTCGCTTTTTTGTTTCCGATGCGATGAACGGATAAGGCGGATTATATCTGTTGTTGCCAAACACGAGAACATAATATCATTATTGAGACAGGGCGGTACTCAAACTTCCAAAGGGCTATAACTTTGTTACTTTAATTTTACCAGAAAAATGGTAAAGGAAAAAAACATTTCTTTTGATCAGATCTACTCACTGTTAAAATAAATGACTCAACTTCGAAGTCACCCTGTATAAGTACATTGCACAAAAAACGATCGGTCTTGTTATTTCAGATTCAAACAAGGCAGCTAAGTTTATCAAGGAGCTTAAAGCAAACATTTTGCACAACATGCGCCATCTAACCACTCTCGGTTGAACTTGAAACTGTCAAAACTTCGAGTGGAAGGGGAAATCCCATCTGTTCCCGCTCGGTTCACTAACGGAATCTCGCGAAAAAATCTCCCCAGCACACCCAATGCTTTCAGCTAGTCTAACATAGTCGATTTCAGAACAAAAGTAAAAAAAATATACCTTGGCTTATTCCACCCCTTACTAAAGAGATTTTTTCGCGAGATCCCGTAGTGAACCGGAGCGGGAACAGAATTTCCCCTTCCTCTCGAAGTTTTGACAGTCTCAAGTTACACCGGGAGTGGTTAAAAAGACCAATCGTTTTTTGTGCAATGTACATTATATATCAATAAAATCAATCATTTGATATGTCAAATGCGGTTCATATATCTTTCATGACCTTCTCCCTCGTCATTTAAAATCAGGTGGACGTGTTCCTCCATTTATGATTTAATAATTTAACTCAATTTTGGGCATTGCGAAGACAAATTTTCAATTGAGATGCCTGTTTTTTAAATGAAATTGACATAAGACCTGTCACCCGCTAGTACCTCACAGACGTTAGGCGGGTACCCGTACCACGTAATTTCACACACACATCCGTCTTCCCCTATTCCCGTTCTTCGCGAAAATTTGAGTATCGGTTCCCGGTAGTGCACTGTGCTACACCGTGGACTCGCGAAAGAATCCTTATGATATAGGGGAACGCAGCCTAGTTACTTCTGTCATCTGTCCAGCGTTGCCAGACGTACGATAATTATCGTTTCTGTACGATAATTTCAAGTACTGTACGATGTACGATACTATGTGTAGGATAATAGCTGAATGTACGATAATTTTGCGAATGAGCTTTTTTACTCACAGATGTTGAATCAATTTAACAATTACGTTCAATTAACACCATCAAGCAACTGTCTGTGTTGGCACTTGGTAGACAAGCGCGCGTACCCCACCCTGTATAATGTGTTGCCTAACAGTACGCGGACTATCTCGGCAAACATCAACGGGAAAAATTGCCGTCAATCAGTTCTCACGTTCACATGTGTATTAGATGAAATGAATGCGCCGCGACGTCTCCCGTTTTTATGACTTTTGAAATTTAAAAATCAAAAGATCGTTTTCAGTTATTTTCGATATTTAACCGGCTTCAATTCAATTCAATAACGATAATATATCGGATTCCGAATCAAGTTGCCCTGGAAGAGAGAAGCAAGATGCGAGTAGAAAAAACAAAAAAAAAGGAGCGGAACCTTTTGAGAAAGCCCAACATAGACAGCAAGCTTATAGGAAAGAGTGGGAATCAAAAGAAAGTGCCCCGCCCCCCCCGAGACGGAAATTTTTCCGTCATCATGAATCCTGAGAGAACCTAAGGCACGGTGTAGGATAATGTATGATAATTTTGACGTGTTTGTGCGATAATTCCCTGCGACGAATCTGGCAACGCTGCATCTGTCATATAAAACACCAAGGTCGTCAAGTCGATAAGCAAATAAAGGTCAGCTATGTTATGATTATGGTGTTGACCATTTTGGTAAAAAATCAACAACAGGATGACTTTTTAGTAAAATACGACATCAAATGATGTGATATCAACAATGAGTGATTCTGTTATCACCGTGAACACTGTGCTAGACTGCAAACCAATCCTCGTACCGTATACACCGACAACAACATGCGAAGACATTTGCATCTACCTTTGCAAACAACTCAACATAGGGGCCATAGCCCGCCACTTGTTTGCCATTCGTATCACCGGCAAGAATGTCTTCCTTATGCCGGCAGCCACATTTGGGGACAAGCCTGCCGCTGTGGACTTCAGAATGCGGCTCAAAGTGGCCAGCATTGATAGCCTCAAGAAATTGGACATGAACGCATTTAACTACTACTTTCATCAAGCTAGAGGAGATGTCTTGAATAACAGAGTACCTGATATCATTTATGAGAAGTACAAAAGAGAGTTGGTTGGCTTGGGTATTACAGACATGTACAGGGTCATGCTGGAGAAAGATATATCAAGAGAAAGTGTGGAAAATGATTATAAAAAGTATATACCTAAAGAAGTACTGAAAAGACATGCATTTTTCATTAAAAGACCTATACACGATACACTTGGCAAACTCCAGAAATCTGTTCATGATGCATTGTAAGTACTTTTAAAAGAGCTTTAAGCCTCTAGGATACTACTATTTATTTGTATACTAGCTTTGTGCCTTGGGAATATGTATACAGGGTGTCCCGAAAAAAGTGTTCAATATTCTACCAGCAGTTTCTAGAGCTTAAAATAGGAAGAACAGTTTATATAAACATAGGTCGACAAACATCCCCTAAGGGCGCTGCAGTCTTTTAAAGGGGCTCCCCTGAAGATGGTTTTTCCTTAATATTTACGAAACGTGTTGAGATAAAGACATAAATCTGGTAGTCTAGCCTACTTTTTTATGCTGGATTTAAAAATATTAACAATTTTAGACAGTTTTGTTTCGAAGCGTATGTAACAGGACTCAGGTTGTTTTAGCCCCAAAATTTAATAATTGGTAAATATTACATAAATACATATTTCTATTGCAACATTTAGGCAAAAATAAAAGAAGTAAATTTTTTCTACGAACGAAATTGAAATTTGTTTAAAAAAGAAGACATACAGTTAGATATACTTTACAATAAGTGTTCAAATAAATTCCCATTTTGTTGGATACAGAGTCTCACTCGACGAACTAATGATTGCGTAGCCCGAAAAGTAGAAAACCTTTTTCTTCTTATTTCATTTGCCGCCTGAGGGATTCTTTGAAGTAAATCTTCTTGAGTATTTACTTCAGGATTTAGGTCAGGTGAACATGGCGGCCACGCTATTGGACCTCCTCGGCCTAACCACCTGTTTGGAAAATTGACATTCAACCAATTTCGAACATTGCATCCAAAATGTGTAGGGGCGCCATCATGTTGAAAAAACATATTTTCTTGAAACTGCTCGCGCACATCCAATGGTATTATATCCATGACCTCATTCTGAAGAAAGTTTAGTTACACCCCTGAATTAAGGCGATTGGGAAATACAATAGACCCAATTACTTGATCCCCAATTACTCCTGCCCATAAGTTCAATGAAAATCTATGTTGGAAATTTTTATGGCGAACAACTTTTGGATTTTCATCTGACTAGTGATGAATGTTATGAAAATTAAAAGCACCATTCCTAGTAAATATTGACTCATCTGACCAATAATATTCTAGGAATAGTGTTTTCATTTGCTAATATCCACTGGCAAAACTCGATTCATGGTAAAAAAACTGCCTTTGTTAAATACAGCATCCATTTAAAATTGTAAGGATGAAATCCTTGCATTCTTGCCACTCTTCCTATCTAAAATTATTATTTTTAGGATAACTATGAAATAGGTATTCATAAATTTTTCTTACTATTGATCGCAGTATATTATTTCCAAACATATTTAAAGCATTATCCATCCGATGATTCCCCAGTGGCCTTCCTGAGCCCTGCATTTGCTGAAAACTTCCATGGTTTGACAAATACCGGTGAATATCAGTAAACATTCGACATACATGTACTATGCGATTGGGAAATCTTCTTTGATATTCTCTTACGGCTGCCAGTGAACTGCCATTGCAAAACCCATACACAAAATGCATGTCAGTCAGTTCTCTGTCTGTAAATCTTGGCATTTTAAATCCATTTAATAAAAATTTTGATTCTAATCTAGTAATTTTACACTGCTAACAATGTCAGCTTAACGTCAAAATAAGTCGTAACAAATCAAAACAACTTTTGTTTGCAGTCATGGCTAACTATGTATAATCAACAATTATTCATTTAAATTCACAGTACATTTCCTATCATGTGACAAATTTTTTAGTTTGATTTTATTCAAAAATGGCACAACTTATCGATATTTAAAAGAGTACCGTTTTTATGTAGAAAACCCTAAATTTTCTAATTTTAAAATTGAATTTCAAAAATAGAATCACACAAAAATTTTGGGGCTAAAATAACCTGAGTCCGTTCCTGTTACATATGCTTAAAACAAAACTGCCTAAAATTGTTAATATTTTTAAATCCAGCATAAAAAACTAGGCTAGAATACTAAATTTTATGTCTTTATCTCAACACGTTTCGGAAATATTAAGGAAAACACATCTTCAGAGGAGCCCCTTTAAAAGACCGTAGCGCCCTTAGGGGACGTTTGTCGACCTATGTTTATATAAACTTTTCTTCCTATTTTAAGCTCTAGAAACCGCTGGTAGAATATTGCACACTTTTTTCGGGACACCCTGTATAGTGCCACTAATATAGTTGGCTGTCAATTTACTAATATTATATTTCTATTCTGGCAATGTTTCACTTTACCAGTTTCAGTTTCATTAAAAAAAAAACTTGAGAATCAGAAGCATAACTCTGCTAAATGTACATAGGAATAGATAGAGGGGTAGCCTAGAGCTTTGGACCATCTGAAACTCATCATATTAAATGAATAATGCTACCCAGATGTCATCTCTTCATAATGTACATCTATTCAAGCAAGGTCATAGATATAGCTGAATCACTAGAAACATATATTTTTTATATTTCAGTTATGTAAAGGAAGAGTACATTAGGCAACTGGAGATTATTGCACCAGAGTACCTGTCTGAAGTATACAAAGCTGTCATGGATGATAATGGTTCAATATCTAGTGTATATATCAAAGTCTCACCCTATCATCCTACTGAGCCAGGGATCAAATACTGTTTAGAATCCAAAAAAGAGGTAATTGGAACTCTTATTACCAAGTCTGATCCGTATGTGATCTGCAAATATACTTCTTTTTTCAACCATAATTATATATTTGTATCTGAAGAGTGCTTCAGAATTTCAATTTGGCGCCATTCTTTATCTTAAACATATAGTTTTTTTTATGTGGATGATGGTGATGATAGTGGAGTTGTGCATATTCATGACAAGCATTACCACAAATATGGACTTTTGTGGTAATGCGGAAAAGTTTTTTGTTTGTTGAAGATTTATCTAGCATTAATGCTACAAAGTCAATTTTATATAATTATTCGCTTACACAATTTTCTTCAATCCATTTTCTGTAATTTTACCTTCTTATCTATTAAAATTAGATGACTATGCATTTTAAGTATTCATAAAGTGATTTTTTAATTTCAACTTCAGGTTACACCCGTATCCGGATGTATGGGCAAGTGTATCTATTTTTGTAGTTGCATATGTGCATTCATTTCGGGCCTGATGAAGCCAACCAGCAGAAATACGTATCGCTTGGGTTACCTATCCTATTCTGCTCGAATCCATTTTTTGCTGATTTTGCCCATTATTTTCCTATTTTTGTTATATACCTTTCTCCGCATGATAATTTTCTCTTTGTAGATCATTTGGGCTTGAAGTACCATAGAAAGTGGCTATAAAGGGCCGCGTGGTTGTGGTTATTTGTCGCCTTGAAAATTCGAGGTCTTCTAGCCATTTTATACTACAATGTGTAGGTTGGCTCTTGTTTGTGGACTTCGTGTGTCTTTTTTTCCTCTCCATCTTCGTTTCCTCAGGTTACACCTGTATCCGGATGTATGGGCATGTGTATCTATTTTTGTAGTTGCATATGTGCATTCATTTCGGGCCTGATGCAGCCAATCAGCAGAAATAGGTATCGTTCGGGTTACCTATCCTATTCTGCTCGAATCCACTTTTTGCGGATTTTGCCCATTATTTTCCTATTTTTGACATCCTTTCTCTGCATGATAATTTTATATAGTTCTAACATATACAGAGTGTTCCATAATTATTGCGACAAAATGATAGGGGTTGTAGAGGGCATCAAAATGAACAATTTTTCCTTATAAACCCCTGTTCGGAAACATGCCGTTTGGGCTGCAGCAAAAAAAAAGATCAGTTTCTTGAAACAGCTTACCTACAGTAATTGCTCAAAGTGTCCTCCACCTTGCTCAATACACACCTGTGCACGATTGTTCAATGATCGGCGAACTCTGTGGCATACCCCCGGTATGTCCTGAACATGTGCGGACGCGGCCATCACTCTTCCCAGTAGCTCTTGTTGGTTGGGAACAGGAGTTTCGTACACTAAAGCTTTCAGATAGCTCCAGATAAAATAATCCAGTGGAGTCAGGTCAAGTGACCGCGCAGGCCAAGGCACAGGGCCACCTCGGCCTATCCACCTATTTGGAAATTTGTCGTCCAAATACTGCCGCACTTGTAAAGAAAAGTGGGCTGGACCGCCATGGTGTTGAAACCACATGTTGGCTCTTATATTCAGTGGCACATTTTCTAATAGTTCCGGTAGCACATGCTGTAAGGATCGACCATAAGCATGCCCATCCAAACGTGGTGGAAGCAGATATGGCCCGATGATATGCTCGTCCACAATGCCGCACCAGATGTTAATTGAAAACTGATGTTGGTCTCTATGGATGGCTATGGCATGAGGGTTTTCTTCATCTCAAATGTGACTGTTACGGCTATTAAAATAACCGTCCTTTGTAAAACAGGACTCGTCAGTGAACAAAACGTAGCGACCAAAGTTTGGTTGCCTCAACTCCTGCTGCAGCCACCAACGACAAAAACGTCGACGCGGCAGATAGTCTGCTGGACCCATGGCTTGGACTTTTAAAAGGTGGTACGGGTGTACGATAACAAAAATGTAAACACAGCAGGCTTTTTCTACAAACCGGCGAGACCATGAAATGTGCTAGACGAACATTTTGCAGCTGGTGAATTTTTTGTTTCTCCTATGAGCTCTTAAGGTAAAATTAACTGTAGTGCTGAAACGGCATATTTACGAACAGGGGTTTATAAGGCAAAATTGCATATTTTTATGCCCTCTACAACCTCTATCATTTTGTCGCAATAATTATGGAACACCCTGTATATATATATATGTATATATGTTATGTCAATGTATCGTACGCAAATATTTGAATTTTGCAGTGTTCTAAAATTTCAGAGATATCATTTATATAAATAATAAATAGTAATGGCCCTAATTTACTCCTCTGTGGCACCTCTGCTGATATATTTGGAACGCTGGACAATATGTCCAACATTAGTCTTTTGACTTCTATTTACTAAATAATTTTGTAAAATGATCAATACTGCTGCTTTAAACCATAGTGATTCAATTGCATTAACAATTTTTCCCTATCAATGCCCTTTTGGAGTCTTAAAAATACTGTTACAATACATTCTTTATCATCTGTACTTCTTCTCCAGTCTTCCACCACCATTTGGGTTGGTGTTTCTATAGAAAATTTTTTTCTAAATCCAGCTTAATTTTTTGTCAAAAGTTTGTTTTCTTCAATTGTTTGTTCACATATTATACCTTCGAAAAGCTTCTCGACATCTGGCAAGACATTAATCGGTCGCATATTTGTACACAGCTCAGAATTTTGAACTTTCGGCACAGGAGTAATGGTGGAACACTTTAATGGGATTCACCATGTACTAAACAATGATTCACCAATAATAATAATTTCTCTCCAATTATATTGAAACACTCACTTAAAATCTTTTTTGGATTTTTATTAGATTTCAATTCTGAGATAGGTTTTCTCGGATTGTTGATGTTAATTGAACTAAATTGACTCATTGATGAATTATGATATACTTGTAATGAACATAAGTTTGGATCACCATCATCAATCGTCTTCACTATTTGATTGACCCTGTCTATAAAATAACTATTCATTCTTTCTGCTATAATTATTTTTTGGAATTATTTTCCTGATAGTCGCATGTTTTCTTGCAAGGACATCCATTCAAAGATACAGTTGGTTCTGGAAGTTTGCTTATATAAATGATTCTATCCTCTAGTCGTCTAGTCCATCATGCCAGATCAATGAAATGAATACATGGAATTTCTATTTTAGCAGTGGGTGTTAAAATGCACAATAGAAGAGCTAGGTTTCATTTCAATAAGAAACGATAGTACAACAGAAATTAGTAGGAAGAATGGTATACCATTCTACCTTAAATTCAACTCAATGGCAACTATGTACTCATTCATAAGCCTTTTGGATGGCTACTACAGACTGACTTGCAAGTGGATATTCAATATATGTAGGGAGGTGTACACTCCTTCCTTGAAAAAGTTATATGCAATGAAATGTCATGGGCCTGTTGGGTAAGTTATTTTGATATGACTGACAAACGGGTCTTTGCCTCATTCTAGTATTGTTAGTGGTTGTAAACAAGGAATTCGGATAGATTAGAGAGCAAAGGTACCAATTCTATATGCTTAAATTGCATTTGTTTGCCGCTAAATTTGCGTAGTTTTAGTGCATACTTTTGACTGCCGTTGTCTACCAAAGAGACATTGTTGTATCACTATAATGATAATACTTACTGATGGAAAGATTCACCTTCATTAGACTTGTGCAAATTATGCAAAAAAATACCATGTCCTGAAATTGTCTAACACCACAACTATCTGAGAAGAAGAAATAACACTAAAAATTAAAATTGAGTGACAGAACTGTCAAAAAATTAACTTATGTTGAGTCAACTGACTACAGACTGAGATTTTGGAGACAAAGACGTCACAGGCTTGCTCCTTCTACCTAGTCTAAATTCGTTTTTTGTAATTCATAAAGAATTCATTTACAAGAAGAAAATCAATCATCTGTTAATTCAAGTTTTCTTACCTGCTAGCATTTAGCAAGACCTAGTTTTTTTTGCCTTCTATAACAATTATCTTTTCCAGAGGTCAATTTTCTTATGCGAAGCTTGAATCTAAAAGGAGCAACAAACCTGGATGTTTCATCATAAGGGAAAGTGAATCAAAATACAATCATTATTATATTGATGTTTGTATGAAGGAAGGGTATGTTATTAAAATTTACTAGTGATAATTATCTTTCTAATGAAATAATTTTGTAGTCTTAAACCTAAGACGTTCAAGCTAGAAAAAATAACAGGTGATGAGTTCATTTTCAATGATGATCTGACAAGATACAAAAGTATTCAGCAGCTAATGGCTGCTTATAGTGATCCAAATGGTGCAATTTACCTACAGGAATGCTTGCCTCCTTCAGAATATGGTGAGTTTTTTTGTACATGTAATCAAGCACATTTTGAACAAAAGAATGCTGTATCATACACATATCACATGCATATGTGTACCCCTGGCAGAGAGCAAGTGACATACCTTTCTACCCTTTTTCTTGTATTCACCACCATAACTCAGGCCAAAGACCTTGGTGAAGGCTGAGGTATAAAAAAAAACTGCATTTGCTAAGCATCGCTAATTCTCTTAACAAATTTTAATTTCAACTATGGAAATGATTGTTTATTCCAGATGTATCTCCATTACTTCTATGTAGGAGTGAAAAAGAACCTGGAGGATTTGCTTCAGATGTATCCATTCCAACTTCACCTCTGTGTATAAGTTGTAAGGATCTCCAAGTATACAAACGTGAGTGGAAAACTTTATTACTTTCCAAAAGAAACAAACATGAATTCCTTGTTAATCATTCAAGACAGCGTAGGTATGGGTAATTTTACGATAACGAATCTTTACATGCAGATGTCAATTGAATATGCAAACTTTTAACTTCAACACTTTTGCTTTAAACAGGTTTTTAAATGCTTTGGTTCCTGTTCCTGTTTAAGTGACGGACTTTTCAACATCGTGAAAGCAGAAAAGTTCATATAAACAGCTGTCTTAAAAAGTCTGGTTTCCAAAATACAGACTGAAGTTTTATAAAAATTTTGTTTTTTATTGTTGTTGTATTTTGCCTCTATAACGTGAGATCTGGAGGTTATCACTGCTTGGGGACGTAACAATGCGCTTATCTGGTTTCGATGGATGGCCGAGGTTCGGCTGGTCGGAGTCCAGATCACCGAGGACTTGATTTGGTACTAACACATCTCGTCAATAGCGGCGGCTATTGGGAAAAAACTAGGCTATTTCTTTAGAGCTAAGAAGTACATTTCTCCACTCTATACTAGGCCCAGGTCTCTATGCTCAGTGTTGTTCAGAGGAGGGCTGGCCGACTGATCGATGACTTTTCTCCAACAGACAGTCTCGGCACCGTTTCGCATCGGCGGACCGTCAGCAATCCAGCGATGCAGATCTCTTCTACCGCTACACCAATGGGCTTTGCTCCTGAGAGGTCTCCACCATGAAGCCGCCGCGCGATGTGCCTGCCAGACAGACCCGCCTGACGGCGACCTCCCATCCTAACCGTGTCGAACTTCGTGTGTCTAGGGTGTCGAGATTGTGGAAAAATCTTCAAGAGGAGGCTTTTCCCAGTTCTACTAAGCTTAGGCAGTTCAAAAAGCGGATTAATAAAGTTTCTTTGGGATCCTCATAGCAGCGTGGCATTTAGGCTTCTACCTGCGGGGCTGCTTCGGTGTAATACATTTTTCTTCTCTGTGCCGATTTTGTTGAATTTGTTCTTCATTGGAATAATACACTAACTTAGCACTAACTAGAAGATACTTCTGAATTCCAGTGTCGCCCCGGGGGATATTTGACAAAAAAATGTAAGCTACCGATTTTAAAAAATATATATGATTTTTTCGGATGAAGGCAGCTAATGATATCTTTTTTGTCTCTTGGTATTTCTTCGTATTTTACTAAAAAAAAACAACTACATCAAATGTCGAAAAATTGTTAAAATATGAGATCCGTAGCCTATATAGAAGCAGGAGGTTGTGGTTTCCAACACTTTTGGTAAATATTTTATCAAATTATTTTTACTTCTTATTCCTTACATTTTGAATAATGGCGTATAAATAAATATTATACATCGATCAAAATTAAACTGATTTTATTTAACAGTGTTTTGATATACAGTTGTAGCAATCCTGCTTAAATCGAAGAAATGTTTTTTTTTCAAAAAATCATTAATTTAGTCTTAAGCGTGAGACTGCCTTATGAGACGCCACTGGATTTCATAATTATCTTCTAGTTAGTGCTTAGTGCTAACTTAGCGCCTTATTACAATGAACAATTGCCAAAATTCAAGAAAATAGGCACAAAGATCTTTGAGATGCTAATAAAAAACGAACATTTTACACCCTGTGTCTTGGAAACCACACGTTTTAGGACACGTTTGTACTACCTTTTCTACTTAAATTTGGTTCAGGAAGGCGCCCTTGTAATTACCGCCTATTATTAAATAACACCTTGTGTACTCTTTGGAATGGTGACATATCTGTCAACGATTATTGCAGAACGCGTGTAGTAAGAATCTGTAGGTTAAGATGATAAGTCCAGTATTCACAATGTTTTTTCTCGCTAACGTTATCATTGCCGAGGATACTATACCCGGTAATATAACTGACGTCTCTATTTGTAAAGTTAGTCATTTAGGGATGGAATATTTCGGCCCAATATCAAAGACAGAGTCGCGGGTTCGATGTCAGTCTTGGACTTCATTGCAACCTCATAAGGTAAGATAATTTTGGTTAAAAAAACGTTTCAACTTTTGTAAAATTGTCATATTATCACTATCACTAAGGATTTTCCTTAGATCAAGATAGCTATTGACCTCACTATATAAAATTGGTGCATTCAAGGAATTATAGTGCCTCAAGTGTCCATTGTTATTGCTCATTTGATGTGAACAGTATAAATTTCTAAATGCAACCAGTGTTATGGTTAATAATAACTCGAGTTACATTTTTTATTAATTTGTGTTCATGCGGATGTAATTAAAATTTAGGTTAGATCTGACCTAGAAGATAAACAATTCCCCGAACGTTCGATTAAAAAAGCAAAGAATTATTGTAGAAATCCTATCAGGGATTCAATGGGACCTTGGTGTTACACTATGAATTACGACTTGGAGTATGAAACGTGTGGCATACCGTTGTGCTCTTATGATTTGTGTAAAATCACCGGACCTGGCATGGAATATGCAGGAAAACATGGAAAAACGGTTTCAGGTAGGTTAATATTTCGCAGATCAAGGTAAGTACATTATTGGTTTTTCTTTGTACGATAAAATATTACTTGTGAAAATCTCCGAATTTTCGATTTTAGCGTCATGATTCTTCATCTTTATTGAATATCTAGTATCCAGCGCAAAGTCTGCTATAACATTCTTGGATTGCCTGCAATTGTTTCTGTCATTACTTTCGCCCTATATGTCTTTCATCAAGAGCTTTGATGACATAACGTCTTGTAACACTGGGTAACTCACAGAAGGTTAGAATTCTCAGATGAAAATAAAGCACTATATGCCCTCATTTTATTTTTTTAATATTACGACACATAGCTGCCTTTTGTTCCTTTGCACACATGTTTCTATCAAGTTACCGATATTCCTGGGTATATTGACTTAAATTTTGCTCTTGGATACCCCGCTCGAAAAGTCAATGGGTGTCAAATCTGGTAATCGTAGTGACCACGAAATAGCAAGTATTTCGGCAAAGGATGTTTATTTTTTGCAGCTCCTTCAGTGTACAGTTTCAAGCTTCTTTGGTGGAACGGCATATCCACTGCGATCACCATAATTGGCCCCCGTAGCCGTTTTCCTATGGGGGTACCTAAGAGTTTACGCGACTCTTTCTATGCAGAAAGATATTCAGAGGGATGTCACTATATCTTTTCAGATAAACCATGTTCGAATATAGCTAATAATATTCATAGATATAGTAGATATTATTTCAGACAAAAATTGCTTGAAATGGAACAAAGATCGAAAAAAGGTGAGACAGAATAACAAACATATAGAGATTTCAAAATTCGAAAAACAACTGTTCCCCGAAAACAACCTTGCCGATGCAAAAAAGTATTGTCGAAACCCCGACGGTGACATAGGCGGCCCTTGGTGTTTTTGTGGAGAATCAGGCAACGGATGATATCGAAAAAGAATATTGTGATATTCCCTTTTGTGATGATCCAAGCTGTATGGTTTTCACGAAGAATTATGATACTTACACTCACTTCACTGATTTCAATGACACGCTAGATAGTGTGACGTTTGGTGTGAAGTTGTGGGATTCTGATACGTTTTTGGATGCAAGTGCAAGGTACACGAAACATTCAACCTTGATTTAAATGGTTAGGAGAAGAATTGTCTGTAAATCTGTCCTCACTACTTTCCTCAAAGCTCTATTTCTATGAAGTGTAACTCCTGAAACTTATCCTGTGTTTTCATGCTGATAATCTCCCATGTTTACCCGATAATCTGAAAACTCAGTTTTTGGGGGAACGTCGTGTTGGGAGCAAGAATGCATACCCTGGTTTTACGCGGTGCCATCTTAAAATTCCAATGATGGCTTCATTAGACTCTTGGGAACACTGTTGAATTTTATTTGACGATTTTTCGTAATCGTATGACGGATTTATTTTCTTAAAACGACTCAAAAATGACCACTACTATATGTAGGATATATATATATATATATATATATATACTCTTCAATATCCATGTTTTTTTGGCCGCTAAATACATTATTTTCTTCCATAAAATATATTGTCCTTGTCATTTTTTGATCTGTGCCACCGAGTTGGCCGAAACATACCTGGTTTTTGGCGACCAGAAAAATATAGAGATTTCTTAGTGTTGGAGATATGTGGGTTGTCTATACCTCATTTTTAATTTATCGCGAGTATGGGTAGTCGCTTACTTACCCCTCGCGCAAGTGCCACTAGCACAATTCAAAGAAGAAATAAAGTTACTATCTAACGTCAGCAACCGCAAGGGATATCTATCCGCTATCCCTTAAGTGTTAAGGAGCTATCCTATATCACTACTGTATCCCTACGCTAGCAATTTGGACCAGGCATTGAGCAAGAGTACGGAGTCAAAGGTAGTCGACAAACGCTTTCATTTCTCGAATCAGTCCCCATAATACAGTCCACTCAAATACTCTAACAATAAGCATGAAAACCACATAATAAGTTCCAGATGTTACTTACATACACTTTAGGTTATATTTTGTAACTATACTAAGTGACATATAAATCCGAACACCCAGTTTAAATGGTTTTATTTTAATAAAATTTGTATAAGTACTTAATGAAGCATAATAAGTAAATGATAAAAATTTCAAAATGATTGCACTGCTTTAAAGCCCTTTGACCTTTAATAATGTGTGGATGCAGCCTGATGTGCTACGCATTCTCCAACGCGCCTAGGCATGCTTCTGATCAGCTGGTCAATGTCCTCCTGTGGTATCTCATTCCAGGCAACCACCAACTCCTCTCGAAGTGCTTCTAGAGTCTGAGGAGGACGTTGCAAATTGAGCAATCTCCTACCCATCATATCCCACACGTGCTCAATTGGGGATAAGTCGGGAGTTCTTGGTGGCCATGGTAACAATGTGACATCATTATGTTGAAAGAAGTCTATTGTGACTCTTGCAACATGTGGTCGGGCATTATCTTGTTGGAAAGTTGGATCTGCCAGGGTGTCAAGATAGGGTAAAAGATGGGGTTCTAGAACTTCGTGGATATAA